CCCCCCCCCCCATCCTGTCTTAGCCTATGAGTTCGACCCAGAAATTGATTGAACCTTACCTAACCCCCTAACCCAGAAATAATACAAAATAAATATTATTAATTTTGTTGAATATTTACAATATTGATAGGAGTGGATGTTATCCAAGAATTTTATAAAAATTACCGAGTTTTTATTCTACTTGCAGTTATTGGTTGACCGGAACCCAGAAGGATTACAAAGTCGAGATAACAGAGGCTGGCAGCCGATACATGAAGCTGCCTTCAATGGTAACGTGGATTGTTTAAGGTATTTGTTCAGGGTTTTTTATTTTCCATATTATAATGCAGTGCTTAGGATCCAGATCCATTGAATCCGCAACATTGGATCCAGATTCAAGGGCAAAAATATTAACAAAACTTTTTACTCTCCAAACCCAAATCTGAACGGTTACAAGAAAAGATCATTAAAAAATTCTGTTTCTCTGAATGGTTCATCAAGTTTAAAAATTAGCGTAAAAATCAGTAAATTTTAAAGATTTATTTTTAACCTTGAACCTGATGCATTTTTTTTTCTTAAGGCGATTCAAGGATCTGAATCTGGATTCTTATTTAAATGAAATGGATCTAATAAAAACTTTGGATTCATTGTAATGACATGCTAGCTGTGTGCAAAATTTAAAGAAAATCCATGACAATGACTTCCATAGAGTGGCTGTATGGATAAAGAATGGCCCTCGGGAAAAACTTGTTAATTTGTGAAACCAGGGTCTCGATACTTTAACTTTTAAAAAAATTGAAACCGGTTTTTGGGGGATTTGAGACGCGGCTCAAATTCATTAAATTTGGACACTATTCTTTTAAAAGGTTATAAATTAGATCCAGTTACAATCAGTTTGCTTAAAGAATTTTTTATTTTTTTTTTGGCAAAAAATTAAATTCTTGACATTTTAGAATTTTGGGTAGTGTTGATGGTATAGATTTAAACTCTAGAACCTGGGAGGGGGAGACTCCCCTCTTTTTGGCCTGTAAAAATTTGCCTCAAACCAAACAGGTATTTTTTCTTCATTATCATCATTATCATTATTATCATCGTTATCATCATTATCATCATTATCATCATTATCATCATTATCATCATNATCCAAGTCCATAAAATCGGCCAATAATAGCATTCAAGCCCATAAAATCGGCCAATAATAGCATCCAAGTCCATAAAATCGGCCAATAATAGCATTCAAGCCCATAAAATCGGCCAATAATAGCATCCAAGTCCATAAAATCGGCCAATAATAGCATTCAAGCCCATAAAATCGGCCAATAATAGCATCCAAGTCCATAAAATCGGCTACTAATGGCATCCAAGTCCATAAAATCGGCCAATAATAGCATCCAAGTCCAGAAGATCTTACACCTGTCATAACATCTGAAGACACAAGCCTGGTATATTCCCTCTTGTCTTCCCCATTACGTAAACAAATTTATGAGAATTTTGAATTTCTAAACTCCAGTTGGGAATAAAGTTGAAAAGAAAGTTTTAAACCCATAATTTATTCTTTCATACTTAATTTTTTTTTAAAGGGACATTTTGTCTTAAGATTAAGCGACCCTTTATCTTCTTACATAAGCAAGAAATTCGCAAATCACATTTTTGTTTTCAAAAAATAAACTTTTAACATGGATACATAATTTTACTTCAGACAAAGCTTTTGAGGCCACCGTTGTAAAAAACGAACGAGGTATTCGTTTTTAAGGAGGGTCACTTGAAATTACTTGTTCAGTCTCTTTAACTGATCCAAAGTAATAAATATTATATTTATTTTTTATTTGTTGAAGGGATCTGCCGAGGTGGTAAGATGGTTAGTTAGGAAAGGAGCAGATGTTAACAAAACAAATGTTTGGCTTGAAACCCCTCTTCATTGTTCAGTTAAAAGGTAAATTTAAATTTCCCTTGCCCTATCCCCATTTCCCAGGAGGAGGGAGGGGGTGCAGGGGCGCCATGTGCCCTGCACAATGGTTTCCAAGCCTCCGTATTCGCATATTTAAAATGTCCTGGCGTTACCCCTCAACGTTAGAATACATATAATAGAAGTAGCAAATATCATTTTTAAAGAAAATTTTTAATCTTTAAATAGTTGAGCAGTGTTCTCTTGAATATCCAAAAAACAATGCATGACTAATAAAATATTAAACATTTTTTCTAACATTTTTATAAATTACTTCTATCATATCTGTTCTGAAGGATAGGTTATTTTGAATACTCATCTGCGAATCCAGAGGCTTGGAGACAATTTTTCGGGGCCCACTAGGAGTAAATAATTTTGCCCTGAGAATTCATTTTGGATGATGTTGTTAATTCAGTAACTTTGGTCTTTGTAATTTTTAAAATATCACTTAATTTCGAGGATTTTTATTTGTGGTATACGAGTATTTTCAGTGCTTGGGATCCATTTAATTTTGATGCGGATCCGGATCCGAATCCTGGATCTGCACTTGAAAAAATGGATCCGGATCCAGGTCATTTCTTTAAGTTTTACTGAATTTTTTTAACAAAAAATAATTTTTGTTCTATTTTTTTCGCTGATTTTATTCTAAAACTTGATGAACCATTCAGAAATGAGGAAATTTTTATAATCTCTTTTTTTCAAAAGTTCAGAGTAGTAGGGTTTTAGGAGTAAAAAAGTTTTTTTTTCAGTTTTTGGTTGATATTTTTCCCCTTGGATCCGGATCCGTGGATCCGCATATTTTTGCGGATCCGGATCCTAAGCACTGAATTTTTGTTAACATTTTTAACGAATATAAAGAACAGGTAATCCGTTGAAAACATGGGAGCCAGTTGCTCCGGATTGCACAAGCTTGTTTCTCCTAGAATAAAGATATTAGTGTTGGGGACAACAACAGATTTTTAGGAAGGAAACGGATTAAAAACTAGCCTTTTGATGTCCAATTTTTTTTCTCCCAGGCTTCTTATTCCTTTTGAGGGTCTAAAATCCTAATCTCCTTGTTTTTTTTGGACACCCTAACCAGGGTTAAATACCTTTTAGGTGTATTCTGCTAATGAAAGAAGTTGTTGAAATATTTTAAGCAGTTGTTAAATTACTGAAAGAATTTGTTGGAATATTTTTAGCAGTTGTTGAATTACTGATAGAAGTTGTTGTAATTTTCCTGAAAAATATTCACCCCTGTTTTTACCCTCAGATCTCCAAAAATTATTTCCCCTAAGGGGCGGGGGGAAGTAATTCTTTAAAATTTACATAAATCCCTGTTAAGAAAGACGATATGAAGATCTTCAGTGTTTCACGTATATTTTTGTCCCGAGAATAAACAATATTAGGATTCCTTGTGTTTCATGCATTCGTTTTTGTTTAAGGATGACGATAAAAGGAACCCTTGTGTTTAATGCATTTCTTTTTGTTCAAGGAAGACGATATTAAGAATCCTAATGTTCATGCAATTTTTTTAAAAATTTTAATCGATATTAAGAAAACTATTACTCTTGTTTCCAATGAAGACGATATTTAGAACCTTAGTGTCATGCATTCATTTTTGTCTAAGGAAGACGATACTTAGAACCATACTGTTTTATCCATTAATTTTTATCTTATTAAGACAATTTAAGGAACACTAGTATTTCCCGTATTTCTTTTTGTCTTAAGGAAAACAATAATCGTAAGAATATTCATTCCCGCACTTCTTTTCGTCAAAGGATGACGATATTAAGAACGGAAGATGATATTAAGAATGGAAGACGATATTAAGAACGGAAGACGATATTAAGAACGAAAGACGATATTAAGAATGGAAAACGATATTAAGAACGGAAGACGATATTAAGAACTGAAGACGATATTAACTGAAGTGTTTTAGGAGATGTGAGTCGGAAGAAAGTCAAGTATCAATAGTTAACTATTTGATCAAACATGGAGCAGAGGTGGGTGGTCGTTTTTATTCCTCGTCTCTTAAATCCATCAATTAGTCGTCTTCATATTCCATATCTATGTAGTGGGACCTATAACCAGTGCTTTTTTAAATTCAGTAAATCTTAAAGAAATGACCTGGATCCGGATCCTTTTTTTCCAGTTTCGGATCCAGGATCCGGAGGATCCGGATCCGCATCAAAATTAAATGGATCCTAAGCACTGCATGAACCACAGCAATTTATTGTACATTGTACAGTTTCCAAGCTACTAAATTTATGCATTATATAATTTTCAAATACACATAAATTGTCTTTTTCTAATTTTATGAGTCTCCCTTTAATTAAGGCAAACCCCTTGTGCTATTTCTAAATCAGGTTTTATTTACTCTAGTGCAACGAACAGAATTTTCAAATTAAATATGTGTTCTATTTTCCTTTTCCTACAAATGAAAACTGCTGATTCTTTTTTTTCCGTTTTTCCTAATATAATGTAATCACATTTGTTTACAGGTGAATGTTTGTGATGAGAATGATTTAACCCCCCTAATGTTGGCTGCCCAGAAGGTATAAATTTAACTGTTTTTTTTTAAAGAACCTTATATAAAATATCAATTTCAAAGAATGTTGTCAATAAAAATACGAAGAAAAGAAAAAGTTAGTGAAAAGGAGTTTTTTTGAATACATAAGGAAAAATGCTATTATTTTAAGCTAGAAAAGCGTGGGGGTTTCAATTTTTAAACAAAATCTTCACAAACAGAAAAGTGCCAATTTCAGACACTTAGACCTACAAAATGTTCCTCAAATAGTATCTTAGTCCACTAAATCTAACAAAAATTGTAACTACGTCAGTAAAATCTGTCAAATGGTAACGTAGTCTTATTACTCTGCCACAAATAGTATTTTAGTCCATGAAATCTGCCCAAAAAATTTAATGTAGTCCATTATTTCTGCCAGAAATATTATTTTAGTCCATAAAATCTGTCACAAATAGTAACTTAGTCTTTAACTCTGCCACAAATAGTATTTTAGTCCTCCAAATCTGTCACAAATAGTTACTCAGTCATTAAAATAGTCCTTAAGTGATTTTTTAGTCCATAAAAGATGCAACAATTGGTATTCTAGTCAAGTCCATCTAATCTCATATTAAAAGTAAAGTCTTACACCTGCCTTAAAATATCTAGACGAACCCCTGCTGTTGATTTTGAAAAGTATTGAGTATAAAATCGATTAATCGAATAAATTGTTCAATGTATTCAGGGATTTCTAGAGATAAATTGTTCAATGTATTCAGGGATTTCTAGAGATCTGTCGAATAATCTTGAAAAAGGATTCTTCAATCCTGAATATGAAAGCTGAGGATGGAGCTACAGCTTTAATGTTAGGTAGAAGTTGTTGTTTTTGTTGTTGTTGAATTAATGACAGAAGTTGTTGAAATATTATTATAAGTTGTTGGACTATTCCTAGCAGTTGTTGAATTACTGATGTTGTAATATTCATAGCAGTTGTTGAATTAATGAAAGAAGTTGTTGAAATATTTTAAGCAGTTGTTAAATTACTGAAAGAATTTGTTGGAATATTTTTAGCAGTTGTTGAATTACTGAAGGAAGTTGTTGGAATATTCCTAGCGGTTGTTGAATTACTGATAGAAGTTGTTGTAATATTCATAGCAGTTATTGACTTACTGATAGAAATTTTTGTAATATTCATTGCAGTTGTTGAATTACTCATAGAAGTTGTTGTAATTTTCATAGTAGTTGTTGAATTACTCATAGAAGTGATGCAATATTCCTAGCAGTTGTTGAATTATTGACAGAAGTTGTTGCAATATTCATAGAAGTTGTTAAATTACTGATACAAGTTGTTGCAAAATTCATGGAATTGTTGAATTCCTGGCAGAAGTTGTTGAAATAGTTGAATTACTGATAGAAGTTGTTGAATTACTGATAAGAGTTGTTGAAATATTTCTAGCAGTTCTTGAATTTCTGATTGAAGTTGTTGAATTACTGATAGAAATTGTTGAATCATTAAAAAATGTCTTTTGTCTATGATGTCAGGGTGGAGAGGTTGAACTAGATGATATAAACCTGACTATGTCTTTTGTCTATGATGTCAGGGTGAAGGGGTTGAACTAGAGAATATAAACCTGACACTGTCTATTGTCTAGGATGTCAGGGTGGAGGGGTTGAACTAGAGGATATAAACCTGACTATGTCTATTGTCTAGGATGTCAGGGTGGAGGGGTTGAACTAGAGAATATAAACCTGACTATGTCTATTGTCTAGGATGTCAGGGTGGAAAGGTTGAACTAGAGAGTATAAACCTGACCATGTCTATTGTCTAGGATGTCAGGGTGGAGGGGTTGAACTAGAGGATATAAACCTGACCATGTCTATTGTCTATGATGTCAGGGTGGAGGGATTTAACTAGAGGATATAAACCTGACACTGTCCATTGTCTAGGATGGAGAGGTTGAACTAGAGAATATAAACCTGACTATGTCTATTGTTTAGGATGTCAGGGTGGAGGGGTTGAACTAGAGGATATAAACCTGACTATGTCTATTATCTAGGATGTCAGGGTGGATGGGTTGAACTAGAGGATATAAACCTGACTATGTCTATTGTCTAGGATGTCAGGGTGGAGAGGTTGAAGTTGTTGAGCTGCTACTAGATGCTGGAGCTGAGGTCAATCATGCTGCTCAGGATAAAACGATGGCGGTACATCTAGCATCTGCAGCGAAGGAAACAAAATGTCAGCCATGCCCCCCCTACACCCCCCCTTGCAAAATGAAATTAAGGGTGGGACTTTTTTTTACAAAAATGTTTAGATCCTTTCAGCATTTGTCTTTATAGTTTCTACAATAAACAAGCAAAACTAAAATGTTTTTTTTTTCTCACTTTTGAATTCATGCAGCGCATCACGTTTTTGTAAAAAATAAATCACTAGTGCAAGCAAAAATATTTCAAAATATATCGATATGGGTAGCAACAAATCCGTCTTGAAACACTGAATTCAAAAATGGTAAAATTATAGAAAACGGTTGAAAATGGAACAAGTTATAGCTAAAAAACGGACTTTTTAGCGCAAATTTGCTCTAGTCCTCCAAAAATAATAGTTTTTGGCCCTAGACCAACCAATTTTCACAATTTAAAAAAACCAACAACTGGGCAATATTCAGTGGTTCGAGGCGCAACTTCAGACACCCATGTTTCGAAAAAATTGAAAAATCGACCTCATTAAGTGAAATTTTGTTAGTTTATTTAAACAATTTTTTCTGCGTATCGGTAATTTTTGAAGAAAAAAATTCACATTTTCCCAGGGTTAATAAAATAAATAAAATTAACTGCCTTTCTAAATTCAATTGACTTTCCATCTGATTAACTTGTTTCAACAATTTTCACACAAGATTGTTAAACAATGTTCCAATATTTTGCAAAAAACAAGTTTGATTTACAAGCCTATGTCATGACAGGCATTTGTTTACAGAAAAACAGTTGTACCCTGCTCAGATTATTGCTCCCTAAGACTGACATGAATATGGTAAGCGTTCTCAGGCGTTTGCAGATTATTTGCAGAAATAAATAGTTCAGAAATAATTGGGAATATATCAAGATATTAAGTTTCCGATGAGCGTATAACTAAGGATTTGTTTTCATCTTACTGTGACGTATCAGAAACCTGAAGAGATGACCGGGCTTAAGCAAATTTTTATTTACATTGTTTGTACAATAAAAGTTGTTCAGAGCTAAAAACTCTTAATACCGATTGCTTAATCTAAATATCCAATGTGGACACTTTTGATTTCTGCTAAAGCCGCTCTTTTCCCCTCAAATATTCATACTGGATTTCGACCAATGAGAGGTTTCTTATAAAATTGCACGTAAAATGTAAAATTTTCCGGCTTCTTATTCCTTTTGAGGGTCTAAAATCCTAATCTCCTTGTTTTTTTTGGACACCCTAACCAGGGTTAAATACCTTTTAGGTGTATTCTGCTTGTACGAGTCCTGGAGATACAAAATGTGTTAAGGGACTGTAATTGTAATTTCAAGTGTATTTAGGTGTATTCTGCTTGTACGAGTACTGGAGATACAGCATGTGTTAAGGGACTGCAAGTGTAATTTCAAGTGTATTTAGGTGTATTCTGCTTGTACGAGTCCTGGAGATACAGCATGCGTTAAGAGACTGCAAGTGTAATTTCAAGTGTATTTAGGTGTATTCTGCTTGTACGAGTACTGGAGATACAGCAAGTGTTAAGAGACTGCAAGTGTAATTTCAAGTGTATTTAGGTGTATTCTGCTTGTACGAGTACTGGAGACAACATGTGTTAAGGGACTGCAAGTGTAATTTCAAGTGTATTTAGGTGTATTCTGCTTGTACGAGTACTGGAGATACAGCATGTGTTAAAGGACTGTAATTGTAATTTCAAGTGTATTTAGGTGTATTCTGCTTGTACTAGTACTGGAGATACAGCATGTGTTAAGGGACTGCAAGTGTAATTTCAAGTGTATTTAGGTGTATTCTGCGTGTACGAGTACTGGAGATACAGCATGTGTTAAGGGACTGCAAGTGTTATTTCAAGTGTATTTAGGTGTATTCTGCGTGTACGAGTACTGGAGATACAGCATGTGTTAAGGGACTGCAAGTGTAATTTCAAGTGTATTTAGGTGTATTCTGCTTGTACGAGTACTGGAGATACAGCATGTGTTAAGGGACTACAAGTGTAATTTCAAGTGTATTTAGGTGTATTCTGCTTGTACGAGTACTGGAGATACAACATGTGTTAAGGGACTGCAAGTGTAATTTCAAGTGACCCTCCTATGCAGGGAATATCCTATTCATAACGGTAACCTTTAAACCTTAATCTGATCGAGTATGAATGAGATATCCTTTTTTTTCTCAAAAAGTAGATTTTTTTCGAGGGTCTCTTGAAATAACGCCAACATACCCTTTAATACAGAAAACTGGTTTATCACTCCTTTCTCCTTTTCATCTGGCGATAGATTGGGAGAATTATCAGAGTTTAGGTAAATCAATTAATCAATTGATTAATAAATCAATTAATCAATCATTCAATCGATCAGTCAATTGATCAACAAATCAATCAATCAACACTAATCAATTAATTCATCTATCTATCCGATATTATCAATCAATCAATTAATCTACTAATTTTTCTATCACTCAGATTTATCATTAATAAATCAATCAATCACAAGCTCGATCAATCAGTCAGTCAGTCAATTAATCAAGCCTTTATATTAGTTGTTAAATACAGTTGTTTGTTCTTCAAACACCCCACCATGCAATCATTAATGAAACATTTTATTTGATATTATCTGAAAAAATCCAAATCTTTTACATTAGTCACTGTTTTACGAGCGCATGAACTAATGTATTGTTTATTTACTGTCTCTGTATGTGTACTACACTGATGTGTACATTATGTTTACTGTCAGTGTCCTTTATACATGTTCTGATGTTCTGATATTTACTGCAATAATTGAATATATATTAGTACTTAATGCATTGCCCCTGTAGTGTAATGCACTGTAATGGAAAGTATGTTTTGTGTGTGTTTTATATTGTTCTGATGTGTACTGCACTGTATGTACTGTTCTTGCAAGTTGTAATGTAGAGCAGGGGCGGGACGGTGCTTCCTGCGCCTGGCGGCGGTCTGGGGGGTCCACATTGGGGCCTCTTGCAGATTTCACTTCCTTATGATTCCTTATGACTGATGAAGAATACTGCTGCAGGGTTGCTTTCTGAGTATTTATCTCCTTCCCGATTTCAAATCCCTATAGAAGAATGCCCAGTTCACAGTGAATACTGCTCACACTTTCAGGTAATTATTCTTAATGGAGCTGTAGATGTAATTTTAAAACGGTAATCGGACATAAATAATATTTTTTTATATATGGTACCCAAATATCCCCCCCCTGCAAATGATTTATTTTCCCAATTAAGAGAATAAAAAGGGGGGGGGGAATGACTTTTTCAAGCAAATAATTACCCCTGATTTTATTTAAAGGGATTGGCAAGCTAGACATTTTAGTTAAGTTGAGAATGTAGTATGTAGAGAAATTTTTAAGGATTCATTTGAGACCTGTGAAACCTATTTACGGTGTATAATTGTTCAGCAAGGGCGCAAATTCAATCTTAAAAATCTTCCTCGGCTGTCCATACAGAAGTTTGATACTTATAAAATTGTTTAATAACGAAGGCAAAGTATGTAACAATACTGTACTCTCAACTCAACTACTATGTCTAGCCGGTCTCTCCCTTTAAGATGAAAAGATGCAGGATGTTTGAATATTGTTCTAAAGACCCGCTCTCCCATCTACTCAGCGTCTCCAACCTTCCACTGAATACCACTAGGGACCCTTTATTCTATTTATTAAAAATATAAATGCATTTCTTCCACCTAATTTTTTTATTAGCTGGATCAAAATAAACATCACAAAAACTTTTGCAATTATAAACTTGCGCCTCGTCTAATTTCTATTTTCAAATCAAACAAATTGGCGTTTTTTTTGACAAAAATTAGATAAGATAAGTTAAAGTTTATTGCTAATATACATGTATCTGTGTACAGAAAGAGTTTACAATTAAAAATTGATGATTATATTAACAGTACAAGTATAAAGCAATTAGGTGGAAAATAGCTCTTGGCTGTTTTGATTATTTTTTCCACCTAATTTTAATAATGATAACAATACATTAAAATTAAATAGATTTAAGGAGAACTATTAGGGATCATGGTGCGATTTTATCTTATGCAATATAGTTCATACATTTATTAGAATAACTAGAGTTTAAAGTAATTTTCTGACATGTACACATGTAAATTACAATTAGATTTTCTGGCTGTTTTAACATTGCAAGAGATATATTTTTCCTTACAAAATATTAACAAAAATGCTTTATTGTAAAAGATTATTCTTTTTTGGCTTTCATTTCCTGAATGAAAAAATTAGACATTTAATCAAAACAATCTTCCTGAGTATTCAATGTTAAGGTATGATTAAAGTTATAACTATGCTGCTATAGGACATTTTTTTGATAAAAATTCAATCCATCTTGAACCAATCCTGATTTTTCCCGTGATTTTTGGACAAATTGAGAATTTGTTAAATTTTTACTTGTGTTATAAAAATTCGAAACCTAGTTTTTGAATCTACTGTATTCAGCGGGTTTAAAATGTTGCTTCTAACGTGCTACTGCTGGGCAGGAGCAAAAAGGTTTTGACATTTTTGATGAAATATTTTGTGACATCTAAGATGCTTCTAAAAGTATTTTTAAACCCAAACCAACTTGAGTGATGAAAAACCAACCAAAAATGAATAAAGTACACTGTAGTTTAATTGATTCTCTTTGGTCAGATGATAATACTTCCGGTTCACTTCCTCCATTTATAGCTCTACTTATAGGTTAGTTAATACTGGTAAACATCAATTTTCAGATAAATTTTTCTTGTGGGTTGGGGGAACAGAGAAAAAAATCTAGGAAGTTTATCCCAATTTTAATTCCACAAGTCATGCTAAAGAAAATCCGAATTTATATTTGCGCCCGCGGTATCGTTTCTTAATTTGGGGGAAATGAATTATTAATCTGAAAATTATGTGTGGGGTGTGAGGGGGGGGAACGGTACAAAAAAGGTGGTAGTGTTATTAAACTGTTTTGGACCAATTTCAAAGAAGCTGTCTGATTCACAACGGCACCCATGGTCTTAATACCTGGATCCGAGCAAAATAGGTAGAACTGTTGTTTTTCTATCAGTATTAATTTCGGATAATTTCCTTCGTTGTCTGTGTTATAAACATCCGTAAGTCCCTTTTACGGAAACACCACATTTGAAAATTTGAATTTCGAGCTAGGAAAACAAGGATATCCTAATCGTTTTGCTCAGACAAAGGTTTAATTGTTACCGCTGTGACCTCGCTTCATTATTGATTTAGTATAGTCACTTCAATTTTGGGGTGTGAGTGTAGGACGTCCCTAAAAGCATTATTTGATTTGATTTGATTTCAGGCATTTAACTCTTTGTTTTATTTGTTTAAATAACGCAATTAATCTGTTTTAGGTTCTAGAGAAGGAGATTCAAATATTTACAAGAATGGGGATATTCGGAGACAAACACTAAGGTAGGAAACCTCAGTTAGGAAACCACAGTTAGGAAACCACAGTTAGGAAACCACAGTTAGGAAACCACAGTTAGGAAACCTCCGTTAGGAAACCACAGTTAGGAAACCAGTTAGGAAACCACAGTTAGGAAACCACAGTTAGGAAACCACAGTTAGGAAACCACAGTTGAGTTAGGAAACCACAGTTAGGAAACCACAGTTAGGAAACCTCAGTTAGGAAACCACAGTTAGGAAACCACAGTTAAGAAACCACAGTTAGGAAACCACAGTTAGGAAACCGCAGTTAGGAAACCACAGTTAGGAAACCACAGTTAGGAAACCACAGTTAGGAAACCACAGTTAGGAAACCACAGTTCAGTTAGGAAACCACAGTTAGGAAACCACAGTTAGGAAACCACAGTTAGGAAACCACAATTAGGAAACCACAGTTAGGAAACCTCAGTTAGGAAACCTCGGTTAGAAATCTCAGTTAGGAAACCTCAGTTAGAAATCTCAGTTAGGAAACCTCAGTTAGGAAACCTCAGTTAGGAAACCTCAGTTAGGAACCCTCAGTTTGGAACCCTCAGTTAGGTAACCTCAGTTAGGTAACCTCAGTTAGGAAACCTCAGTTAGGAAACCTCAGTTAGGAAACCTCAGTTAGCAAACCTCAGTTAGGAAACCTCAGTTAGGAAACCTCAGTTAGAAACCTCAGTTAGGAAACCTCAGTTAGGAAACCTCGGTTAGAAATCTCAGTTAGGAAACCTCAGTTAGAAACCTCAGTTAGGTAACCTCAGTTAGGTAACCTCAGTTAGGTAACCTCAGTTAGGTAACCTCAATTAGGAAACCTCAGTTAGGAAATCTCAGTTAGGTAACCTCAGTTAGGAAACCTCAGTTAGGAAACCTCAGTTAGGAAACCTAAGTGAGGTGTGAATCTGATATACCGCGCGCTGTAAAAATTAAAACTCTAAAAACTAAAAATTACAACAAATATATTTTAGATCCAAATAAATATTAATAAGTAATTGGCTTCTGCTAATTTTAAGATTATCCTCTTGTATATTAAATTAGTATTTTGTAAAAATAAGTTTTAAAATGTTTAGATATCTTATAGAACGTGGAGAAAGGATAAAGGAGAAGGATATTCTACCCATAGTTCTCCTTAGGTAGGTTTAAAAAAAACTTTCACCTGAGCCTGAAATTTACAGAAATATCTAATAATATAACTTGAATCTTTCTTATGTAGAGCAAAAAGCAGAATATAAAAAAGTAAGGAAAAATATAACTATGATATTGTAACTAAATACCCTATATATTTATTTTTTATTTTTTCCAATTTCAAAAAATGTTGAGTTCTGCGCCAACTTAACTAACTTAAGGTTGAAAAAAGGGGGTTTGGGGGCGGGTGAATTTTCTTAAAAATATACAAGCTTGTTCTTGTTCTTGTTCTTGTTCTTGTTCTTGTTCTTGTTCTTGTTCTTGTTATTATTATTGTTATTGTTATTGTTATAGTTATTGTTATTGTTATTGTTATTGTTATTGTTATTGTTATATTATTATTATCTCTTCTACTTAAGTCCTGTATCTGGCCTGTTTGGATTAATACAGGAGGGTCTAATCAGTCCTTTATCCTTGATTAATCAGCGTATGCTTGACTCTATCAGACAGCTGATAAATCAAGGTAATCAGTTCATTATCCTTGATCAATGAGTGTTTACTAGACTTTGTCAGACAGCTAATTAATCAAGGTAATCAGTCCTTTATCGTTGATCAATCAGCGTATACTAGACTCCCATCAGACAGCTGATTAATCAAGGTAATCAGTTCTGTATCCTTAATCAATCAGCGTATACTAAACTCCATTAGACAGCTGATTAATCAAGGTAATCAGTCTTTTATCCTTGGTTAATCAGCGTATACTTGACTCCATCAGACAGCTGATAAATCAAGGTAATCAGTCCTTTATCCTTGATTAATCAGCGTATACTAGACTCCATCAGATAGCTGAAAAATTAAGGTAATCAGTCGATTATCCTTGATTAATCAACGTTTAAACTAGACTTCATCAGACAGCTGATAAATCAAGGTAATCAGTCCTTTATCCTTAATCAATCAGCGTATACTAGACTCCCATCAGACAGCTGATTAATCAAGACCTATATTAAACCCCCTCCCATTGCCAAGTACAGCTGAATGTATTGTATTGAAATCTAGTGGCTGAATGCGGACTCATGAATTTACCATATTTAAGGCAAGTTAAAGAATGGAGCAAACGTCATTACTATGATGGTAAGAGGCAACTGGGCTATTACAATCTTTAAAGGAGTGTAGACAAGCTACCAATTTGCTGAGGCAGTTTATTAATATCGGCACAGTTTGATAGTCCTGTAGAGTGTAGGTCCTATAGGCGGTCAATTGCGTATATAGGCTTGGTTTGGAGAGTGAAAAATTTAGTTTTAATGATTTGGATTCCACAGATAAAAACCCTCAATAAAAATAAACGCAAGATTTCAAATTTTTCGCTTATATTGTAAGAAGAAAGAATTTAAAAGAAACAATTAAAATATAAAAAGGTATACGACTACTAAACAATTATTCATTCACTAATAAAATGATAAAGCAAAATTGCCAAAGAAAAAGTTTCAGAAATAGATCGGAGGCGGGGGGAGGTCGTTTATTTACACAATAAAGCACATATTTTTTACTTTTATTGTTTTATTTATAGAAACCTACATGAGATGGTCTGGTTTCAGCTCACAGAACTCAACATACCTAAGGTTTTTTCTATTTATTCATGTTATTGTAAATTAGATTTGAAAAATTATTTCTAGAATTACCTACCCTCCACCCCCGAGGAGGGGGAATGTGTTTGACATTCCCGGGGGGGGGGGGGGGGGGGGTAATCGGAAATCAAAAGGCAAGTGCTTACACCTACTTCATACTTTCTACCCCAAATTCAGATCATGTAGAAAATATATTATTCACCCCTAAAAGAAATTGATTCTAATTATTATATAGAACCTACTTATAAGAAAATTATCTTTTAAGAGAAAACTAATTTGTGAAATTCTTATAATTCTTCACTAAAAATACATTACACTTCTATTCCAATAGGTACATCATTATGTTTTAGGGAGGGTTCAATCGTTTTTTTGAGAATAATTTAACCATGACCCTTTTGTAAAGGTGGTTTTGTTATAGAGATGCAAGCCCGATTCTCATGGTACCCTTTCTTTATCTCTTTTTTATCTTGAAAATGGTAAATTCTGTTTATTCTACTCCTTCCCTCTGACGCATAATTCCACTAGTCATATTTATAGAGTAGCCACAATGAAAAAGTATCAATTAAAGGTATAAAAACCAGAACATCTTTTGTGTTTTTGCCAAGGTTTACAAGATACCGTTGGTTATCGGACATGCCCTTCTTCAAATGCAGGGGTACTTAATATTACGCCTACCAAGGATGTAATGCAAGGAAAGTTATTTCAGAAGTGTATCTTTTGTACTGCAGTGTACTGTATCTGGGCGGTAATGTAAACATAAGACGGATGTCGAAGCCTGACATGGGATCCATCTTTCACATAAAAAAATCAATGAAATATTCTGGTCATAGAAAACTGTTATGTGAATTATCATAATTATCAAAATTTAATGCTTTTAACCTCCTCGGATACTATAAGAACACTGATGCATCTATGCTTGTTTACAAATTCCGCCCAGAGAGAACTGGTTTTTAATATGTACGCAGGGTATACGCGACAGCAATTAACTTTCTTTGCCTTATAACCTTGACGCTTACAATTCCTTTTAGGTTGAAGTGTTGGACAAGCTGTATAAACAGTTCTTCACACCCGCCTCTCTTCAATCCATCGCTAGAACTTCAATTCATCAATCCATTTATAAATATTCAGTCTCCAGTTCAATCACACGACCAGTCGTAAACAATATAGGAAACAAGTCATTAACTTTAATTTGATGTGGCTAAAATGCACGTGCTTCAGAACACTAACTTGACAGTATTTGGCTCTGGAAATGTTTTAAAACAGCCAGATTTGTATGTTATTGTGTACATACAGTACATATGTGTACAGGGGGTATTTATTTTGATCATTTTTGTGGTAACTACAATTTAAACTAGAGTTAATACTTAGTCAGTTAGTTTGGAGCTAGTTTAGGATTCATCATAACTTGGCATTCATATCAAAAAACAAAAAACACGATGCGTAGGATCCGTTTCTTTTTGACGCTGATCCAGATTCTGGATCTCCGACGAAAAAAAAAAAATCCGGATTCAAAACCGGATCCAGGCCGTGAACATTTCTTTAAGATTTACCTTATCTTAAAAGACGAAATTTTTAAAAAATTTTTTTTGATCTTTTAAGTTTTTGATAATTGCTCATTTTTGCAGGATCCGAACCCGGATCCATGAAGCCAGAATTCTATTCCAGAAAATTATAGGAATATTATTTGATTTGAATGTATATTGATTATTTATACTCAAAACAGACTTGAGAGAAGACCTGAAGATGACGGCCCCCCTGCATCTATTAACAAGGCAGGACCATATTTTTAAGAATCACCTTGGCTACTGGCAATCATTTCCAAACTTTTGATATTTCTCATTTTAAAATTTTCTCATTTGCCTCTGGAATAATTATACAGGAAGTAAAACTCTTTTAAACATCTTTGAAAAAAATTTTCCGGCGGGTATGGGGAATTATTTAATAAAATAAATGCCCCTGTGAGAAGGTTGAACCTGCCTCCAAGTATGGTCGAGTATCTTCTCTTCAATAACTTAGATATCAACAAGGTCGTCAGTGCTAACAGGCAAACCTGGAAATCTATTCATGAGCTCACATCAACGATTTGATCCAGCTTGACTTTAAGGGACTGTGAGCGTAATTTCAAGTGACCCTCCAAGCAATGTTGGCAATGCCCGATTTACAACGGTACCCTTGAAGACTTTGTCTCATCCACGTAGATATCAAAGGTTTTGTTTCTTTAAACGGTTTATTTCCGTTAGCTTTTTCTCAAGGAAAGTGAATTGCGCATTTATGCTTATAAGAAAGACTGGATAAACTCGCGGAAATGAACACTTTTTGTGTCAGGCAAACAACGGTATCTTCCACATGTTTGATCAGATTATGATGTCAGGAGTATAACCGTCGTAAATCGGGCATTGACATCTTTGTATGGAGGGTCACTTATAATTACGCGTACAGTCCCATTAAACAATCACGTTAAAAGTTCTATGTTTGATGGATTGGGTACAAAATACCTAATTAAAATTGTTCAAATGCCCGAAGGTATATATATATACACAACTACAAAACTCTGAATATCTACTGCGTCTAGAACTGGCTGGTGTGCCGAGCGTAATGGGCAGAGCTGAGATGATTGAGTTTTTTAGTTTAGGGCAATTATTTATATCTTCTGGTATTCTGTAATTTGTATTCACTCGATTTTGTAATTGAATACTAATATAAACTTTCCGATAGAAAGTAAATAATAAAGTACAACATGTATTTTATGCAAACTGTTGTAAAAACTTGAGGAAATGAAGTTAAAAGATTTGTTTTCAGAAAAATGTTCTCTTCTATCGAGGGTGTCCTAGGAAATTATCTTCGGCTACATTTTTAATAATAGATTTTCAGCCTGGTAACAATTTTAGCGGTTAAAGGGAGTTTCTGGCAATACATGGTAGAGAGATTGCTATATTATTGAGTAAATTTTTCTTCAGATTAATTCGAGACTTGTCACATGTTTTTACGTGTATATTTTTTCGGCAAAAGTGAAAATTCAATATTTAAAATCCTCATTGATTGTCCATTTTGGTGGGATGATTGTGAGAATCGGTTTTTAAAAATTGTTCAAAAACGACGAAGAAAATGTAAGTAACACACCTGTGTATCTGCTCCGGTCTGAGTGGTCCTCCTAGTTCTGTCCAGGCGAGGGTTGCCTGGCTACATCTAGGATAGGAACAGAGAAGGAGGAAAGGAGTAGATGAACCGCCTGGTCTGTCTTGGACTGCAGGAGAGCAAGAACGCTCAGGATCGGTATCCAGGAGATCGAGAGAGAGAGAGAGATGGACCACAATCCGGGATCCAGGAATCGATACAATAATAACACAGGAAGGCCTTTAGGATCTTCTTGGCATTTATCTGTAATATAAACACCACTATAGAAATGACACAAGAAAGGACAAGAGACATGGACAATACAAAGATCACAAGATAAAGACATATAGTGGTGCCGTCCTGGAGGGTCGGAGGAGATGAGACAGCAGCCGTGAGTAGAACCTAGATAGAGGTTCTATGCGCTGCCCTCCAGGATTTTGTTTTCTCCTCTGTATTTTAGCAATTTGAGGAGATGGCATGTCTTAGAAATTAGATCAGGATTGATCTCTGTGTAAATGAGTACAGTCTTGTGTCAATCAAGTCTGACTCAGAAACAGAACGTTTTCTTTTTGTCCATACTTCGTGGTCTATATCCGTGCGAGTGTCTAATAGTGTGATATCCGGCAGACTCGTGGCCAGGTAGTGAGTCTCAAAGATATCGTCTTCATCAGAACCATAAATCAATGGATGTTGCCAAAGTTGTGACATTGATGTAGCCTTTGTGAGAGGTGGAGAATCGAGTTTAGTGTTTATGGCTGATGAATAGGAGGCATCAGCTGATGCTGCACCATCAGTTTGAGGGATATGGTACAACTCATCAATTTTTTGTTTCGCTCTGGTTTTTGATTTGCGGGGGGAAAGAGCTCTATATTGACTTGGTCCTTGAGGATGATCATATTCATTTGATATTTGTTCACCGTGAGCATGTTTTGAGCGAGGAGAGGACTGTTGACTGTCTCAAATGATTTGTAAGCAGAGTAAGGTTCTGAGTCGTCATTGCTTTGACTTAACCTGGCCAGCATTAATTGACTTTCCCATATCTGTCTCTGCAAGTGGTAATGGTAGTCTTCAGCCTGGTTGTCCGGATCTTGAATCAGGTCTGGATCTATATTAAATATTTCTGGGTGCTCTGGAGCTGGTGTATATTTTTGAGTTGGATCTGGGTCTGGGTTTAAGGTGATCGGTTCGTCATCCTCATCATCAGAACTTTCTGGTTGGATGTGAGGATCCCATGGGTGTGGAATCTCAGGTGCGGTTGGGTTTCCAACAATTTCAAGGTTGAAGAATTTTTTTAATGGGAACACCTGGGACTGCCGAATCCTTTGGGTTATGTTAGATGTTTTAAGTGAAGTTGAGGATGTTGTATTTAGAATTTTCTTGATTTTGAGGTTTGTTCCATCCTTACCTATCACCAGAAAAGGTTCCCGGATGTTGTGTTTCGGAGCATTGTTCTTAAGTAAGATTATGTCTCCGGGGGCTGAAGTTTTCTGACTAGGGTTCTGTTTAGGAGGGGTTTGGTTTTCTAATCTTGCTTGATGTTGTTTATCTGCAAGGAGTTTGTCTGGGATTGTCAGGGATGAGTTTGTGTTTTCGTCCCTTCTGAATGTGATGTCTGAAGAGGAATATCCATGACGTCTAATGAGAGAGTTGACCCTTGGCTTGTGCTAGCTGGGATGAGGAAATCTTTTTTCCATTAGGGTCGATTTTTTTTAACTCATGTTCAAGTTCTTGAATAGATTTGTCTACGTGGCAGTTTTTATTCTTGTTGAAATCTTCACCAATAATCATATGTATACCGGTTTGGACAAGGTTTGGGTGTTGGTTGTTCGCTAGAGATTTCAGAGATGGTGCTACATCAGTTCTAATAATGGTCTTGTTGCTTCGCCGTAGCGGGGTCACCAAGCGGATGATCCCATCAACAAGATCTTCTTTTTTTTCAGAGTCAACCAGGGTTGTTGTAATGAATTTGGAGAAGAGGTCAACATTGACCATGATGTATTGACAAGCTCTGCGAATTATATCGATATTCATATGGGTACCTGGTTGCTGGGGTGGTGCGGATGTGTGAATATCTGACTGAATTTGAGGCATTTTTTTCACTGCGTTGCAGAGAAAGCATTGCTCATATAAGAGGTCTAGTTGTTCCTTAAGTCCTGGAGAAAAGAAGTATTTTTGAAATACTTTCTCAGACTGAAATCTTGATGGATGATTGCCTTTAAGGTGAATCATGGATAGGATAGCTGGGACAAAAGGTTTGGGTACAACTATCCTGTGAGAATCATGAAACAGATTTGGGTCAGTGTGTTTGACCATGAGCAGGCCATCATCTATGATGGCTTGTTTGAAAACAGCATTCAGAGTCCTTGAAGCTGATTTTCGGGGGGAATCTCCAGTACTGATGATCTCAAATACCTTGGAGAGGTCCTTGTCTTGAGATTGGATTGATCTCCAAAGCTGTTTGTCTCCAATCGGCAATCCTTGTGGTGATGTTATGAGATTCATGGTGTCTTTGGAAGTGGCGGCAATAATGCATGGGTTGGTGTCTTTGGAGAAGAAATCGGAGATGGATGAAGTGTCTGTGATTGAGGCTTTCATGCATTGCGTGTCGTCAGGCAGCTCTGCTAAGAATCTTTCTACGGCACAGTCTTTGGATCTGCAGGTTACGTCCATCCGTGATGCTGTGTCAGGTATTACATGCTGACCTGTTTTGGCGGATGAGTGAAGGAATGTGACAGGTCTCCGGTTAATACAGATAAGTATCATCTGTAATCGTGGGTTGCGTGAAAGTTTACCTTGGCGCATGCGTTCGACTGCTTGAACAACCGCTTTGCAGTCTGGGGTGACGTAGGTTGGCTTGTGGGATGCCTGTATCCAGTGGGAACATGCATTTATGGCCATTGCGGAAGCGACTCCTTCGATTTCACATGGCAGCCATTTTTGCATGTAGGGTTTGATTTTGGCGGAGAAGAATTGAACAGGGAGGAGTCTCTGTTTGGAGTCAATGGTTCTCTGAACAAAGAGAGCCCATCCAATACCTCCTGGCACTCGGGCACCATCTGGCATGAGGATGAGTTGTTCCTCAGGGGATGGGAGTGTGAGTGCATTGACTTGTTTAAGATGCGACTGTGCTTTGTTAAACGCTGCAATGAGGTCAGGAGTCCATTCAAAGTGATCTCGTGAGTTTAGTTTCGCAGTGACCTTATCAAAGGGGTCCATTACTGCCGCAAGGTGTGGTAAAGCATTGAGAAGGGTTTTGTAGAGGCCCTTCCAGCTGTTCACCTGCTTGACTGTTTTTAATTGTGTGATGGATGATTTTCCCAGGTTGGTTATTATATGGTCTGACGGCATTACCTGGCCGTTTCTGATCCTCCAACCAAAGACCTCAATATCTTCAGGAAATATCTTTACCTTGTTGGGTGAAACCTTCATATTGTTATCGTTGAGTTTCGTCAAGACAGTTTTCCAGTTTTGGATTGCATCTTTAACAGACTGTCCTCCTACAGCTATGTCATCTTGTTCTGCATAGCATATCCCTTGTGCTAATTCGATTATTCGTTACCTAGAATTCTTGAGATAAGCTCGTCTAGGTCGTGTTCAGAGTTCAGAAGACCCTGTCCTGCTCTAGTGAGAACTCGAATCCCTTTAAATGGGGTGTGAACGCCCAACCATTGCCAATCACGTTTAGCAATGGGGATCTGGAAGTATGAATTGTGTAAATCAGCGAAGATATGAAATTTGTGTTTCGCTAAGAAAGAGAGAATATTCTTGGAGGATGTCGGTTTGGATGGTCTGGGTAGAAGAGTATCATTAAGATTGTTGAAGGCAACAACCCATCTGATTTCATCAATACTGCAGTCATCCAGTTTCTTATGTTTGGCTCTACCCTTCTGAAGAATGAAGGACGGAGAGATTTTTCTAACCTGGATGTTGTGTTTTTGAGGGTCAATCAGAATGTTTTGTTCCTCCAGGTTGTCCATGACAGCCTGTTGGAGTGCAGCGCATTTGCTGCTGTAGAGGGGTATTGGGCAAATCTTTGATTCTGGTAAGGTATCCTGTTTAAAGGTTAGTGAAGCCAAATACCTCCCGGATTTACCGTTGTAGCCTGTTGAAAGATCATTATCAAAGGCAGGTAAGTTACCTCTGTGAATTGTTCTTAGATCAGACAGTTCTGTCTGGGAGAGTATAGAGGAGTTGGTGTTTTTCTCTAGAATTGGGATTGGATCTGTGAGAACCAAATCTTTGGGGGGTTTAGTTTTGGATGAGGAGACAACAGGGTCTCTGTCTTCGACCGAGGCAGGAATGCAAAGGAATCGTGTAGCTTTGTCCACTTGGAGAAGCTCAGATGAGTGGTTGGTATAGGTAACAGAAGATTTGTTTATGTTTGAGATCTGTGGGATTAAGTTGTGGTCATCTGAGATGGGTTGGATAGCAACTAAGGCTGATGTTGGGCTGGGATTGTTACCAATTGGGATTTCAATCAAAGCCTCAGGAGGAAGAACGATTGATCTGTTGATCTTTAGAATCATATGGTTGGCTGGAGCTGATGGTTTGACGTGGGCTGGGGCTTGTAGCTTGGTGTTTGAGGGTGAAGGAAGTGGTAGCATTTCGTCGGATTGAAAGAGGACGTGTTTGTCCTGGATTTTAATCTGTCGTTTTCGGATCTGGGGTTGGACATCGTTATCCCAGTGGAACGTGGTGCCCCCAAAGCAAGGTGCGTGGAGGTTTTTCATGACCAGGGCCCTTAGTCTGGCTGTTATGGTACCCCTTGTGAGGACAATGTCTACTTCACCGAGTGAGGCCATTCTTGTTTTATCGTCAGCCAGGAGTGCGAGCTGGTCGTTTGGTTTGACTGGGATCTCATAGGACTTGACAGTGTCCTCTCTGATGAAAGAAACTGTTGCCCCAGAATCTAAGGTAATGTGTAAAGGATGGTTATTATAAAAGAGGGTAAGGATTTGACTGGGAATGGGGGTGAGCCTGCTTATGATTGGGTTTGAGTCGCATACCTGATGTGATAGTCATTGGTCTTCATCCTGATCCCCTTCCTGCAGAGAGAAGGGAATAGAATCATAATCTTCAGGGTCGTCTGAGTGGTCCTCCTAGTTCTGTCCAGGCGAGGGTTGCCTGGCTACGTCTAGGATAGGAACAGAGAAGGAGGAAAGGAGTAGATGAACCGCCTGGTCTGTCTTGGACTGCAGGAGAGCAAGAACGCTCAGGATTGGTATCCATGAGATCGAGAGAGAGAGAGAGATGGACCACAATCCGGGATCCGGGAATCGATACGATAATAACACAGGAAGGCCTTTAGGATCTTCTTGGCATTTATCTGTAATATAAACACCACTATAGAAATGACACAAGAAAGGACAAGAGACATGGACAATACAAAGATCACAAGATAAAGACATATAGTGGTGCCGTCCTGGAGGGTCGGAGGAGATGAGACAGCAGCCGTGAGTAGAACCTAGATAGAGGTTCTATGAGTGGGGTGGCGAAAAGTAACAAAATTTCTTTTGTAAACTTATAATTTTTAATTACAAATTTGTCAATAAATTAATGTTAGAATCATTTGTTTCTTTTTTCATCATTTTATCGATTTTCTTATTTTTTACAGATGTGTTCGCAAATTTCTTCAAATTTTAAATGTTGTCTTTCCATTAAAAGTTCCAGGAAATCTACAGAAAATGGTTTTGAACGTTGAGACATTACAGAAACCCATAACTGTACAAGATTTCTTATTTTCGATGATCAAAGTTCCCTAACAACTAACTAGTTTACTGTAGAATTTTTACTGCATTTGTCGTTTTTGTCTAAAATATTTTTTTTGAAATCCAATTCTCAAAATCATCCTTCAAAAATGAACAATCTATAAGAATTTCTAAGATTGGATTTGCGCTCTTGCCGAACAAATATGCACTGTAAAACATCTGATAACGAACGACCGTTTTTTCGCAGATTTATTGATTTTTCACATGATGTAATCGAACACATCTTCTTGCTATCTGTCTATCCACGTTTCTCCGTTTTTTTTTGAGATTTTCAAGAACTCGTTTAAAATTTATAATTTTCATATCTGACATCCATACTCAGGCTTTTTCAACCTAAGACTGACATGAAATTGAAGATAATGTAATGAAGGAGGACAGGAAAATATCAAGTTCTGGTCAGTTTTAGATCAAACAAAAGGTATAATTTATTGTCGTTAAATGTCATTTTATATCTAAAATGGTTTAATTGTTTAAAAGTTTAATAAAACATTTTCATTTAAATTATATCCATTTTCGAAACACTTCTAATTTTTCCATTTTCGCGCATGTTACGATCTCGAATCTTGGACGCGTTTTTAGAAATACGCAGAATACAGATAAGTTCAAATTTCGTCAATTTTAATAAAAAACTTCCATATTTCTCTGCCCAATTGAATTGTAAGAACAAAATAATATTAAAGTTTGAATTTTTCAATGTTTAAGTTGTTTTATTTTGAAATATCAGAACAGAATGTATTATTTACATATTTATTGTTTCAATTATTTAAATTCTATGTTTGCGTTTGTGTTTGCGTTTGGTTTTTTTACTAAATTATTTTATCAAAGCATAATTTTCAAATTTTTTTTTCTTATTTTTTTCTTTTACTTTTATGCTAAAACTATTTTTTCTCGCTTATTTTTATGCTAAAACTTGATGAACCATTCAAAAATCATGAAATTTTTATAATCTTTTTTTTTATTAGTTAAGAATTGGGTTTTGAGACAAATTTTTTTTTTGCAGTTTTTGCTGGATATTTTGATCCTTGGATCCGGATCCAGGAAGTCAAAATCCTGCGAACCAAACGGATTCGGATCCGGATTAACCATGTTTTTATTGTTATCAATTGGTTATATTGTAAAGTTGTAGAACAAATTCATTACTGCAGAATTTAAACTGCAAGGGAGTGTTGATGTTATGTTTATTTTAATTTATCTTTTTAATTAATTACTGATATTTACATCTTTAACACTTTAAATACGGTACACATTTCTGAAGTGTAGAACACGTACCATAAAAAACTTGCCAAAGTTTACAGTGTATTTTCATGCCCCTTAATGTACTTTCAATCCCGATTCCATTTGGGATCATAAATGGAATGTTATGAACTCTAGATTAGGCGAAAAAAGGGTTTGTTTACACTTTTACTTTGAGGTATTAGGACCGCTAAAAACTAGGTTCACTATCCAGTTTCTGAAATGTCCTCGTGCGTCATAGTAAAACGTACACAAGCTTTGATGAAATCAATGTTCTAGGAAAAGTTGGGTTTCTGAATCATCATTTTATTGGAACTAATCTCAAATATAAAAAGGTATCATTTAATTTGATTTTGTTTGTTAGTTTTTTGTTTGTTTTTTTGTTAGTTTTGTTTGTTTGTTTGTTAGTTTTTTGTTTGTTTGTTTGTTTGTTAGTTTTGTTTGTTTGATTGTTTGTTTTTTGTTTGTTTGTTCGTTAGTTTTTTTTGTTGGTTTGTCACACTCCAAAGTACATCTTATAGAAGTTTAGCAGATTTTTTATTTTCTTTTTAATTTGCACTTGAACAGGAATTTATTGATTATAAAGAAGGCAAACTTGGTTTAAAAAAAGGTTAAATAATAGGTGGTTAAAACGCCGTTAAATGCAGCATATTCCCATTGTACACAATTAAAAATAAATATTTGCATTTTCGCAGATTTTTCAGTTCAGTCGGTTTGATTTTTCAGTTCGATACAAAAAAAAAATATTTAGGTAATACTGATTGGTCTCGATCAAACATTTAGTCATTACCATGCTGTAGCTCTTAAATTGGGACATAATCTTACAAAGCAAAGAGGTATACCTATAAAATAATTTACAGTGCTCAGGATCCGGATCCGTTGAATCTGCAAGATTTTTGCTTCTTGGATCCGGATCCCGACCTGCAATAATATGCAGATCCACGGATCCGGATCCAAGGTGTAAAATATCAACCAAAAACTGCAAAAAAAAAAAATTTAACTCCTAAAACCCAAATTTGAACTGTTGAAAAAAGGCGAGATTATAAAAATTTCCTCATTTCTGAATGGTTCATCAAGTTTTAGGATAAAAATAAGCGAAAGAAATGAAACAAAAAATTTGAAAATTATTTTTTGTTAAAAAAGTTCAGTAAATCTTATAGAAATGACCTGGATCTGGATCCGGATCCATTTTTTCCAGTGTGGATCTAGGATCAGGATCCGGATCCGCATCAAAATTAAATGGATCCTAAGCACTAAAAAGAAATGTTAATTTAGCAAGGAAAATATACTTGTTTGTGCGTAAACGAACTAATTATTTAAAATACATGCCATGCAAGAAATTTTAACAACTTTTTTCAGAAGAGAAAAAATTAAGATTTTTTAATGGAGCCCGACATATTCTTCTCAACACTATTGGTCAAGAATCCATGCTTAGGAATCTCAAGTGTTTATAGAATTTTTTTAGCAAAACATTTTGTTTATCCTTGTGTATATCCTTGGTTAAGAAGTTTATTTGTTCCCGGACATTTTAATAAATCCCGACAGACCCGGAGGGGTGTATTTTTCTGGAAGAATTATACCCCCTCTTAGAAAATCCTTTTTTTCCCAAGATGTTAGGTACAGGGTGGCCAAAATGTACGGATTGTACGGATTGATTTTTTTTAAACCCTAAAATTGTACGGATTGTACGGATTTGTTTTCAAATTGTACGGCTTGTACGGATTTTTATTCTGGAAAATACACCGTTTTTTTTTTAATTTTTAACTCATTTCAGCAAATTTTTCATGAAAATTAAAAAAATAATTCTTGTCAAAATGAAGTTAGTTTAACTTATTTCTGCATTCTAAATAATATCAGATTGATTAATGTTTCAATTGACAATCAAAATTCATTCATAATTTTCGAGATATGTCCAAGAAGTGTTTATTTGAGAATATGTTCCATAAGTACTTATTTGATTGCTTATTCAAGAATATATTCCGGTATCCTGTACCCAGTATCCTGTATCCAGTATCCTGTATCCAGTATCCTGTACCCAGTATCCAGTATCCAGTATCTAGAATCCTGTATTAAGTTCAATATCCTGTATCCTGTATCCTGTATCCTGTATCCTGTATCCAGTATTCATTCAATATCCTGTATCCTGTACCCTGTATCCTGTATTCTGTATCCAGTATCTTGTATCCTGTATCCTGTATTCCTGTATCCTGTATCCTGTATCCTGTATCAAGTATCCTGTATCATGTACCCAGTTTCATGTACCCAGTATCCTGTATCCAGTATCCTGGTTCCAGTATCCTGGTTCCAGTATCCAGTATCCTGTATCCTATATCCTGTATCCAGTATCCAGTATCCAGTATCCAGTATCCTGGTATCCAGTATCCAGTATCCTGGTTCCTGTATCCAGTATCCAGTATCCAGTATCCTGCATCCAGTATCCAGTATCAATCCAGTATCCTGTGTTCTGTATCCAGTATCCAGTATCCTGGATCCAGTATCCTGTATCATGTATCCTGTATCATGTACCCAGTTTCATGTACCCAGTTTCATGACCCAGTATCATGTACCCAGTATCATGTACCCAGTATCCTGTATCCTGTATCCTGTATCCAATATCCAGTATCCCGTATCCTGTATCCAGTATCCAGTATCCAGTATCCAGTATCCAGTATCCTGTATCCTGTATCCTGTATCCAGTATCCAGTATCCTATATCCTGTATCCAGTATCCAGTATCCAGTATCCAGTATCCTGTATCATGTACCCTGTATCATGTATCCAGTATCCTGTATCCTGTATCCTGTATCCTGTATCATGTACCCTGTATCATATATCCAGTATCCAGTATCATGCACCTAGTATCATGTACCCAGTATTTAGTTTGTATATATGTATGAAGCCAATTTTTACAGATTGATTCTTGCTGAAGAAGTTTAAACCCTCTTACATGAACTGAACACAAAAGACAATGAATGAAAAATTGAATTTTAATGTTTTTTTTTCAAAAATGGGATTTTTTCGAAAATTGTACTGATTGTACAGATTTTTCAAAAAAATGTACGGATTTTTAAAAAAATGTACGGATTGGTTTAAAAAAAGTACGGATTGTACGGATTTTTAAAAAAAATTTGTACGGATTGTTTTTCGAAAATTACGGATTGTACGGATTTCTTCTGAAAATGTACGGATTTTTGTACGGATGTGTTCAAAAATGTTTTGGCCACCCTGTAGGTATGTTCAAAAGTTTTTTTTTCGCTGAATTTGGGAAATATTTTTTGGAAGAAGTTTTACCCCTCTCCTCTCACTTCTGATGCATGTTGCTGTCCAATTTTAATTGCAACATATGACTCTTAGTCTTATTCGCGGTTTTTCCCCAAATTTGAAATCTGATAGCTTGGTTCAAATTGATTAATCTTGCGCAGTCATTATATTTATGAAGTAGTAATATAATTCGGTGTTGATGAAGCTCCAAACCTCGCACAGTAAAAAAACAGCCAACAAAATCAATATTGAAAATATGTAAAAAAAACAAAAGCAGAAACTTTTTAAAAAATCAAGAAAATTGGTTGTCAAATGAAAAAAGGGAAACCTCACATTATGATATGTAAAAGAGGTAATTTGTAAATATCAACTTCTATATATAAATTTGGTTTGTCTGTCTGTTTGTTTGTCTGTTTGTTTGTTTGTATCCAATAAACGTCAAAACGGCTGAACCGATCGGGCCCAAATTTTTTGTGGGACATCTAGGGACCCCAGGGAAGGTTTATGAATGATTGAAATTTTTAAAATTTGTGTGTAAAAGTTTTTTATTTTTGTAAAATTTTGAAAATGCGCGAAAAAATATTATGAAATCCGCAAACTTTTTTTGTTTTTGTTTTATACTGTACAAAGAGAAGATGCTCACAGATAAAGCCAAAATTAAAAGTTTAAATAGTAGATAGCCTAGAAATTCAGGGCGCGCAGCGCCCTGAATTTCTAGTTTTATTAAATGTTTAAAGACTGGGTTGTTCCCCAGCTAACGCATATAAATTACTTGAGATACTGATTAGACCGGAGAACGGGTTGAAGGAGTTGTATAAAGAGATATCTGATTTACTGGAGCCAGATTCATTCCTTATACTTGATAATATATCCGTCCTAACCAGTCTAGGCTTCTCCAATAGGGAAGACGACATAAAAAAAATTGAGTTTGTAATTTATTAATTTAAAACTGGCTTACCTACCGGTTTAAAAATCGCAAGCACCAAGTGGAGGTTAGATAATTCAATAAGTTCCTCAATGCTGAACTACTTCTGGAATATGCAGTAAATACAGCCGTACCAGTTCAACCGCTTTTCAGAATTCATTCATTAATTTCCATCTCTAAAGTTTTTTTTATCTTGCTTTTCCGCACCTCAGTTTTCATGTTAACCCAAAAGCTAGGCCCATCCTGAATAACTTCATTGAATTTGGGACATTTTATTAAATAATATGGATATTGTTTTAAAAAATGTCGTTAATGAGCAGAGAGGTTTACTTGTTTCTGACTAAGTTGAGTAAACTTGTGGATGGACTGAACAGTTCTATGCTCTCAACATTTGCACAGTTGGAACCTGATTTGCTTACTTATAATATATCCAGGGAACCTTTTATATATTTATATTCCATAATATATCCAGGGAACCTTTTATATATTTATATTCCCTAATATATCCAGGGAACCTTTTATATATTAATATTCCATAATATATCCAGGGAACCTTTTATATATTTACATTCCATAATATATCCAGGGAACCTTTTATATATTTATATTCCATAATATATCCAGGGAACCTTTTATATATTTATATTCCATAATATATCCAGGGAACCTTTTATATATTCATATTCCATAATATATCCAGGGAACCTTTTATATATTTATAATCCATAATATATCCAGGGAACCTTTTATGTATTCATATTCCATAATATATCCAGGGAACCATTTATATATTCATATTCCATAATATAGCCAGGGAACCTTTTATATATTCATATTCCATAATATATCCAGGGAACCTTTTATATATTCGTATTCCATAATATATCCAGGGAACCATTTATATATTTATATTCCATAATATTTCCAGGGAACCATTTATATATTTCTATTCCATAATATATCCAGGGAACCTTTTATATATTCATATTCCATAATATATCCAGGGAACCATTAATATATTTACATTCCATAATATATCCAGGGAACCATTTATATATTTATATTCCATAATATAGCCAGGGAACCTTTTATATATTCATATTCCATAATATTATCCAGGGAACCATTTATATATTTACATTCCATAATATATCCAGGGAACCTTTTATATATTTGTATTCCATAATATATCCAGGAAACCATTTATATATTTATATTCCATTATATATCCAGGGAACCTTTTATATATTTATATTTCATAATATATCCAGGGAACCATTTATATATTTGTATTCCATAATATATCCAGGGAACCTTTTATATATTTATATTCCATAATATATCCAGGGAACCATTTATTTATTCATATTCCATAAAATATCTAGGGAACCTTTTATATATTTACATTCCATAATATATCCAGGGAACCTTTTATATATTTCCATGATATATCCAGGGAACCTTTTATATATTTATATTCCATAATATATCCAGGGAACCATTTATATATTTATATTCCATAATATATCCAGGGAACTTTTTATATATTTACATTCCATAATATATCCAAGGAACCTTTTATATATTTACATTCCATAATATATCCAGGGAACCATTAATATATTCATATTCCATAATATATCCAGGGAACCATTTATATATTTATATTCCATAATATATCCAGGGAAGTTTTTATATATTTATATTCCCTAATATATTCAGGGAACCTTTTATATATTTATATTCCCTAATATATCCAGGGAACCTTTTATATATTTATATTCCCTAATATATCCAGGGAACCTTTTATATATTCATATTCCATAATATATCCAGGGAACCTTTAATATATTCATATTCCAACCTATATCCAGGGAACCTTTAATGTATTCATACTTTAAAATATATTCAAGGAACCTCTAATATATTCATATTCCAACCTATATCCAGGGAACCCCTTATATAATCATATTCCATAACATATCAAGGTCTTTTTCTTAGGAATTCTGACATTCATTTTGAAATACAGGAAACTGCCTTAACTGGTAATTAAACCAAGCTAATAAAAGATTAAGTGGTTATTAATATCATTAAAGAGAAGCAAAGAAAAGACATTTAATTCCCTGATAAAATTGTGAAAAGACTTTTGACAAGACAAATAAAATATTGCCTATTTGACGCAGTAACTTTTGGGACCTTTTATAGATAGAACAAATTAATATTTGACATACAGATTTAGGAAAGGACATACAAAAAGATAGGACAAAATAACTCCTGTCAAACAAATCTCAGAAATGACATTCAAAAAGATAGGACTAACTAATTCCTGTCAAACAAATCTAGGACAAGACATACTCAAGATAGGACAGACTAACTCCTCTCAACCAAACCTAGGACAAGACATACTAAAGATAGGACAAACTAACTTCTGTGAAACAAATCTTAGAAAGGACATAAAAAAAGAAAGGACAAACTAATTCCTGTCAAACAAATCTAGGACAATACATAATAAAGATAGGTTAAAATAATTCCTGTCAAACAAACTTAGGACAAGACATACTCAAGATAGGACAAACTAACTCCTGTCAAACAAGCCTAGGATATGACGTATAAAGATAGGACAAACTAATTCCTGTCAAACAAATCTAGGACAAGACATACTGAAGATAGGACAAACTAATTCCTGTCAAACAAATCTAGGACAAGACATACTAAAGATAGGATAAACTGACTCCTGTCAAACAAACCTAGGACAAGACATACTTAAGAAGGGACATACTAAAATCTGACAAACAAATTGATGAATAGACATAAAAACAATGGGACATCTAGATTCCACCTATGACAAGACATACTAAAAGATTCATAAGACAATTTACTTACATATAAACCTTGGACATGTTAAACAAAACATTTGAAAAACTTAATTCTAACAGTCACATTGACTTTTTAGGACAAAACATACAGAGGAAAAATATCAAACACCAATATTAGAAAGACAAATATTGATTTTTAAATGATTTATTCAATGGTTAAGGATTAGTTTTAAGGATTTAAAAACTGGAAAATCTAAAGACGTCACTGGGAACATATCCATCAACAGAAGGAACTATTCATAAAAAAAATTAAAAAAAAAATTATAAAATAATAAGGAAGGTTAAAAAAAGTTATTATTCATTATTTTCCAAGCTCCTAAACTTTAGTACCAAATTATTCAAGTAAGTTGTTTATTAAAAAGATAATTCAATAACTATAACCAATTTATGGTCCAATTATATTTTTATTATGTATAGAGAAATATTGATTGGTTAAATTGTACCTAATTATTTTTATATTTTGAATAATTAGATCCGTGTGTGGTGGATTCTCCAGGGAAGATTATCAGTTCAGATTAGAGGAGAAATCTGTTAAACTTTTCCCTCCAGGCACCTCAGGGGCTGTACTTTAAACCGGTGGTAGGGGTTTAACCCCCTCTCCCCCCCCACCCTGACTGTGCAAGTAATGAATAATTCTCTTTGAAAGACCATTTTTAGTTAGAAATATTGTTGATCACAATGAATTCTAAAAAGTTTTTCTTATTGTTTTCGTTTTTTTTTTTGCTATCATTGACTAAACATTAGGGTGACACAGGAAGATGAAAAAAAAGTTGGGTGGATAGATTGTTTGGGGGATGTGGCATTATGTCTGCATTTGGACAAAATTTTGGTAGGATAGGGCCACTGCATGAGGTGGAAACAGTTTCGGCTTTTTTCAGAAAATTTCTTGATTATGATGCATCTGAACAAAAACATGATGAAATATGTTCAGTTTATGTAACAAACTCTTTAGTGCAACATATTAGTTAATCACTTAAACCATAATGTAATATATTATAATTTGTTACATTGATTTAGAAATAGTATGTAATGTAGTATGTTACAGTTATCTAGTTAATATTAGCAATCTTAAACCATTTATAAAACATGTGTTAATAGAGAAATTAAAAAAATGGGACCAAATAAAAAGGGGAAAACTGATCTTCATCCACACCGTGTCATGAATTACAGTCAAAGAAGACCACTTTATTTGGTGAAATCCCCTCTGTCAAACATCAGTTCAAGAAAACTGCCAACTAATGGAACAGTACTTAGGTACTTCCAGTATGTAATCAGCGGCAAAAGTGTCAGGTTTAAATCTACAAGAAACAACTTTTCCTGTTCCATGGCTAGGAATACATCTGTCATGATCTGTAAATATTCTGATCAACCCTGCAATGAAGCTACTGGAAAAGAATGTGTGCTAAGGAAGATTGTAAACATCTGGGTATCTTGCGGATTTGGAAGTTGTATCATCACAGAGCAGTCAATTAAGATTAAGTTTCAGAAATTACACAAACAATTGAAGAATCTCAGCAAGGTACAAACTATTCTTAAGAAGAGAACAACCGAGCCAGCACATGAAGTTAATATTCAAAAGTTAAAGGATATGATGAATGGTGTGCATTTCTCACCTAATTTTCAATTAGGTCCTCACGCCAAATGCCGGACGCAGGCTATTTCTCACACGCTTGTTTCTGTAAATATCCACAGTTCATTTATAGTCTAGGAACAGGGAAAGCACGTCTTGCGATGGAAACTGAAAAAATAAATCACAATATTAATCAATTCTACATAGTTAATTTTTAAGCAAAACCATCAACTAATCATTATTTTACAATCAATCAATCAATCACACATATCTATTAAAAAGAGTGCTTACATTTGGTGCAACGACTGAGTGGGTGGAGCACCGTCCACGTAGGTATATTTCTTGACGAGACTGTTTATTTAACCAGATCCCCTTTTCTCCGAAGGTTCACTCCTGAAATATTTTATATTAGATTTAAATTCACTTTAAATCATTGTTCTAACACAACTGTTATTATTCTGATCAGAGCTCACTATATCAGGAGGGGTATTTGTTTCCTGGTTTGAGAATGTTCGGCTCTCACCCCAGGTTCAGCATACACCTCTTCAGCTCCAAACTAACATGTCTTCAACTCCAGGGTTGGGAACAACAATCTCTAATCAATCTTCAACTCAATATCAACATTCTCCTTCAAGTCCTGGAGCATACCAGGGCCAGGAGAATTATCGCAATCCTTTGTGTAGCTGAAACAAGAGGTCAGTTTGTATTTGATTGTATGAAAACCGGTCAAATTTAAAAAAATTAGCATGACCACAATATATATGTCTTAATTATTTGTTTAAAAAATAATAATTGTTGCCAAAAGTTAAATTATAAAGATTGTTATATTTTAAGTGAGAAAATTGGTTTACGTCTTATTTTCACAGTTAATGAATTGATTATTTAATTTGTTGAAATGAAAGTCAAGGTTAAAGTAGTTGTGGCGGCGGAAACTGTTGTAGACATCAGAGTTGTCTAGTAGTTTTTTGACAGCAATTGCTGTTTCGATGAGCCTTGTTGCCTGATGTTGTGGGTAGCTGCTGAAGTCACCAGACTTGTTGAAAACATATCCTTTTGCGCAGGTTGTAAGAGGTACGGAGTGAGTGCCAGTGAAACCTACCAATCCATTGCTGGGGAGATATGGAATCCTAGCCAGAAAGCTTGCCGCTAGGATTTTCTCTGAGAGTGAGTTGGAGAAGGCTGTGAGCTGGGAGAGGGTCAGTTCAGGGTGGTAGAGGGGTCCTTGACCAGTAATAATCACCATCTTGTTGATAGAGGAATCCCTTAGATGTTTCTTGATGTTTAAGCAGAAGAAGTTGGCATACCGCTGACCATACTTTGTGATGTAGTCCTGCCATTATGAGGAAGGTATGTGGGTTAAATTAGGTCCCAGATTAAACTCGATGAAGAGAGTTAATTTAGGCTGCATTTGCAGGATGTCCTGTAGTGTTCCCAAGAGAGTCTGTTCTACTGGAATGGGAATTCTAGTTTCTCTGTTCTACAGGTACAGATGAATTCCTTGATACGCTTCAGTAGAGAGGAGAAGAGTCTTGCTTGAAGAGAGATACAAGACTTGAATATGACCAGTCATGAAACAGCCTGACTTGGCCAGTAGAGAAGTGCCAACAGTCAGGATATCAAACGAAGTTAGGACCAGAGCTGCTTCGAGTTTCTGGAAATCAGAGGCATATGGATGCCCATAGAAGCTCTATAAGCTGGTTGGGTAATCTTCGCCTTGTTTGAGACTGTTGATGTTTTGACAGGTTTCTGCGCTGTGGAAGAGCTCATCCAATTTGGTTGAGATTATCGGAGTGAGGAGCTCAAACTTTAACCTGTCTTTGGTGATTGAGGTTTCTGAGGGCGGAGCACATTCGTCCTTGAGCCGACCAACAACCCTGAAAGTGATAAGGAGATCTGGTACTGTGGCAGTGAGATCCAAAGCATTTTGGAGTAGATCTGACCAGTTGTTGGATACCAGGCCATCTTCGTAGCCAGGGGGGAGAGTGCACATGGTAAGGACTCTTTGATAATTTTCTAGTTGTATTTTTGGCACAGTATCTATTAGTGTTCCAGCTGAGGTGTGATAAATGCTTGTATATTCCTGGTTACGCGCCATAAACAGTTGACATGTAGAGAAGATTTTCAGTAGATTTTCTTCATTGCAGGTTTGAGCACAGCTGGTTAAGATATCTTGAAGATCCAAAGAGTGAAACTGAGTTGGCAAATCCAGCTGGTGATTCTGCATCTGGTGAGAGAGGAAGCCTGTTGTTATCAATTTCTTGCAGGTAATAAATAAGAAACTTTGAGTTTGATGATGTATTGTGATGCAATGGAATATGAGAAAAGCTCTTGAGTTGAAGAGGAGACGATGTTCTCCACAAGGGAAATCTCTGACACGGTGTTTATAGCTTCCTTAAAGGTTGTTGGAACATGGCATCCTGTCTTCTTTAGGGCAGTAATCTTGTTCACGTCTATTTCTTGAGAGTTATTAGTGTTAAAAGGTTCAAGGTCTGTTGAGTATTTTGGTTTAAAACCGTCATCTGTAGGAATGATGGTTGTAGCAAGGAGAAGAGATATTTTGATGTGGTCAGGTAGATAGCTGATGATAAACTGCAAAACCACTCAGAGTAGTGTGATCAGGGAGTGATTGAAACCTGCTGAAAGATTCAGGGCATCTTGGATGTTTTCCCGAGCTGAGTTTTTCGATTATCTCAGCTTGTTCCATTTTGTGTTTCAATTTTTAAATGCACATGTCTTGATATTGTACATGATGGTTAGTTGTAGTATTTCCTATGTATGAAACGATAGTATTGTCATCAGATTTTGTAGCCCTAGGGTGCATGCTTGCAGGTGTAGAGCAGATATTTTCAGTGAGGGACTAGTATTCTTGTAAGTAGTCTTCATGCTCATTTTTTTAAGCTGATCTCTTCGTTCAACGATGGGCTTATGATCAAATATTAGCAATGCTATCTGGTCTATGGATTGGTAGTCCGACTCTGCAAGATCGAGGACTCTTGGTTCTTCTTGAATTATATCTTCAGGATTTTCAGGTTCTAAGACTGCTGGTATTAGTATTTCCTATGTATGAAATGATAGTATTGTCATCAAATTCCTTCTCAATTATTTTATCCTTTTTATACTAAACATCTTTACTATTTGAAACATAAAAAGTAGTTTCGATATAAAAAACATATTTATTAAAAAAAAACTAAAGTTTATTTAACTAATTTTAATCCATATTTTATACTTTTGTTCATAACTCAGGAACCCCTAAGCCAATTAGAACTCCAATTCATTTAAAATAAATCAAAATCTTAAGTTAATTTTAAAAAAACAGTAAATTAATTGAATCGACTGCAATTAATTTTGCATTTTTCTCAAAAAATAGCTCCAATTAACCAAAACCCTATTTCTCCTAGCCTTTTCAATTAAAAACCCATATCTTTAATTTAAAAATATTTCTTTAACCCCTTTTTTACTACGTTCTTCTCTTGACTATCTCAGACTTTCACACACATCCGCATTAAAAACCTAAAAATATTTTTTCAAATTAATTTAATTAATTACTTTAAAAATTAAAATTAAAATAACATTGTAAACCAACCACTCATTTAAGAACTACATATTCTGGAACCAGCAGTCTTAGAACCTGAAAATCCTGAAGATATAATTCAAGAAGAACCAAGAGTCCTCGATCTTGCAGAGTCGGACTACCAATCCATAGACCAGATAGCATTGCTAATATTTGATCATAAGCCCATCATTGAACAAAGAGATCAGCTTAAAAAAATGAGCATGAAGACTACTTACAAGAATACTAGTCCCTCACTGAAAATATCTGCTCTACACCTGCAAGCATGCACCCTAGGGCTAAAAAATCTGATGACAATACTATCGTTTCATACATAGGAAATACTACAACTAACCATCATGTACAATATCAAGACATGTGCATTTAAAAATTGAAACACAAAATGAAACAAGCTGAGATAATTGAAAAACTCAGCTCAGGAAAACATCCAAGATGCCCTGAATGTTTCCGCAGGTTTCAATCACTCCCTGATCACACTACTCTGGGTGGTTTTGCAGTTTATCATCAGCTAGACTCTCTACCTGACCATGTCAAAATATCTCTTCTCCTCGCTACAACCATCATTCCTACAGATGACAGTTTTAAACCAAAATACTCAACAGACCTTGAACCTTTTAACACTAATAACTCTCAAGAAATAGACGTGAACAAGATTACTGCCCTAAAGAAGACAGGATGCCATGTTCCAACAACCTTTAAGGAAGCTATAAACACCGTGTCAGAGATTTCCCTTGTGGAGAACATCGTCTCCTCTTCAACTCAAGAGCTTTTCTCATATTCCATTGCATCACAATACATCATCAAACTCAAAGTTTCTTATGTATTACCTGCAAGAAATTGATAACAACAGGCTTCCTCTCTCACCAGATGCAGAATCACCAGCTGGATTTGCCAACTCAGTTTCACTCTTTGGATCTTCAAGATATCTTAACCAACTGTGCTCAAACCTGCAATGAAGAAAATCTACTGAAAATCTTCTCTACATGTCAACTGTTTATGGCCCATAACCAGGTCTATACAAGCATTTATCACACCTCAGCTGGAAAACTAATAGATACTGTGCCAAAAATACAACTAGAAAATTTTCAAAGAGTCCTTACCATGTGCACTCTCCCCCCTGGCTACGAAGACGGCCTGGTATCCAACAACTGGTCAGATCTACTCCAAAACGCTTTGGATCTCACTGCCACAGTACCAGATCTCATTATCACTTTCAGGGTTGTTGGTCGGCTCAAGGACGAAAGTGCTCCACCCTCAGAAACCTCAATCACCAGAGACAGGTTAAAGTTTGAGCTCCTCACTCCGATAATCTCCACCAAATTGGATGAGCTCTTCCACAGCGAAGAAACCTGTCAAAACATCAACAGTCTCAAACAAGGCGAAGATTACCCAACCAGCTTATAGAGCATCTATGGGCATCCATATGCCTCTGATTTCCAGAAACTCGAAGCAGCTCTGGTCCTAACTTCGTTTGATATCCTGACCATTGGCACTTCTCTACTGGCCAAGTCGGGCTGTTCTATGACTGGTCTTATTCAAGTCTTGAATCTCTCTTCAAGCAATCTTCTCCTCTCTACTGAAGTGTATCAAGGAATTCATCTGTACCCGTAGATTCTGCAATCGTTCATTCGCAACACAAAATTTTGCATCTGTCCCAGGAGCCCTTGTAGCTAGGGCTTCAAACTCAGCGGCTAGAACCTCCAAGCTGGAGATCATCTCAGCTCCATACTTCAAAACTTTATCTGCTTTAAATTGAAGAGCAGCTTCAACACCAGGGTTCAGGACAGTTTCCGGAGATAAAGCATTAACACCAGTAACTGTAGCACCCGTCCTCCCCAGGTTTTCTCTATTCTTCAACTCCTTGCTTGCATTTCTAATGAAGAGAATCAACGTTCGCTTTGCAGCATTTGAATCAGCTTTGTTTTCATCAGTAAACATATCTGCCAGACTATCTTGGAGAACTAAAATCGTGGCTTGGGCAATTCCCTTGAGCCTCCCTGTAATTTCAGTCTAAGGTGGTCAGTTGCAAACTCTTCAGGGTCAACTCATAAAATCATCCACAGTTAACATTTTCACCTCCTCGAGGTTTGCAAGAGCTCCGGGAATAGGATCAATATCAGCCATTCTATCACTGGCCACAGACACACCGTAGAAGGTACTAGTTGAAAACCTGGGGTCCTGATTCACAAAACTTGGATTCTCTCCCTCCTCGTCCTAGGCTAAGGAACTAGCTTGAGTGAAAACTTATCCTCTTGAACACTAGGCAGACCTCCCCGACCCGACGTGTTTCGTCCTGGGTTTTGTACTGTTTCTTTCTGGATAAGGGATGTCACAGGGTTCCAATCAGAGTCAAACCCACAAAAAGGAGAGGTGGGGCTCAAAGGGGGATCTGCCATCCCAGGAAAATTTCATCTGTTTTGGTTCTCGGTATTTGCAAAATGCAAATTTTCCACTGTGCATTTCTCACCTAATTTTCAATTAGGTCCTCACGCCAAATGCCGGACACAGGCTCAGTAGTCAGACCCATTTCTCACGAGCTTGTTTCTGTAAATATCCACAGTTCATTTATAGTCTAGGAACAGGGAAAGCACATTTTGCGGTGGAAACTGAAAAAATAAATCACTATTAATCAGTTCCACATAGTTAAACAATTTTTAAGCAATACCATCAACTAATCATTATTTTACAATCAATCAATCACACATATCTATTAAAAAGAGTGCTTACATTTGGTGCATCGACTGAGTGGGTGGAGCACCGTTCACATAGGTATATTTCTTGACGAGACTGCTTATTTAACCAGATCCCTTTATCTCCGATGGTTCACTCCTTAAATAGTTTATATTAGATTTAAATTCACTTTAAATCATTGTTCTAACACACCTGTTATTATTCTGATCAGAGCTCACTAGATCAGGTGGGGTATTTGTTTCCTGGTTTGAGAATGTTCGGCTCTCACCCCAGGTTCAGCATACACCTCTTCAGCTCCAAACAAACACATCTTCAACTCTAGGGTTGGGAACAACAATCTCCAATCAATCTTCAACTCAAAATCAACATTCTCCTTTAAGTCCTGAATACGTTAGAGTTGAGAATAGTCAAGATTGCAAGTACCGTGTACAGCAACGGTACAGCAGTATAGGAGATATAAACACACCTGTGAATAACTCATGGCTGCAATAACAGGACAGCTTCATGCTCACAGGTACATAGAGTACAGCGTCTCCTTCTTATCCAGGTTAAACCAGGATTATATAGTACCAGTACAATCTTCTTCTGTTGAGGTACAGGTACAGCAGCAGCTACTCCGGAACTACCATTTGTAGTGTACAAGTGTCAGAACAACAAGTGTCAAACCAGTCAGCTGGGGTCAGGATGCAACGATTTTGTCCTCAGCTCCTAAACAGGGGTATATATTGTCGATGCACCAGGGAGGGATGAGATCAGGGTACAACAACGTGTACACTGTTCCCATGTACAAGTAGTACAGTACGTTAAGGAATGTACAGTATTATAATATTTCTCAAACCTTTTGTTTATATCGTAGAGAAATTATTCGAATTTGCATTCAAACAAGACCATATTGTTTGGTCTGAAAAAGGCCTCTAAATATTTTTAATAAATGTTTTGAGAGTAAATGTAGCGTTTAAATACATGGTTACAATTTTAGGATTGATGGTATTGCAACTGCTTCCTTTTATATATATATATATATATACAAGTTTAAAATCTTTTTACTTTCATTTTTAGATAAAACTTTCAGTTATACAATAAAATTAGGCTAAATATGCTTTCAATCAACAGGGTAAAATATTCGTTGAACAGGGCTAAATATGTGCTAGAATTAGGGGTAAATAGAAAGTACTTTATATCTTCTGTAGCTTGAAGATTGATGATTAGGTGTGGATCCAGCTCTCGTAGTTCAAGGTTTATGTGAGCACTGGGTTCGTCACTCCTTGCACTTCCTAAACAGGGCTTTAGATATAGGTTTTACAAATGGGTTGTTTGATATTGCCGAGCCCAACTTTGAACTAATGCTGAGAAATGAAAAGTCTATGCCAAGATCCAAGGAGAGTATCATGGAGGATATGCAGTTTTTGCAGGATCAAAGATCTGCTCGAAAAATGGAGATAAGCCATCAATGTGATATGGAGCTTGAGGAAGTTGTCAAGAGAAGAACTGAGAGGTATAGGAGGCATGATGAGTATAGAAAGAATATTGCTGCTGAAGGTTTCTGTGATCCATTCCCAGATGAAGCCAATGATATCTTTTATGATCCTGTCCCAGTTGATAAAGGTTTGCACTGCAAGAAACAAAGTCACCATTCGATGATGATGATAGTGATGATTCTGACATCAATGATCATAATGAAAGCCAAACATTTGTATCAGAAGTCAACCTAGCAGGTCCTTCAAATACATCTATTTCAGGTACATATATTGAAATTTGCATTACATATTTTTTAAAAAATACCAGTCTTATCAGAATTACATTTGGCAAGCTGCAAAACCAACTTTTAGACTATTTGAAAAGTTTTCTATATCTTCAATTTTAAATAGGTTTAAATGATACTTTCAGAAAGAGAAGAATTGAGAAAGGTTCAACTTTAGTTACAGTTGAGAAAGATATCTCACTATGTTGCCTCCACTAGTGGAGGCAACAACTTCCCTCAGCGTAAGAAGTGGGCTAAGCTATAGAGACCAAACAGTGTTTCTTGCAGCAATAGTAAATTATCTTGATATCCCTTTCAAACAAGTTGGTCTAAACAGAGAGACTGTGAGAAGAAAGCGATTTGAAATTGTTCAGAGAGAAGGTGAGGGTATTAGGTCTGACTATATGAAAGAAATGGCCAGTAAACATTTAGTTCTACACTTTGATGGGAAAATTCTGAAACATATTGAAGAAGAAAGTAAGCAAGAGTACATCAACTGATAGGATTGCCATCTCAGTTACAAGTCCTGAATTTGGAGACAGAGATGACCTTTTATTAGGAGTTGTGCCTTGTGAAAGTGGAAAAAGTGCAGATTGTGCTCTTTGCATTCAGAATCTCTTTGAGTACTTTGATGTATGTGATGGAATATTTGCTATTTGTGCAGATACAACTGCAGCAAATACTGGACGTAACAATTGAACTACTGTGATTTTGGCTTAGGTTCTCCAGAAGCCATTTCTGTGGTTATTATGTCGCCACCACATCTCTGAACTTACTATAAAGGCCTGCTATCAAGCTGTCACAGGAGAAAAAACTGTTGGTCCCAGCAGAAAAATGTTATAGACATAAAAAAAGATTGGACAGAGAAGTATCATCCAGTGCTGTCAGCACAAGGTGTAACAGCACATTTCAAGAAAATTGATGAGTCTGCTCTCCAGGTTGGAAGTGAGTTACACAGGATCTATCTAGAATCTAAAAGTTTCATTTCTTATGCACTGGAGCATGAAGTCTTCCCTAGGGGAGATTACAAACATTTAGTCCAGTATCTGGCTTTTGCAATGAATATAAAGTCTAAAAAGCTTGACAACTTCAAGATCTACCAGCCAGGAGCCTGCCATGATGCTAGATTTATGGCATATGCAATTTATCTGGTAATGCTAGATATTACATCTCCTGTGCTTGATTATAAGTCTCAGACCAAGATGGTGGGAAAGTTGACTTTGATAATTGCAATCTATTATGGGCCTGCATTCTTAAGATCTACCAAAACAGAGCATGCAGTCATGAATGATTTCAACACATTCAAGACAGCTAACATCTTAAGCAATGAGTTTGATGAGGAAGTTGGGAGATCACTGAAGAAAACTGTGAGTAATCACACAGAATATTTGTCTCCAAAGTGTCTTCCAATGGCTTTGACTGATCCAGATCTTGATTTGGAAACCAAGATCAAGCTTTTGTATGCTCTTATTGCGTATGAAGTACCAGAGCTTACAGAAATCAGTATAACTGCTCCAGACAAGGTAGTAATCACAGAGAATACAAATCTGGAGAGTCTCATCACTCAGGAAAGCTGGACGATGTTCATTCTTCTTGGCATAGAGAAAGAGGTTCAAGAGTGGTATGAAGCAGCAGTGAAGGGAGAGGATTTCCAGAAGATGAAATCCTTTGCATGGTTTGAAGAATTCATTAAAACCCTCAGTTGCACCAATGATAGTGCAGAACGTAACATTGGTTTGATCCAGAGGTTTGTAGGATCTTCATTAAATGAAGATCAGCGCCAGAATGTCTTATTAGTTGTCAGAGAGAATAGAAAATTAATCAGCAAGAGCATGACTCAATCTGAGCTTGCAAACTGAAGGCTAATCAGGGGTACATATATTACATATCCATCTCTTCCTAAATTACTTGTGAAAATTCTTGTTATTTTAACCAATTTTATAAAAATACTGCTCAAATTAGATTCTACTGAAATCACCCTTTACCCCATATTTCACATTTTACGTAGAATATTGAATTTATGTACCAATCAAGAAAGAAATAATATGTAAACCAACTTATAATAATGTTATGCTAAAATAATGTTGAAAAGTCGGATACAATTTTTTCCGAAAAATGAGAAAAGTCAAGGGTTTTCAAAAACTGTTTCAACCTAAGAGAATAAAGTTAGAACCATAAATTTTTTTGGATTTCACCTCTAAGGCTGAGTAAGGTTAGACATCACACATAGAACCTATCCATCTTTTGATTTTTTGATTTTTGATTTTTTGGTGATCTTCCTGTGTCACCCTACTAAACATACTACTAAACTATAAAATTACATTTGTTAAAACTTTTTTTTATATTTTCAGAAATAAATGTTGATTAAGCCCCTTCTGTTCTTCTAAAGTCAGGTAATATATTCATTCTTTTCCAACAATTACTCCCTTAACTCAGCGAGTAAAACAAACTTTTTAAAAAATATTCAACGAGGGCAAGGGAAGGGGTGGGGGTAATTTTTCAAACTTCCAAAAATGAAGGTTGTGGGAATATATCCTCCCAATTCTAAAATTATGTTAAGAAAAATGGTTCTGGAGGTGGTTAAGCCTGGTTGGGTGGATGGAGAAGATTTCCCAATATTCTCTGTAGATATTCATCCTCAGGGGAATAAGTTTGCTACAGGTAACCCAGGGGGAGAAAGTTCCAAACCATGATCTGGTCAATACCAGACACATGTCACAACTGACCCAACTAGTGTATACGTGGAATAGCTATAAGAGGTTTATCTAGAGATTTTATGGCCGGTGTAATAACTGTGTTCAGGATCCATTCAATTTTGATATGGATCCGAATCCTGGATTCGCACTGAAAAAATTGATCCGGATCCAAGCCACGAACATAACTGTAAGATTTACTGACTTATTCGTTATTATTATGCTAAAACTTGATGAACCATTCAAAGATAATTTTTTTTTAAGTCTCTCCTTTTTTTAACAGATCAGATTTGGTTTTGGAGAGCAAAAGATGTTTGTTTGTCGTCTTTGGTTGATAATTTACCCCTTGATCCGGATCCTAAGGACTGAGTAAAAGAGAGGGAGCTTTTGGCACTTTGATAAAAATGTTCAGATCCTATGAGCACGTGTCTTGACAAATTCTGTAATAACATTTAGTTTTAAAAAATTGAAAAAATTTCCCCTTTTTCAGAAAATCATGTTTTTTGTAAATATAAATCCACGAGTGAAGCAAAAATATTTTTTTCTCCTTCAAAATAAATAAAATAAACTTATTAAATTACTGAATTCAGTAACGTTTAAAATCATAAAAATCCGTTAAATATTAAACAAATTATGAATTCATGTTGGCCCGAATTCAATAAATTTTTAAAATTTAAAATCTTTCGGGATCGAGGTGCAATATTAGATACTCAATCTACATCCACATGTTTCCACCTTCCTTTTTTTGGAAAAAGACTATTCACAAACTATTTGTGGCGGATTTTTTGCGTCAGAATGTTGCTTGATTTTAAGTTACCTTCCAACCAAAAGATGGCAAAGATGGCAATGCTCAACTGTGCCCTTAAAAGCTATTTTAGATCAAGTATGAACTAGAAATCCATAGTTTAGTTTCTTAAACTTTTTTCATTTGCAGGTTCTCTGCAAAAGTAATTTGCTCAATTCTTGTTTTTAAGAAGCAATAGAGAAATGATCAAAACACTTTTCGAGAAAAACGACGTTATCCGACTCATCCAACACATGTTTTTATCAGATTAAGGTTTAAAGGGTACCGTTGTAAATTGACCATCGACATCTTTGCATGGAGGGTCACTTGAAATTGTCAACTTTTGGCAGTAATTGGTGCACTTTGTTCATCCAAATGAATCCCTACCGACTACTGACGCCGAATTAAAAGAATTTATACTGTGTCGTTGAACTTCCAAAAAATGGTTTCAAATGAGCGCCGGCTCAAATATTGAAACACTGAGAACAACGTCTCAAATTCTTTAAAATTCAGACTCTGAGCAGTTTCTGATGCGTTTTTAATCGTTTAGGGGGACAGGGAAGTGACTGTGGTAGGATCGTGATATGGAATATGGAACCTATTAGGCACAAATCAAAAAATTAATCGACTTTGGTTACTTAATTTATTTCTATACTATGTATTGTAAAGGTGTCCAATTCAAATTTTTATCAATAAGCTAAAAGTTCTTTTGTTATTATTCTAGAAAAGCCGATATTTTGATTTGTTTTTATCAGAAATCAGAAACTGCAAGATGATCCCACAGTACACAAACAACTTTGTCAAATGGAAAACCATCTTGCGTGCGTCAACTGCGTCAGGTACTAAATCTTGCTTGCGTCCACTGCGTCAGGTACTTTATCTTGTTTGCGTCAACTGTTTCAGGTACTTTATCTTGTTTGCGTCAACCGCGTCAGGGACTTTATCTTGCTTGCGTCAATCACGTAAGGTACTTCATCTTGCGCGCGTTATTTGTGTCAGGTACTTCATCTTGTTTGCATCTACTGCGCCAGGTACTTTATCTTGTTTGCGTCAACTGCGTCAGGTACTTAATCTTGCTTGCGTCAAGTGCTTCTGCAGATACAAAATCTTGCTTGCGTCAACTGCGTTAGGTACTTTATCTTGTTTGCGTCAACTGCGTCAGGTACTTTATCTTGCGTGCGTCAACTGTGATCAGGTACTTTATTTTGTTTGCGTGAATTGCGTCAGTTACGTCCTCCTTTTAGCGTATTTTTTGTTTCTTTTTATTTAAATAACGTCAGTTCAAATCTACATATGCCTAATGCATGTATGCATCAAGATTAAAATTCAAAGATTCATTTACAAAATTTTATATGTCATTGTAATTAATGCAAAAGATATTTCTCTAAAATAACGTGTACGTCAGAAGTATATGTTATTTTGTGAAGTGCGTCAGAGCAATATTTTCTTCAATGTTTTTATTCATCCACATTAATTTTAGCATTTTTTTGTCGTTGTTATTTCGTGTTTTTTTTGATTTTGTAAAGTACTTTTTTAAACATTTTATATTAAGAAGGCCTTGCAATTATTTTAAGAATCTTATTGAAGTCTAGTAATAAAGAATAAACAAATTATTTCATGTTTGAGCAAAATTAAATTTGGTCTATTTATTGTAAGGCCACATTTCAATCTTGATTTAGTATAAGTCAACTCAAATTTGCCTTGTGGGTGAAGAACGTCTCTTATAGTCCGATATGATTTGATTTGATTTGATTTGATTTGAGATTTGATTTGATTTGATTTGATTTCATTAGATTTGATTTGATTTGATTTGGTTAGATTAGATTAGATTTGATTTGATTTGATTTGATTTGATTTGATTTGATTTGATTTGATTTGATTTGATTTGATTTGATTTGATTTGATTTGATTTGACGTGAAAACGATGGAGAGCTGAACAATTTATTCCAAGGAATCCAGTTTTGAATAAATAAAAACTTTGTTAGAAACCACGTTTTTAATTGAGATTGATTTAAGATTTATTCATGAACAAACATATTTGATTTGATTTGATTTGATTTGATTTGATTTGATTTGATTTGATTTGATTTGATTTGATTTGATTTGATTTGATTTGATTTGATTTGATTTGCTTGTGAATCGAACAACAAGGGAAGGCCTCTTAAAGGGACTGTAAGTGTAATTCAAGGGACCTTCCATTAATAGAGTGGCATGTACGATTTACAACGATACCATTTAAACCTTTTTTTTTTAAAGATTTCGTAGATATTCTTAATTATGTAGAAGGTAATTAAGTGCTTATAAACCGCGCGAGTGTACAAAAGCACGGAGTGTACACTGTATACTGTACGTTCCTTGCTAGTGTACACTGTAACCTTAAGTCTCTTTTTACTCAATATTCAGCTATTCTAATAAGGGTATCTACCTCATCGTTGTCCGGGCAAAGATTTAAAGGGTATTGTTGTGAATCGGACATGCCTAGATCTATAAATGAAAGGTCACTAGAAAATAGGTTTACAGTCACTCGAATTTAATTTCTGATAGATGGTCGGGAGACGGGAAGTATCTGGCTAGCGCGGGGGATGACAAACTAGGAAATAAATTTAATCACTCTTAAAATATATTCAACTAAAGTAAAATCTCATTTTTGTGAGAAAATATATTCAACTTAAGTAAAATCTCATTTTTGTGAGGAATTTTTTAGGGAGGATTTACTAGAAATACTGAAAGCGCTCGAAATAAAGTTTTCTAATTTTTTTTATTTGATCATTTATTATATTATATTGGATATGATTGAATTGTATCTAGTAATGTTATGGACCCGAAATATGTACGGTGGTGGAGCAGTTTTTGGAGGGGGAGGGAAGGTCAATCATGAAAGCTACAGGTAACAACTTCGCAGTCTGGTGAACCGATAAACTAACTGCAGAATTGACTATCAGATTTCTGAACTGGCTGACAGATTTATTAATTTACTTCCGGCTTGTATATTAAAGTCACTAATTGCTTCATTGACTGACTTCTTACTTAACTGACTGAATTTTTGCTGACTTTACTGACTGATTGCTTAACTTCGCGATTAATAACTTATTTGATTGATTAATTGATCAATCCACGGACAGAATTGACTTATTTTGAACTTATTAACTAATTTGTTCATTAGTTGGTTTGCTGATTAACTGATTGCTTAATTTATTTACTAATCAATTCACTGAATTTGTATGGATTGATTGATTGATTGATTTATTAGATGTGCGCACACCCTCCGTCAGCACGATGGTGATGTACTGGACCTTGCCTGGGGTCCCGGGGACAAGTGGCTGGCCAGCGCTAGTGTAGATAACTCTGTTATTGTCTGGGACGTCTCAGGTCACCGTTAATTCATTTACTATAAGTACTAAGTAGTCCCCCAGGTCACTGTTAATTCATGTACTAAAAGTACTGAGTCCCCCCCCCCTTTGCCTTCAGGTGTTCAATATGTTTGCCCGTCAAGTATTTTTTTTTTTTTGTTAATTTAGATGAAATATATAAGTTTTGATAATGATAACATTAATGTGTTCTCGATTGACTGATTAGTCTTAAAAAGGATGAAAATAAAACTGATCAATTATGTCGATTTTTTTCAATTTTCTCCTCAGACCATTGGAAATTCCCCCCCTCCCCCCGTGAAGGAGAGGGGTTATTCATGTCTACGTGACGTATTAGGAATATCGTTTCGATTTAAGTAAATTATTCATGAACAACAATTAACTAACAATTGTGACACTTTTAGATAATCCTATATGATGATAAAAATAAAGTTCAAATGTACAACAAATAACTAGAAATAACCAGTAATAACAATTATTCATTGCCTAACTTTGACTTTGCTTCATCAAATAACTAGAAATAACTAGTAATAACCTCGTTGTTGCCTAGATTAAATCTTGTTACCAGAATAAACTACGTCTTATCCTTCATGAAACATTGAACCCTTTCTTTGTTGCTAAAAAGCTTTCTAGGCCTTCTCAGGCTGTATAGACACACCTTTTCTTCTGCGCAAGATGGTCATTCCTGTAATTTTCAAAAATCTGGCCTTTCTTCCATATATGTCAGGAAAATTACTTTTTTCTTGCGGAATGTTGGATGTCCTTTGTTGTTGGTGTCCAATTGAGCAACAATAGAATAAACGAATATTATTCACTTGAAATGAAAGAAAATGAAAAGCAATTTCAAAAGAAATTTTTAAAACATTTATCACAAATCCATATCTTAATCTTGTTTTAGTAAGTTTTATACTTATATTTACTTCTTGGTCTGGTTTCTCGCGGTTTCTTTTCTAAAAATGTAATAAAAATGATCATAATTTTGAATAGTTATATTATAAATTTTAATAATTAATCATGTTTTTTTCAGAAGAGTGATTACTTCTTGATATGGTTTCTCGCGGGTTTTTTTTCTAAAAAGACATTCTCATTTATCATTCTAATTAGAACTCTGTTTGAAAAGATTCCAGCTTGTACAATGTACATTGTACAACTCTGAAGAAAAGAACATTTATTTGCGATATTTAACTTTGGGTTTTGCTGATTTTCAAAATCTGTTTTTGTGCATAATAAAACTATTTATTTGTTTAATATACTATTTTGTTTGGAAAAATATGTTTTTGTAGTTAAAGATTCCTATTTTTTTGCCAATTATGCCCAAAAATAGAATTTTCTCAATTTCCAAGGGACTGTAGCAGGGAGAAAGGAATAGAAGGGAGAAATAACTGACGCGGTTCGCCCTTCCATATGATTTTTCGTTCTTTGCAGACGGGTACTTCATTTGTATAAGAAATATTCAGAATAGGTTATTGTATACGCGGTAATTGTACATCAGACAAATATTTCTTTTTCAAATGAAGTACCGTCTTCAAAGCATGTATAATCATATGGTAGGGCGGGCCGCGTCAGTTATATCTCCCTTCTATTCCTTACTCCCTGGACAATAGGCGTTATCTCAATAAATCCTCCAGTTATGCACATAACACAATACGTGATAAACACGAAAGAAAGGACTATATATGTTTCTAAATCCCAAAAATGCTACTCAGTATTTTCTCTAGAAGGTTATCCATAACCAAACCTTTTTAAATCGGAGAGACAATTCTACAAACCAGTGCTTACTGCTTAGGATCCGGATTCGTTGGATCTGCAAGATTTTGCGGAGCCGGATCCAAGGGGTAAAAAAAACTTTTACTTCTAAAACCCAAATCTGATTTTTTGAAAAAAGAGAGACTATAAAGCTTTCCTCATTTCTGAATGGTTCATTAGGGTTTAGGATAAAAATAAGCGAAAAAAATAAAACAAAAAGTTTGAAAATGATTTTTGTCATAAAAATTTAGTACATCTTAAAGAAATGACCGGATCCATTTTTTTCCAGTGCGGATCCAGGATCCGGATCCGCATATCCGCATCCGCATTAAATTTAAATGGATCCTAAGCATTGCTACAAACTGAGTCTCACTTGTGTAAGGAACGCAACATATTCAGTTTGAAACAGTACAAACATGATCAAACATGAAATTGAATCCATTATTATTTCCAAAAATAAATATTATCTTCTAACCAAAAAAGTATAATTGATGTTAATGCATTTCTGAATTAAAGGGACTAGATGTTTTTTTATATGATAATCCTGTCATATAATGGAATGTTGATTTGGCGGCACCCACCTATCAAGCAGCAACTAAAAAATAAAAAGATATTGCCGTTTTACAATCAGGAAAAAAAAATCCTTCTCAATCTTACCATATCCAGGCGGACGTCTGGTTTATCCAAAATAGTGGGGGGGGGGGTTCTTATTGTGATACAAATTTATAATATTTGAAACACTTGGAAAGCCCTTGGGCTCTACTTCAACAAGCTGCAAAAATAAATTGCAAATTTGCAAAATATCATATATTCATTGTAATTTCAAGTTATTAAGCAAAAGATTTGCAAAAACAAATAGTGAAATAGTGCGCGAAATATGATAAATTATACATTTTTGAAGAGCCCTTACCACGGCGAATTCAAATATGCAAACAATTTTATTGAAGGAAATCTAAAAATGTGCACATTCTCTTTACAGGCATCTGTGTTTAAAAAACTATGCAAAATTTCTTAGCAAAAATGTGCAATCTGCTTCCTTTTGTTCAAGGCATTCCAAAGAGCTATAAAAAGTCAAATTTCCAATGACCGAAAGCAGGTCTAAATATAGAATTAGTGGGTAAAGGTAAAATAAGGTATTCAGGCAGTATGCCTGAGGACCCAGGCAGTAAGTATAAAAGCCCCGCTTTGAGCCCAAAGTGTGTTAGAAAAGTCAAAAAATTTAGACTGCCTGAGACCATTACTTTTTCAGTTATACCAAAAAAACGTCAGGGGGGTCCAGGGGGATCTCCCCCTCCCAGAACCCACAATTAAAAATAGTCAAATTTCAGATGAAAACAAAAACAAGAATAGCTTCAGTATCGGCACTCTTCTTTGTTTTGGCACTGAAATGTATTGTTTGTTTAGGTATTGGGTCTCCAACCAGTGTTGCTGTACTACGAGGGCATACTGGACACGTCAAGGGTGTTACTTGGGATCCCGTAGGGAAATATTTAGCCTCTCAGAGTGCTGATAAAACTCTCAGGTAATAGACTAAAGCTGGCAAATATCTAGACTCTGAGTGTTTATCTTATTAGAGTGCTGATGAATCTCTTTGGAAAAGGGATTGTATTCCAAAATATTCCTGGGTTCTGGAAAGGGATTGTATGCTAAATTATTCCTGGGTTCTGGAAAAGGATTGTATGCTTAAATATTCCCGGGTTCTGGAAAAGGATTGTATGCTTAAATATTCTCGGGTTCTGGAAAGGGATTGTATGCTTAAATATTCCCGGGTTCTGGAAAGGGATTGTATGCTAAATTATTCCTGGGATCTGGAAAGGGATTGTATGCCGAAATATTACTATGTTCTGGAAAGGGATTGTATGCTGAAATATTCCTATGTTCTGGAAAGGGAATGTATGCTAAAATATTCCCGGGTTCTGGAAAGGGATTGTATGCAAAAATATTCCTTGGTTCTGGAAAGGGATTGTATGCCGAAATATTACTATGTTCTGGAAAGGGATTGTATGCTTAAATATTCCTATGTTCTGGAAAGGGATTGTATGTTAAAATATGTTTAGGGTTTGGAGAACTGGAGACTGGAAGGAAGAAGCAGTGGTTAAAGAACCATTCCAGGTACAGGGTGTCCCACGAAAATGAAATTTTGTGAATAATTTTAAATGTCTTTTTCCATAATTTTTGAGATGTTTGATACCAAAGAGAAAGATAAAAAATATTAAGCGGTAGTCATATTCTAGTAAAAACGATTTCAAAGTCAACTTAATTTGAGTTAAAGATTTTATCAACGAAATAAACTGCAAAAAGTGTTAAATATCTAATCCAGTATATGGTGAAGACATACAAAACTTTTCACAATCTGTCATGTTTCGTGAGACACCCTGTAGAGTGTAGATCATAGAGGGGTGGGGGTGAGGAATGACTTAAAGAAAAAATGCATCCATTGAAATGCTATTCTTGGGATTTTTAAAAATTTTTAGATACAAATAAGGAAGACCACATTTTTTATACCTCATATAACGTACAATCTTATTCTAATTTTCAAGGTATCGTTTAATTCTCATGTTTATTGGAACACCCCGCATCTGATATTTTAAAATTAGGACTGCGGCGGAACGACCCATGTTCTTCGGCTGGACTGGTCGCCGGATGGTCAGTATTTGGTATCCGCCCACGCCATGAATGGCGGAGGTCCAACCGCCCAGGTAGAAATTCTCTCCGCCAGTTTTTTTTTGTAAATGTCCCGGTTTTTCTATTATATTCAGCATCGATGCATGTATGTTTTCCTCTTTTGCAACAGTAGTATTGAAAGTTGTCTGTTGATTTTATATGTCTTGATCTATTTTATAATTTCTTCTTCAAACTTTAAAACTAGCTAAATAGTTACAAGAATGTGCGAATGAACGAAATTGTGTTTCGCGAATTACTCTTTATAATTTGAAAGTATTATGAGATCAATAACAATAAAAACAGCCATGTTCTGACAAATATCAATATTAACACTCGTTTGACGTATTCTGACTTCTTCATTAAAATATAAAAAAATGCAATTCTGGAAATAAGATTTTCCACGAACGAATTATTAACTGATATGACGAATGACGACTTATTGTCCTGACTCTCATATTATTAGGAAACTCGGAATAATCACAGGAATGTTCTTAGCTGGGTTTTGAGTGGGTCCACTAACATACGGGAAAAAAAATTAATATCGTATTTTACGACCAAGCGCGTGTAAACGGCTGGATTAATTATAAGTACCCTGGGCTACTCTAGGTTCTCAAGCTAGTAAATTATATTGTATCTCTAGATAATTGAACGAGACGGGTTCAAGTTTGAAAAGGATTTTGTGGGGCACAGGAAAGCTGTCACCTGTATTCGATTCAACTCTAATATATTTCAACGAAAATCCTCGAAAGGGAACGGAAATTATGCTTGTGTAGCAATAGGTAAAAGAAGATTTATAATGGGTTTCAACTAACATCATTTTAAACAATTTTCCACAATGCTTTGACTGTCTCGTGATCTGCAACTTATTTATTTGCGATTTTTTCAAAAACTAAATGGAATGTTTTTTATTTATAGATTTGCATTTAAAAGGCTTTTACTTTGTAAGGCCAAATTTGTCTTTGAAGCCCTTTGTGAAGTAAAATTTTCACGAAACAAAAGTTCTGAATTATTATTACTTTTTGTTTAAACTTAGTTATCTTATTTTTAGGTTCGCGTGACCGTTCAGTATCTGTTTGGTTGACCTCACTAAAGCGCCCTCTTTTCGTTTGTCACGATCTCTTCGAATCCTCCATCCTGGATCTAGCGTGGAGTAAGGTGATTTTTTTTAACCACTCCTGATTGTTCTTTTAAGTATGTTTGATCCGAGAAATCTCTATTTCTGTTACAAAGAATGTGTACGGCTTCGTCCGCAAGGAATAGATACGTAAGCTAATGATTTTGGGGGTTCCTAGTGTACTGAGTTAACATCAAAGGATGAGACTTCAGACACTGCTGTTTATACTGTCTGCTTCCTTAACATGTATGATTCCCTGCAACTGTAAACTTGTTATTTCCTTGCCCAATCAACTTTTGAACCACGTTAAGAGATGTTTTTAAGGCTAAAGATTCGATTCAGCATGAGATCGTCATATTTGATGAGTTTCAGGTCATCCCTAGAGTCTCATCCTTTGTGGGTAACCCTGAATCTTCCTTGGTTGATACACATTTTCTTGCATAAATTGGTAAATTTAATTTTCTTTTTCTTTAGGACGGGATGACTCTCATAGCTTGTAGTATGGACGGACATATTGCCAGCTTTAATTTTTCCGGCAAAGATATCGGAACTCCAATGTCGATTTCGGATAAAAACCAACTTTTCAAAAAGTTGTACGGCCGTACCTCCGGAATTGCCGTCGCTGACAAACCTGTATTAATCGAGAATGCGGAACTTTTGAAGCTTAACAGTGATTCTGACGCGTTGGGGGATTTTTCCGATACATTCACTGACAAATCGTCAACTTGGTCGCCGATAAAAGGCCCGACAGATAAACAGATTGAGGTAAAGACAAGTGACGGTCGTCGACGAATAACGCCGATGTTTATCCCCCCTACCCTCGAGGGGGACTGGTCTCGAAACTCCACGATGTCCTCGGATGGCACAATGGGGATGGGACGGATGATCTCAAGCTCCAGCTCCGAACCCAAATCTAGAATCAAGATTGAACGACGGGACGGAGTTGTTGAACCGAACGTGAGTCCCGGGAAAAAGGAACCGGATGTGAAGAAGGATGCGGAAGCTAAGAAGGAACCGGAAGTGATAAAACCAAACATGATTCCGGTCAAGAGGAAAGTTGGAAATGTTATGGTTCAAGTAACTACAAGGTCAGTGGGGTAGAAAAAAATTATTTAACTTAAATATTTTGTTTAATTCTTTAAAAGATTTTATTTAAAACATAAAGAAATATAGAAAATTCCTAGAACTTTTTATCATTAATCTCATAAATAAATATTTTTTTTTTTTTAATTGGGATTATATAGATTAAAAGTAGGGGTTTGGAATAAGTATAAACCTTTCTCTTAATTCTTAACAAAATTTAATTACGACTGATAATTTGTTTTGTTGTTCTTTTATTATTATTTTGATTTTAAATCATCTTATGACAAAAAGGAATGTAATAGCTTTTTGGATTGGTATTGTATACAACACCAAAAAATTAAAAATTCTAGCAATTTTACTTGGTTTTCTTCTTCAGTGTACCATCGTCCACAACATCAACTGTAACAGCAACAGCACCAGCTGTTGTTATTGGAACTACTTCCCATTCTTTATCTAACGGACTTAAAACGAAGGTATTTCTGATTCTTCCAGTAGAGCGGATTTTCGAATGTTTATGGGGAGAAATATAAAGTTCAGCGGAACCCATTAAACGTTTGAATAGGAAGACGTCATTTGAGCAATTTTTGTTTATTTGATGTTGTGAGGGGTTTTCTTATAATAATAATATGAAAACAAATAGTGTTACAAGTAGCTTAAAGTCATAACTTGACTCGAACAGTATTCTTATTATGTATACTGCAAGGGAGTGTTTATTTTTCTGTAAATCATAATTTATCTCTTAAATTGATAACCGATATTTATGCAGTACACATTTCTGAAGTGTAGTATACGTACATAAACAATTTAGAAAGTGTATTTTCATGCCGCTAATTGTACTTTCAGCCCCGATCCCATTTGGGTAGACAAAATTACAATGAAATTTTACAAATATGATTGTTGAAACGATAATTACAAAAAAGCTCTAGTCCTGCCATTTCCAAAATGTGGTCTGCCTTTTTTGAGCATTTAAAATTTGCAAGAAATTTATATGTAAAGTTGTCTGATCAAATGTCAATCAATTTCTGGTCCCACTGATTTGACTGTATATTACGTATATATAAAAATTTAAGGAAGTCATTAAAAAAATTTTAGCATATAGAAGTAGTTGCAGCCCCTGCACCAGTAGTTCAACCTGTTCTACCTCTTCACCCACAGCGAGTACCAGCATCACCAACCCGAGCATATCCTGGTCTTCCCCCCCTCACCATACCTAGGTAGGGGGGCGCGAAAATCGTTCTCTAGAACAGACCCTCTTATTCCGTGCAGTCTTATTCCCAAAATTCATAAATTTTCCCGACAATTTTACATACAGAGCGTCCCATATCATAATAGACCTTCTCCAAGTTTTAACGTCAAAATAGACCCATAATACTCAAAAACCTAGCATTTTCCGCAAGAAAATTCTTATATTAGCCTTATTCAAGTTTTCATAATGATTCATTCTTCTTAAATTTTTTAATTAGTCCCGAAAATCGTAATTTAGACCGATTAACGATCTAATATCATGTGGGACACCCTGTATTGGTCATCGACAAAATAATGCTTTTTACTGAGAAAGTCTTGTACCGTGTATAGGTGGAGGAAAAAACAAAGAAAGATGTGAATGAGGAGAAGGGAAAGGGGGAAAAGGATGAGGAAAAGGGCAAAGGGGAGAAGGATGAGGATAAAGATAAAGAAAAGGACGACGAGAAGATCAAGGGTAAAAAGCCGTCAAATCGTATTGAATCCTCAAGCGATTCTTCAGATTCAGACTCATCAGACTCTGATTCGTCTGAGAGCTCATCGGATGATGATGAAACGGCGGGAAGTCAGACGGAAAAATCTGGGAAATCAGAAACTGAAGACAAGGTAACAGTTTTTTTAAATTTTTTAGTGGTTAGGATCTGGATTAAGTTCCTTGATCCAGATCCTACCAACCTTTTGCTTCCAAAACATACATTTTAAGTCTCAACTGATGCGATCTCATTATTGATTTGATTTAAGAGGCATAACAATTTTCTGCATAAATAGTAACGATAACTTTTGGAATTTTTTTGTTGTAAAACGAATTAACAAGAATAGATCATGAGTGCGCATTAAACAAAATAAAATTATAATGTTTTATACAAAAAAAAACGATGCTGTTTCCACAACTTTTACTCAGACCAAGTATAACGTTGTGAAACGTTGTCGCTTGAAGGTCATCAAGAGTATCTTATGTAACATTTTTAAATTGTTTGATTTTACCAGTTTAGGTCGTCATACAACTTCTTTTGATGGAAACTGTTTGCTTGCATAACTGTACTATTGCGGAGATATTTTCATGAATTATCCCCTCCCCCCTTGAGGGGGTGTTAGGTACTTTCCCAAAGGCATTTCCCCAAGGGCGACTTCCCAAGTGACAATTTTTCATGTGGCAACATACCAAGGTGCAATTACCCAAGTAGCAACTTCCATAAGGTTAGGTTAGGCCCTCTGAGGCGCCGCAGGCTGCAATTGCGCTGCGGCTAGGATGGGCTACGGGGCCAAGTGCTGAGGCTAGAACAGGCTGGGGTAGAGTGCTGCGGAAATACTTGGGAAGTTGCCGCTTGGGAAAATGCCACTTGGGAAAAATCCTTTGGGAAAAATCGTTTGGGAAAGTACGTAACATCTTGATAAAAATAAATGTTCAAAGAAGAGGGGGGGGGGTTGGGAAATTTTCAAGAAAATATGACAATGTTAATCTAGGAAATATTAATTTTGAAGCTTTGTATTTAATTATTGCAATATACATCACAATACTATATTTTTTAATGTTAGTTAAAAATAAAAAGTAATGTGCTAATTATCCTCGAACTATCAGAAGAAAACCTCCCTGGTCTCCTCTGTTGTTGGATCAAAAAGAAAAGGCGAAGATTTGTCCACTCAGCATCCTGCCAAGAAACGAGGACGACCGGTGACCGTGACCGGGCCTTCTCGTTCTAGGGAAACTGACAGTGGTCAGTCAACACCGGTCACCAAGGTAAGCGGAGGGTATTTAAATTTGTCTCTGGGCAGGTGTCCATATAATTCCATGTCTGATCCCAAATGAGAGTGGGGTTGAAAGTACAATTAGGGGCATGAAAACACACTTTCTGTATCAAAGTGAAGTTTGTTTGCGTACGTATACTACACTGAAGAAATGTGTACTGCATTTCCTCACAAACACAACACAAATATTAAAAAATGGTATACTAGGGGACGGAAACATCATGTGTGTGTGTGTCTGTACTAAAAGAGTGTGTGTCAGGAATTCCGAACCGAAGGCCTGTACTGTAGGTTTTAGGTTTAAACAGTACATTAGAATCTCGGTATTTGTACAGTAGGATAGTACATTTGTTTATTGTTATTTGATTACTAAAAAATAAGTTTGAAATACATGTAATATATTATTTACATATTTAAGTCAACACTATAAGCCAAATTTTCATGCAAAGAATATAATTTGATAAATGTTTACAATTAACTACTTGTTATTCAAGAGTGTGCGTGTGTAATACCGAACTCGTCTGCAAAGCAGTGCGACTGGCTTTCTCATGCCAGACCACCGCCATTTCCCCTTTCCTTTATTCCGGATTCCTTGTGGAAAACAAGCCACAAAGGGACTGCAAACTCGCCACAAATTCTCATTTTCTAATCATTATTAAATATTCTGGGAACTGATTTCTGCTGCTTTCAAGAACATTATTAAACATCATTTTTAGAGACAATGGAAAATTAACAAAAGTAACCCTAATAAGAGGGGGATTACTCAGGGAGTAAGGAATGGAAGGGATATATTACTGACGCGGTTCGCCCTACCATATGATTATGCGTGCTTTGCAGACGGGTACTCCATTTGTACATGAAATATTCAGAATAGGTTATTGTATACGCGGTAATTGTACATCAGACAAATATTTCTTATCCAAATGGAGTACCGTCTTCAAAGCTTGTATAGTCATATGGTAGGGCGAACCGCGTCAGTTATATCTCCCTTCTATTCCTTACTCCCTGGGATTTCTACAAAATCATTTATCTAAAAATAATTCAAAATCAGATTTTTATACATTAAAAGGGGAGCGGACAGATTTAAGAAAATATTGATTTCTTTTCCCATCCAATACGATCTCAAATGTTGATTGATTGATATTAAGGGCAGAAATTAACCGTGTATGTGTTGTAAACAATTGGAAGATGTCAAGTTGTAGAAAAATTCCATACTGCAGGTTGTATACTGCAAGGGAGTGTTTATTTTTCTGTAAATCATAATTTATCTCTTAAATTGATAACCGATATTTATGCAGTACACATTTCTGAAGTGTAGTATACGTACATAAACAATTTAGAAAGTGTATTTTCATGCCGCTAATTGTACTTTCAGCCCCGATCCCATTTGGGTAGACAAAATTACAATGAAATTTTACAAATATGATTGTTGAAACGATAATTACAAAAAAGCTCTAGTCCTGCCATTTCCAAAATGTGGTCTGCCTTTTTTGAGCATTTAAAATTTGCAAGAAATTTATATGTAAAGTTGTCTGATCAAATGTCAATCAATTTCTGGTCCCACTGATTTGACTGTATATTACGTATATATAAAAATTTAAGGAAGTCATTAAAAAAATTTTAGCATATAGAAGTAGTTGCAGCCCCTGCACCAGTAGTTCAACCTGTTCTACCTCTTCACCCACAGCGAGTACCAGCATCACCAACCCGAGCATATCCTGGTCTTCCCCCCCGCACCATACCTAGGTAACCTCCAACCCCCTCACCAAACCTAGGTAACCCCCCACCTCACCATACCGAGGAACCCCCCGCACCATACCTAGGTAACCTCCAACCCCCTCACCATACCTAGGAAGAAAATTAAATAAGGAAATGTGCTGATAAAAAACACCAGAAAAAGAAAGAAATTGAATTTACTTTCTTAAACATTTGATTGGTTTCACTTCCAGATATTTAGGAAAAAAGCATATTTCAATTTTCCTCCAGCTTGTTTCATCGATTTTTTTTTTGCGCTTCGCGTCTAACCAAGTTTTTATATTTTAGGAATCCGTACTATCTACAGGCAAAAGCAGGGGATAAAGTACTTCACGTTCATGTCCAGGTCAATTTTTGTTTAAAAAAGTTCTACTAATAATGATAAGCAAGATGGTGTATAGTAATACACTATGTAGTATTCATTCTTGTTGTTTATTAATATTTTCGCTAAAATCCTTTATTTACATTTTTTGCTAATAGTTAATTTATAAATGTACCAACAGAATTTCACTATTCATTCTTATTTTTTTTTATATTTTCGATAAAACCTTTCCACATATTGTGCTGATTAATTTAGAAATATATCTAAAGAATTTTTATTTATAAGAACTGAAAAAATACTAACAACAAACTACGAATCATAACTTTTAATTCCTGCAGTGTACAATGTACATATATATATATATTGATCTCTACTGTAGAATGAGTATGAGAAGTATGTGGGTGGGTAAGTACACAGGACTGCAGTGTACATGTATATATTATACTCTACTGTAGAATGAGTATGAGAAGTATGTGGGTGGGTATGTACACAGGACTGCAGTACACACTGGGGAGAGTGCTAGTTCTTCTCTACTCTGGGAATCCTTGTTCACGGCACCAGTCGCAGGAATACCATTCATTCATTTATCCTTACATTCATCCTATCCTTTCTTTTATTCATTTATTTGTTCTTTCGTTTATTCATCTAGCATCCATGCGTCCATCCTTCCTTGCATTCATGCATTCATGCATTCATGCATTCATCCTTCCATCTTTCCTTATTTTTTCAAGCATTCTTATCCTTTCATTTTTCTTATTATTCCTTCCTATTTTTTCTTTGTTATTCAGCTTTTTATTAATTTTTTATATTATTTGTTATATAAAATGTAGCCTGTTACACTTCGGTTGGGTTTTAATGTAAGAAAACAAGATCCGTTAACATTTTCCTTTCATTCCTGACATTAATCTTTTTTACAAAAATCTTACTGAAAAATTCGATGACGTTTTTGAAAATGTTCATCCCGAAACAGAATTTAACCCTGAATGGTCTACTGTAGGTGTTGTATGCGGGGGAAATCTAGTTTTAATCGTCTGTAAGGATGCAACTATTCACATTTTTAATACTGACGGCTCACGCGCCCTTCCCGTCCTTAGTCTCCCAGCGCCCCCGCACAAGCTCAAGAGCGAGAACGCGCTTGTTACGTGCGTGACTACTAGTGGACTAATGTTCTTGTGGAATATGGCCGGTGTTCCGATCAAGGCTGTTCTGAGTAATTTGGAAATATCTCCGTTAAACAAGTAATTATAAACAATCTTTTTCAAAATTCATTTTTAGATTATTTCACTCACTTGTTTTTATAGATTTATTGTCGAAATAATTCTAAGCGGCCCTTCTTTCTTTATCTTGGAAAGTGATCATTTCCTTCTTATTTCAGCTGCAAATACCATCCAGAGAAAACATTTTCAATTTTCAGATATAAAAATAAGTACTTACATTTATCATTATTTGGAATCTTTTGGGACTCCCTTAAGAATGAAAGGTTTCTTGAATTTACTTCTTTACTTTGAAATATTCTGAAAATCTGTGAAAAAAGTTTAGTTTAGACATTTTAAATTAATGGTTAGAGTTAATGTTGCTGAGCCTACAGTGTTTCTATCTGCCAGACTTTCCTATACTTTTTAGTAAAGGATAAACAAGGTTTGATAGACTTAGCCGTAAATTACCCAGAAGAAATTCTGCGCCTATACATTTTTCGAAATGTGTAATCTATAACCATAAATTTTGTTGGTGAACTATTTTAGCGAAGGTTTAGCTTCCATGCAAAGCTGGGGGTCCAAGCTCGTAATGGAATTAAGTATTTAGAATTTTATTTAAGATTCCTATTCTATTCTAAGTTTCTTTTTCATGAATTGAAATTACTTTTAAACATTTTTCATTAGTACACTTTCTTTTTTTTAAAGTAATTGCAGGGGAGTAAGGTCCAAACCATGCCTGAAAAGCCCTCACCCGACTAGTGACTAGGTTTTGAACAAGGGCGATGTATATTATTGAAATCACAAATATTTTTATTTTATTTTACTCATTTCAACCACGCCCATTGCAAATCATTAAAAATCGTAGAACAACATTTCCTTCGAGAATAAGCTTATGTGGTCGCAGTACGTCATTAAAATTCTGTTTTTTTTATTTAGACACACAACTCCCAGGACATCTGTATCTATCAGCTCTATTAAATATTCTGGATCAGATCCTGTTCTCTGTCTTTCAGACGGATCCTCACACACATACTCTCAGGATATAGGTAGGATCCATTCATTCATACTCTCAGGATATATGTAGGATCCATACATTCATACACAGAGGGTGAGGATATAGGTAGGATCCATACATTTATACTCTCAGGATAAATTTGGGATCCATTCATTCATACTCTCAGGATGAAGGTAGTATCCATACATTCATACTCTCAGGATATAGGTAGGATCCATACATTCATACTCTCAGGATGAAGGTAAAATCCATTCATTCCTACTCTCAGGATATAGGTAGAATACATGCCTTAATTAACTGATATTTCTGTCTAGGATGTTGGCTTCAGCTGACCCACTCAAGACAGGCGCTGTCCTTGTCCACAGCAATGTCTAAGGGTCCTCCAGCTACTCTGCCATTAGCCTCCCTCTCCTCTTACCCTTCAGGTTTAAATACAACAGACCTAATATTATATAACAAGATACTCTAGTTACCCCCAGGGTACCAAGTACCCTCAGATATTTTCAGCCAGGTAGATCCAGCCGCGTTTAGCCAGCTAAAAGCTAATATATAAACTTATATTTAATATATGTAGAGCAAAGAGCTTTAAAATATACTATCTGAAGTGCCCGGCGTTGCCCATTAAGAAATTGATTTATTAAAAAAAAAGATAATTGAAATAAATATTTTTTGGGGGAAAAGTTTAGATATTTTTGTTGCCTCTGTTACCCCCAGGGTACCTATCCACGGGTTACTTCAAACATTTGGTGGGCCAGTCCCATGGGAATGAGAAGTTGTTGAATTTTGAGATTTTGATAAGTTAAAAGTATATTTTTAGTGGGAGCTGAACGACTACGATTTAATTTTTAGTTAGTATTTTTGGAAACAAAATATAAAAACACCAAACTATTGAGGGATGAGCAAACTTGATGCCGTGACTGGAGGGATCTGGACAATATCTGTAATTGAGACGAGGTTATCCTCGAGTATATACCTTAAATCCTCCCAGGTAAATTGAGATCAGGTTATCCTCGAGTTTATACCTTAAATCCTCCCAGGTAATTTGAGACGAGGTTATCCTCGAGTATGTACCTTAAATCCTCCCAGGTAAATTGACGAGATTATCCTCGAGTATATACCTTAAATCCTCCCAGGTAAATTGACGAGGTTATCCTCGAGTCTATACCTTAAATCCTCCCAGGTAAATTCAGATGATATTATCCTTGAGTTTATACCTTAAATCCTCCCAGGTAAATTGAGATCAGGTTATCCTCGAGTCATACCTTAAATCCTCCCAGGTAATTTGATGACTTAACGAGTTTCCCAGTAAACCACAGAACCTATTCGGGGGTGTAGCATATAATTTTTTGGCAGATTTTATGGACTTTGATACTATTTATGACAGACTTAATGTGTTGAAATGTTGTTAAGAGGGATTTTTTTTTCTCAATCATATCTGCTTTTCTTGAAAAGGTATTGAAATGTACAAAAATCTTTTGAATTTGTGATATATAACCAGATAAATTTCTCATACTTTTTAAAAGAATTAAAGCTGGAGGAGCTACGTTGTTACAAAGTCAAAACAGCAGTATCATACAAAGTTACCTTCTCCTTATGCCTAGTTGACAGTAAACAGTTTTTGGAACTATAATTTTGTATAATATAAAAAACCAAAAAAATTGAGGATATTTTTAAAATTTTACTAAAGTCAAAACCTTTTTAATAAAACTTTTTTTAATTTTCAGCAACTATAAACCTTCTCTGGGGTCATGCAAGGTCCCACACAAAATTTGGGCTCAACCGGCAAGTAGCCATTTTGACGTTTATTGGACACAAACAAACAGACAAGCAAAGTATATATTTAGAGATATGTTTAATCTCTAGGAGTATCGATATTGGTTGCTCAGTCTGGTAAAACAGTTGACCCTGCAGGGTCAAGAAGCGCGCCTACGATGTATTCTAGATGACCTGCTAGCTAGTACCTGCCGGGCGAACTCTGTAGGCTCCAACGCTGAACTGTTAGGGTTAAAGAGAGATATACTGTTCAAGGAAATGTTACCTCTACTAGGATCTAATCTTACTCTACAGAGATTATACACTGAGTACAGGTGATAATTTTGCCCATCAATTAATACTTCTGAAAAAAAAAATCTCAGATTTGCGCCACATTTATTAAAGAAGCGGTAACAGAAACTTACTTAAAGGGACTGTAAGCGTAATTTCAAGTAACCTTCCATTTATAGAGAGGCATGTCCGATTCACAACAACACCCTTTTAACACTTCGCGCGGTTTCTTAGCACTTGATTTTCTGGTATATAAATAAGAATATCTTCCAACCGCTCAAGTACAAAGCGTAGAATTACACTAGGTAGAACCAACATAAGGTAGAACGATCAAAAGGTAGAACATACAAAATGTAGAATTACAAAAGGTAGAATTTTCCAATTTTAAAGTTACATAATGTTTGGCAAGATTAGAATAGGACAAATTCCGTGCTTAGCACTGCTGCCTCCTCAGTGTTGAGTAAAGTGTCGACTCTCACCTTATTTTGGGTTCTGGTTAGGTAAAGACAATTTCTGGTCCCAAGCGCTGCGGCTAGGATGGGCTAGGAGGCCGAGCTCTGCGGCCTCTTATATGTTACAGTTACAAAATTCCTGATTAAGAATTTGAAATCAACAATCAACAGTTAAGAGGCAGCAGCTCTCGGGCCACTAGCCCATTCAAACAGCACTGCTCGGCCCCCTAGTCCATTCAAACCGCAGTGCTTGGCCCCCTAGCCCATCCTAACGGCAGCGCTCGGCCCAGAATTCGTCTTAATCTTACGAAAAATAATGGAACATTTTTGTAACTGTTGACATTTTGTAGCTCACTCCCACTCTGTATACGCCCTTGCATGCAACTCTATTAACGGAAGGTCACTTAATTGAAATTACGAATATTGTTTTATTACTCACATTTTTTACATGAAAAATTGGAATCTTAATATTTAAGTAATATTGAAGAAGAAGCAATAAAATATCATCTTTTTACGATTCTACTTAACTAGGTTCATCTAAGTCTTTAATATAAGTAGCATGACATAGTGTACATAAACTTATAAAATCTATATTGTCTTATGTACAGACTAAAACAATGCAGATTAAACAACAAATTAGCTTTTCGTGAAAAACACTTGTTGAAAAATTGTTAGAAAAATTACCACCCTGTGCAACAAATGCTGCTCTACACTTGAAACCTGGCCTAGACATCACTTCAATATCCACCCTGTACAAAACAACTATGACGCAAGCATACACTAGGATAAGAATACTGGGTGATGAAACAGTTAACTCTGCCTTACAATCTAAATTAGACAGGGAAAAAAATTGGCACCGCAAAAATTCCCTCACAGACTATGCAGAAAAAATGTTTCAACAAGCCACATTAGAGAACTATGGTCAAGCAGAAATGCCTGAGTGGGAAGACCAAGCTTCCAAACATCAATACTATAAAAAAATGAAAACAACTGTCAGTGAAAAAGTATCTTCTGAAAACGAAACTTTCTGGAGAGAACATACAGAAACACTCATAAAACAAGGACATTTTCTCTGCCTGGCAATGCTTGAAAAATCTGACATGATCTGGAAATCTTACATGTTCAATCTGAAGAAAGGTACACTGAAATTCCTACTCAACTCCTGTTTGGACAACCTGCCAACACAAACTAACCTTCTACAATGGGGAAAATCTGCATCAGATCTCTGTAAACTATGTCTACAGGCAGGCGCTGAATTGCATGGTAGAAGACAAGAAACTACAAACCATATTTTGAATGGCTGCAAGGTTGCACTACACCAAAAAAGATATACTTGGAGGCACAACAATCTTATTAAATATATATCTGGATTAATTGATATTGACCGATTTCTGATGTATGCCGACATCCCGTCCAATAGCCTTCCAGGGGGAGGTACTGTTCCCCCCCACCTCCTTGTGACCGCAGAGAAACCAGATCTAGTAATTATCGATAGAATGGAGGAAAAGATGGATAATTTTGAGCTTACTGTCCCATTGGAAACAAATATCAAAAATGCCAACGCTCAAAAGATGAACAAGTATGAACATTTTATTACAGATATAACAACTAGGGATGTGTCTGTTCATCCTTTTGAAATCGGCTCAAGAGGATATATCTCACCATCAAATAAGGCGATTCTAAAGAAACTGCATAAGCTCTGCAAACCCATTGTTAGTTTCAAAGCAATGTGTGAAAATCTATCAAGCCTTGCTGTACTGTCATCATACCACATTTTTAGAAAACGAAAAACACTAGACTGGGACCAAGAAACCCCTTTTCTGAAAACCACCTCTGAATAGCTAAACTATACTCATGCTAAAAGTCTTGTATTGCACCTTTTTTGGCAAACCCTGTCAATTTTAAAATGCGATATCCAGAGAAAAGAGTATTAGTTTGTAAACTTTTATATTGTTTAATGTAATTTTGCTTTAGACAAATATAAGTGATAAATATAATTCGTGAAAAACACTTGTTGAAAAATTGTTAGAAATATAGTTTAACCCAGAACTTTGGAGACATTAAAAGAATTTATAAAATGTCGTTTTCTAAACCTAGGGATAATGGAACAATGCAGAATGCAAATAATTAATTTTTTAATTAGATAATCATATAAAGCATCTTTATAACTGTGCCCGCATAATTCATGGCTATTTGTATTTTTAAAAGTACTGAGATCAAGGTATAATAGTAAAATAAACATTGAAAAAATTGTCAGGACCACATTTTATAAATTCTTTCGATGTCTCCGAAGTTTTGGTTTAAAACATGGGTGTATATTTTTCAGAATTACACCACCCTCCCCCCCCCCGGGGGGGAATGATTTTTAGGATAATATACATCCCTGGTTTAAACTTTTTCTATAAAGTCTTTTCAAATGTTTCCATTGATTATAATTATTTAAGGAACCATGCTGAGCTGAAGAAAACGGGCTCCGTCGACTTATTTTCCTAGTCTGTTATGCTTATGCCTGAAAACTGTACTGTTGAGTGTTAACAGCTTTTTTCCCGGATTCTGAACTTGACTTTATATGTATTCATCTTTAATTGTACAAAACCTTTAAGAATAGGAAGTAACAAATCTGGTAGGAATCTTTATTTTCACTTCAATGGAAAGGGATGGTTGGTTGAGATTGTATTTGAGTTGAAAGATTCTATTCTCTTGAAGATTATCCTATTTTGACAGATTAACATATTGCTCAAAGCTTCAAGACTCAACCTGTCTTGGGTTTTAAATTATAGTCAACATAAATTTCGAAAAGATTAACCCAATTTCAGCCATCAAATTTCTTTAGAAAATTCTGGTAGAATACATATATATATTTTTAGAACACATCATTAGAAATAAAAATCTCCTTTTATTCTCAGATTCAATAAAGACGAACCATTGAACCCAGAATCCTAGGGTTGTTAGTAGCTATGAATGAATATGTTTATAAAACTTTTTTTTCAAACATACGTTAATAAGTCGTCATGTTTTGTAAACCCCTCTTTTGATCTAAAGTCCTGCGTGATATTTATTTTGTACCTGCTTTGAAATCCTCTAATTCTGAAACCGTTTTCAGAAAACAAAATGGCGGATGATGGCGACAATGTTTCTGGCGGGAAAGTCGAGGAACCTTTAGATATCATTAGGTTGGTAGTAGTAAACTAGGTATACCAAAGAGGCGATTTTAAAAGTAAATTCACATTTTTCGTAGATTCGGACTCCATCCTGCAAAGTTCTTCCCTTGGGTCTAACAAATGATGCTAATTTATTGAACAGAATAATAATTTGGAAAAGAAAATTTAGAATTCATTTATTTAGATTTAATAGAGGCTAAAGCTGGCTTTTACTCAGGTTTCAGTTTTTAAAATCTTAACTTAGGAATAGAATATGTTAAACAGTTGAACACCCATTTCATTGAAAATCAATTAAATTTTTTTTTTGGAACTCCCAGGGGGGGCAAGAGGACTACTGCCCCCCCTAGGTACACCACAGTGCCTGACGGGGGAGGGAGTCCAGAGTTCCTCAAATAGTAATCACCGCCACCCAAATCTTTTTTTCGGCAAGCGCGCTCCTCAATTGGTAATCTCCACCACCTCAAATAGTAATCAGCTCAAAAAAGCATAAAATTAAATCGTTTATTTCTTAGAAATAAGACCATATTGATCTCTTTTAATTTTTCAAAGTTTTATGTTCTTTCTATGCATATAATTAGTTTTGTTGTAGGTGTTGAACTCGAGTAGGCGAATACAAAAATCTAAACACTGTAAAAGTTTTTTGAAAATATCTTTTAAATGGAGATAGATATTACTTTGGGTGGGATGAGACAATTTTTAGTAAACAGGCAGCCCGACCTTTTTTTGTATCTTGACGCCAATCATGAAATGCAGTCATTAAAGTGGCGAATTGGATCTAAGATTCGGCTAAAATGAACTGTGCCTTGATTCTCAGTTTTTGTTGACCAAACAAATCTGAAAATAATTTGAAAATTTAGTTTAAGTCAATACAGATGCCATAAAACCCCGATAGATGTCGAAAATTGTGTTAAAAGTGCATTAAATTCAAATCACAGAAAACAAAATTTTACGGTGATTACTATTTGAGGTGGTGGAGATTACCAATTGAGGAGCGCGCTTGCCGCAAAACAGATTTGGGTGGCGGTGATTACTATTTGAGGAACTCTGGACTCCCTCCCTCGCCTGACCTGAGAAAGGGAAATGCAAGCAGATGTAATATTAAAAGAGCCTCCCCCATGGGTGCCCCCCCCCCCACGCGTAGAGGGGTATTTTGAATTAATTGGCTTGAAACATGAGATTGAGAAAAGGTTCTTTAAAGCATTATTAGATGTAAAATTTTAGCAGATATTATTAGATGTCCACTAAACGATATTAGTATATGTGAATATAATGTCCATCAATTACACGAAATAGGAACATTCGAGAATTTCCAAAGCTTGAAACGTCTAATTGTCAGTGCATTCAATGTACCACGTAGTTTAGACCAAAAACATTAGACTAAAAGAATCTCAGAAATCAGTAAGAAATTAGTGGTTGTAAATTTGTCTACTGTTCTTTGAACCACTGATCCTATGAACTATTGAATTTTTAAACAAATTTTTGGTTATATATCTAGAGTTCTCCAGGGTATATCTTATGTTAAGTGTCAAAATTCTTTGAAGATATCAAAGTGTCCCGATCTAATATGAATTCATCCAATTTTTGTGGATTTCTGAAGATTTATTTTTATGCCATTCGTAAAGATCATACTGAAAGTTCCTGGTTACAGATTGTCCCTGGATGAGAGGATCTACGTCAAGATGAGGAATGAGAGGGAGTTGAAGGGGCGCCTGCACGCCTACGATCAGCACATGAATATGGTTCTCGGAGACGTAAGTTTTTTATTTCATTTAAAGGAACAGTTCACAAACCTTGACAATCTGCCTCGGTACCCTTTAAGATTTATTTTAATTATCTTGAAAAGTTAGAATTTTAATCTCAATATAAAACTCTTTTTTTCCCTTTTTTGTTCAAGACAGACAAGCTGAATATAGATAATGTCCTTGAAAAAGCCTTAATTTTGGACCAATAGAGTCAATTTTGGACTTTTTTATGCACTAACAATTTCTGATCGAATTTTTAAGAAACAAATAAACATATAATGTTTAACACACTAAAACAAATATCAATTTTAACAGTATTAATAATATGTTATAGTTCTATATTACAAATGTTTACAAAAAAAACATTTGATTAATCAATGATGCCAAATTCGTCAATATTGGTCCAAAATTGAGGTCTTTTTGGGACATTCGTTATAATCTAAATTATTCTTAAAGGGGATGGTGGAGTTGGCACATTTGATGTAGGGGGGGGGGGGCTGCCTTCATTTTTGGTTCAAATCTTCCAATTTTTTGGGTGCACGCCTAATTAGTGATCGAAATTCCTAAAGTAAAATAAAATTGAATTTTAATGAACTTTAATGACCTCTAATGACCTCCACAAATAGAAAATATTTCAACTATGGCTTTATGCATATCAAACGAAAGCTAGGAACCCAGGGAATACAGTAGCAGCAACAAATACAGTGTTTGACCTTCTAATGACCTCTTACGACCTCTATTGACCTAAATGACCTCCAAAAATAGGTCATTATATATATTATCAAAATATAAAATTTAAATTCGTCAATAAAGCAAAAATTGTCAATATTGATCCAAAATTAAGGAATTCAGCTACCACTACAATGTTTTTGGGGACACCCTGTAGTGTATAATTTAGTTAAAATCTAAATTACATGTTTTTTGGGACACTCTGTAGTTTATAATCTTGTTTCAATCAAACTTACCTGTTTTTTGGACACCCTGTAGTGCATAATCTAGTTTTGATCTAACTTAACATGTTTTTGGGACACCCTGTAGTGCATAATCTTGTTTTGATCTAACTTAACATGTTTTTGGGACACCTGAAGTGCATAATCTAGTTTTGATCAAACTTACATGTTTTTTGGTACACCCTGTAGTGCATAATCTAGTTTTGATCAAACTTACAGGTTTTTTGGTACACCCTGTCGGCCTGTAGAGTATAATCTTGTTATAATGTTAATTATTCCAGGTTGAGGAAACTGTGACAATTGTGGAGATAGATGAGGAAACATATGAAGAGGTTTCTATCAAAGATTTTTTCTTAAATTTGTTGAAAACAATATCCGGAGGCTTAGTTTCAAACATGCCTATTGCGAGGGTTTATTGAACTGGGTCCAAAGTTTGATACAGTGAGAAGTAGGTGAACTAGGTACGCTTGCCGGACTGCTCCTCAAGAGACTTAAAAAGAAGCTGTTATGAATATAACCAAACCGTTTTGGGCTGTTTCTCGTTAGATCCAACCTCAGCCTTAAGATCGTGAGGCCTCGAGCCCGGTTCAAATTTCTAAATTGCGTCTGAAGTTAAATGCTTTTCACTTAGTCTCCGATCTGAGCTGTCCTTTTTACTTCAGAATGTGCGTTTTAAACTATTATTAATCTAGGTTTACAAGGCGCTACGCGCTTATCTTCTATTTGCATTAAACATTTTCTCTTTGTAAACATTGCAAAACAAAAACAAAAAAGCTGTGGCCATTAGAGATGTCAACGTTTTGATTTTTCTAGATTTTAGCTTTCGTTACGATAGTGTTCATCAAAAGTATTAACGTTTGAAACGTTACGTTGCACATTATGAAATTTTTTGGCATATAGTAACGTTACGTAATGAATTTTCTGCACTTGAATACCTTATACAACGTTAAGCTTTAGTAAATGTTGTGGANTGGTAGTACCCAGCAGTACCATGCAGTACCCCACAGTACTCTTTTTTGATCCCCAGCACCACCCAGTACCCCCAGTACCACCCAGTACCCCCAGTACCTGCAGTACCCCATAGTTACCCACATTACCCCACAGTACCTGCAATACCTGCAGAGTACCCCTAAGTACCCCTTAGTACCCCCAATACCTGCAGTACCCCAGAGTATCCACCAGTACCCACTATTACTCCCAAGAACCCCAGTACCCCCCAGTACCCCACAGTACCTCCAGTTACATGCAGTAGCCACAGTATACCCGACAGTAGCCCCATAGTACCCCACAGTACCCCACAGCACCCCACTGTACCCCAAAGTACCCCGCAGTACCCAACAGTATCCAACAGTACCCTGCAGATAAGGGGATTACAAATTGGCGTTGTTGCCATCCCTCCCTCCATTAAGTGGTCAGCTAATATTAAACTAGCTTTTTTGTCCCTGAAAATAGTGCAAAACTATAAAGAAAACAGCCTTAGAAGTATGCTTACTTATATTTTTTTATTAAAATAAAAAATTCTGTTTGGTTTCTGTACTCCCTCCCCCCAGTAAAGCCTAGTACTTTGCAGTACATTGTAGTATCCTAAAGCACTCTGTATTCCCTGTTTTAATCAGTTTCCATTAAAACATTTTCGAATTACAAATTGGTGTTTTTGCCATTCCTCCCTCCAATGAATCATCAGCTGTTTACTTTTAAACCATCAACAGAATGTCTTTTATACTGTTTTACACAAATGAAAATAATGCAAAACTAGAGTAAAGTGCAACCCAGAGAAGCTTCTTTAAGTTCTAAATATTTTTGTTCAAAATAAAAATTCTGTTTGGTTTGGCAACTTTTTTTTGCAGAATCTTTCCTACTTTCTGAAAGGTTTCACATCGATATGTTTAAGGATATCTACTCGATATAAAGCAATATTTATTAATACTTATTTTGACTCAAACTCTTAACTTAATGAATATAGAAAAAAATATGCCGGTTTAAGAAAGTTTTAGATAGATATTTGCAATCATCCAGAACAAAAAGTTTTATCAAAAATTAAACTTTAAAAGTTTTAAAGAAGTTTTTAAAAATATACAAAAAAAAATCATTTCTGACACCCCTAGGCTTTGTACGCCAATATAATTCACCAAAACCATACTGCAGTCCTTCAATTATCATACAGGGGAATTTTCATCTTTCTAAACATCCCAACGAATGATTTGACAGGTTCTTTACTTACAGATAGAAGATTAAATAGTTAGGCTCCTATTCTGGAATTTAAGTTATTAAGTACACACAATATTAAGATTTATATAGATTTTTAAGATATTTGTGTCTTCACCTTGACGTCATATGGAAGAAATCACAGATTTTGAACAATTTCTATTAATTATACCCGAGAAAATCCACTTAAACCTTTTAAAATTTGTAGTTAATTTTGAGTAATTTAAAACATGATCAGCAACATTTTGTATAGTACATTTTCGTATAGTACACTTTGCATTGGTAACATTTTGTATAGGTTATATTTCGTTTAGATAACATTTCGTATAGAGAACATTTTGTAAAGGTAAAATTTCGAATAGGTAACTTATGGTAACATCTTGTCTAGGTAACATTTCGTTAAGGTAACACAAAGGGTAATTTTTCGTAAAATTTTAGAAATGAATAAAACATCAAATATAAGCCATTTAATAAGCTATAGAACATATTTTCTTTTTTACCGATTTATTATCCATCAGATTTCAGGTAGTATTGATCAGGCAGGATGCCAAACTGTTTAATAGCTACAGTCTTTATGATAATTGTAATCCTTACCTTGACTAGTAGACTTTGTAAGTCTTACCAGAGACATGATTCGTAGATTTCTCTGCAAACTATCTCCATTCTTTTATGGATAATCGTATCGAAAAATTAACATTACAAATTGTTATATTTACAAAATGTTATCTATACAAAATGTTATCTATACGAAAAGTTATCTCTACGAAATATTACCTAGACAAAATGTTATCTTAATGAAATGTTATCTATACGAAATGTTATCTCTACGAAATATTACCTAGACAAAATGTTATCTATACAAAATGTTATCTATACAAAATATCTATACAAAATGTTACCTATACAAAATGTTATCTCTACGAAATATTACCTAGACAAAATGTTATCTATACAAAATGTTATCTATACAAAATATTATCTATACAAAATGTTACCTATACGAAATGTTATCTATACAAAATGTTATCTATATGAAATGTTATCTATACAAAATGTTACCTATACAAAATGTTACCTATACAAAATGTTACCTATACAAAATGTTACCTTTACAAAATGTTGTCTATACGAAATGTTATTTATACAAAATGTTACCTAACGAAATTTTACCTAAACGAAATGTTACCAATACAAATTTTACCCATACCAAATGTTATGACAAAGTGTAATAAAACAAAATGTTACTATGTTAAGAAAATGTACCTATATTACGAAAATGTAGTATACAAAACGTTTCTGATTTAAGGAGAGGAAAGTTTCAACCCGTGATTTGCACCAAATAATGCCATTTATTGTCAGATCTAGATGAAAGCACGTGTAGGAATTTTTCTCCCCTGAATTATCATTTTGTAATCTCTAAAATATTTTAGATCTATAAGTCTACGAAAAGAACGATCCCGATGTTGTTTGTACGAGGTGACGGAGTGATACTAGTCTCTCCTCCCATGCGGACTGCAGGCTAAACCGGTTTTCCATCATCACCGCCATTTATTTTTACTAAAATAAAATTGAAACCTTTCTCAAACTTATTTTGAATCCCTTAAACTTAATGTAACATTTTTTAAATCTTTTTCAGAGAGAAAAATGAGTTTTATCAGTAAAATCCGACCTCGGACCCTTCTTGAAGTTATTGGTTCGAGTGGGGAGGGTAGGTTCTACTGTTCTAGTGCAGGGATAGATTTAGCCCTGTATAGAACACAACAAACAGATACAAGGTACAATGGGGGGGGGGGTAATATGGTGGCAAGGGTATTTTTTTAAAAAACCAAAACCCCCTTTCCCATCGTTTTCCCCTGAAATTGGAGAGCGGTTATAGCTGAATAAGGGGGAAAATGGTTGTATAAAGGTAAGAGAGAACGTTTGTGAACATGACATTTGACTTGAAAACATCTGTTCCTCCAAATATTTTTCTATATACATAGAATTTAATAAATATTTCTACTAAATTAGTTTTTTTTTCACTGGTTAAGGATGTTAACGGGGAGAGGGGGGGGGGAGAGTCATTAAAGTAAATCTAAATTGAAGTAAGATTCATAATCTTAAAATCACTTGTACATATTTTTGATTCTTTTAAAAATATTAGTTAAATAGAATACTCCTTTGAGAGCTTAAAATGTTCAGTTTAATACATAATAAATAATAGGAATCTTAACATTTGCTTAAAATAATTTGTAACAATTGAAATAAAAAAACAATATCAACTTTTTACACATTTTTTGTTTTCAAACCTTTTTTCTAAACATTTACAAAAAACAATTTAGGGATTAAAAATATCTTTGATATAAACGCAAATAATTTTTAAAAATAGTTTTTAAATATGCAAATAATAAACATTTACAAAATAAAATTTAGGGATTAAAAATATCTTTAATATAAACGCAAATAAATTTTAAAAATATTTTAAAATATGCAAATAATAAACAGCTACAAAATATAATTTAGAGATTAAAAATATCTTTAATATAAATGCAAATAATTTTAAAAATAGTTTTTAAATATGCAAATAATAAACATTTACGAAATATAATTTATGGATTTCAAATATCTTTAATATAAACGCAAAGCATTTTTAAAAATAATTTATAAATATGCAAATAATAAACATTTACAAAATACAAGTTAGGGATTAAAAATATCTTTAATATAAACGCAAATAATTTTTAAAAATAGTTTTTAAATATGCAAATAAAAAACATTTACAAAATATAATTTAGGGATTTCAAATATCTTTAATATAAACGCAATCATTTTTAAAAATAGTTTATAAATATGCAAATAATATAAACGCAAATAATTTTTAAAAATAGTTTTTAAATATAATAATAAACATTTACAAAATATATTCAGATATTATATTACTTTATTTTTTAAATGTATCTTCCTTAGAAAATTAACAGCCGAGCACCTCGGCAAGTTTTTCACTGTAGATCCTCAGGTAATTTTTAAATATTTTTCTAGTGTAATTATTTTATAGTAAAACTTAATTCTTAAAAAAGATGTAAGCGTAATTTCAAGTGGCTTTCCATTTAAAAAGGACCAATCCTTTTTTACCAACAGAAACACTTATAAATGGTGAACACTTTGTTTTCAAGGTGTTTTTTTGAAATAATTTTATTTACTTCCTATAATAAAGTGGCAAAATATAATTATTCACATTCGAACTTTAAAAACTGCGTTATAGCAATAATATGTAAAATATCATCCTCCTGCCAAGAACTAAACATGTAGTTAATATTTTGATTTACAGTTATTCAATTTTTGGGTTTTAAAAATCTGGTTCAGCACTATAATCGGCGCACTAGTATATAGCCATCATCCGGACTCAACATAAAATATTAACTTTTAACTGTAACAACAATCACAAGCACTTCCTGGTTGGTTAATGTGAGATAGTAAAAAAAAGAAACAACCCAGATCTGGATCCCAATAAAGTTTCAGTCAAAATCAAAAAAAGATCAAACTATTTAAAATTTTAGAACTATGGGAATTAGCGTTAAATTTTAACGCTTGATCTTGATATCGGTTGCGACAACTTTTAAACACGAGAGTTTTTACATTTTAGTTCTCCCCGCAGGAACCTGTTTTAGTTCTAGATTGTGACTGTATATAACCTGTTTATTAACCGCTTTAGTTCTAGATTGTGACCGATTACAACCTGTTTATTAACCGCTTTAGTTCTAGATTGTGACTGCATATAACCTGTTTATTAACCGCTTTAGTTCTAGATTGTGACCGATTACAACCTGTTTATTAACCGCTTTAGTTCTAGATTGTGACTGCATATAACCTGTTTATTAACCGCTTTAGTTAACCTGTTTATTAACCGCTTTAGTTCTAGATTGTGACCGATTACAACCTGTTTATTAACCGCTCTAGTTCTAGATTTTGACTGCATATAACCTGTTTATTAACCCCTTTAGTTCTAGATTGTGACCGCATATAACCTGTTTATTAACCGCTTAAGTTCTAGATTGTGACCGCTGTATGACCTTCTTCTGACCACTTTATATCAAGATTGTATAAAGTATAAACTGTTTCTTGACCACTTTATTCCTAATTTGATACCACTGTATAACTTACTTCTGATGGCTTTATTTATAGATTGTGACCGCGTATAATTTGTTCTTTAAAACTTAATTTCTAGATTGTGACCATTGTATAACCTGCTTCAAACCGACTTATATCTTGATTGGGACCGCTGTGAAACTTGTTTCTGACCGCTTTATTTCTAGATTTTGACCACTGTAAAGCCTGTTTCTGACCGCTTTCTTTCTAGATTGTGACTGCTGTTTAACCTGTTTCTGACTGCTTTATTTCAAATGTGTGACCGCTGTACTGTATAACCTGTTTCTAACTGCTGTATAACCTGTTTCTGACTGCTTTATTCAAGTGTGTGACCGCTGTATAACCTGTTTCTAACCGTTGTATAACCTGTTTCTGACCGCATTATTTCTTGATTGTGACCGCTTTATTTCACGTGTGTGACCGCTGTATAACCTAATTCTGACCTTTGTATAACCTGTTTCTGACCGCATTATTTCTTGATTGTGATTGCTGTTTAACCTGTTTCTGACCGCTTTAGTTAAAGTGTGTGATCGCTGTATTAACCTGTATTAACCTGTTTCTGACTGTTGTATAACCTGTTTCTGACCGCTTTATTCTAAGTGTGTGATCGCTGTATAACCTGTTTCTGACCGTTGTATAACCTTTTTCTGACTGCTTTATTTCTAGATTTTGACTGCTGTGTAACCTGTTTCAAACCGCTTCATATCTTGATTGTGACCGCTGTTTAACCTGTTTCTGACCGCTTTATTTCTAGATTGTGACTGCTGTTTAACCTGTTTCAAACCGCTTCATATCTAGATTTTGACCGCTGTTTAACCTGTTTCTGACCGCTGTTTAACCTGTTTCTGACTGCTTTATTTCTAGATTGTGACCGCATTCGGCGATGAACTGACACCAACCCAACACCAAAGAACAATTAACTACCTGGCTCCAAGGGAGTGGACTGCAAGGTGTTAATTTAATATTAACAATAACCGGTCGACTTTTCAAGTTATCCTCCATTAGAAGATGAATCGCAACCGATTCAGAGCCATACCCTTTAGTTCTCCGGTTAAACAAAAATGACGACAAAGCCCCTGATTTTCAATCTTGAAATGCATTTGTCAAGGAGAGGGTTAATTTGACCAATTTGATTACATTTGGGGATCCTGTCTTCATTTTTTGAGAAATCTGAATGAAAGGGGGGGGGCCACAAAACGTATTACTCTCCGGAAAATTTAAACAGTGTTTAAACATAACTTAGAATGCTCTAATATTTATTTTGACCTCAGAAATGAATTCCTCATGCCAAATTACCTATAAATCGACATACAACATGGAAATATGTGGGAAGATGACCCATAATGAAACTGCTAGCTACTAGCGCGCCGGTCAGAATGCTCTAATATTTATTTTGACCTCAGAAATGAATTCCTCATGCCAAAATATTTCAACTATGGCTTAATGCATATCAAACGAAAGCTAGGAACCCAGGGAATACAGTAGCAGCAACAAATTGAGTGTTTGACCTTCTAATGACCCAAATGACCTCCAAAAATGAAAATGTTTTAACTATGGCTTTATGCATATCAAACGAAAGCTAGGAACCCCAGGAATACAGTAGCAGCAATGAATCAAGTGTTTGACCGGTCCGGGATGTACTGATCCATCTGGCGTCCTGTTGGATTCAAGGGACTGTTCACTCATATATCGAACGATCCAGAATACAACAGTTTTTAAAGCTTTTTTACCAAAATCTTTTTTCCCCCTATTTATCATATTTTCCCACTTTGTTAATCAGATTTTCTGTATTCATGAATTCATTTTTCATCGAAAATAAAAAATTCTTTTGCACACAGACCTCAATTGGATACAATTAAAAAAAAAATTATATCCCCCCCCCCCGCCTTTTTTCCATGTTATTGAAAACTTCCACCAAAAAGTTCTACCTGTCAAGAATCTCATTAATAACTTCAGAACGAAGTATAAGATTTTTCATATCAATATTCTCCCTATTTTATTATATTTTCCAACTTTTTTTCTGTATTCATGGATTCAGTTTACATCGAAATTCAGAAAATCTTTTGCACACCTGCCTTAATTAGATTTTATTTTTGTAAAACAAAATAAAAAGTGGGTGGGGGGGATTTTTAATCAGTCTTATTGATCAAAAGTTTGAAAATAAACTTCTAGAAATCTTTATGCGTATGAAAATCTTACACCTGCATGAAATAATAACAAAAATAAGTCTAATTAATCATAATGAATATAACAAATTTGTGTTTTAATAGATGACGTCAGTACGGTATAAATAAAATATTTAGACGCCATAAACATGCATCCTTACAGACATGCAGACTAAATAGTAAACACGCACAAATTAGAGGCATGACCGGGTATTTAAAAGTACAATACGCCGCAAAAAAATTAAATGATACAAATTATGTTTTAAAAAATATAAAACTATTTTTTTAAATGTTTCGGGTTTTGTCTCATAAAATTTAATAAGAAATGGACATTCTTTACTAAAACAGTCATTCATCCTCAATTTGAAAAAAAATTGTAAATTTAAGGCAAACGCTTCTATGGATCAACAACTGCCATAGCAACGATAACATTAGAATCTAACTTAAAGGCATTTAAATAATCTTTTTCCCTTTTTTAGAAACCGTTTGTTTGGTGAGACAAATATATTGGTTCGAGAACCTGCCCTGGAGATAATTAACTGTATTCAGAATTCAGATTTTAACAAACCTGCTCTCAGGTCAGATAATTAACTATATTCAGAATTCAGATTTTAACAAACCTACTCTCAGGTCAGATATTTAACTGTATTCAGAATTCAGATTTTAATAAACCTGCTCTCAGGTCAGATAATTAACTGTATTCAGAATTCAGATTTCAACAAACCTACTCTCAGGTCAAATAATTAACTGTATTCAGAATTCAGATTTTAACAAACCTACTCTCAGGTCAGATAATTAACTGTATTCAGAATTCAGATTTTAACAAACCTGCTCTCAGGTCAGATAATTAACTGTATTCAGAATTCAGATTTCAACAAACCTGCTCTCAGGTCAAATAATTAACTGTATTCAGAATTCAGATTTTAACAAACCTACTCTCAGGTCAGATAATTAACTGTATTCAGAATTCAGATTTTAACAAACCTGCTCTCAGGTCAGATAATTAATTTCAGAATTCGGATTTATTAAAAACCTTCTCTCAGATCAGATAATTAGCTGTATTTAGAATTCAGATTTCAACCAACCTACTCTCAGATCAGATAATTAAAACTGTATTCAGAATTAAGATTTTAACAAACCTGCGCTGAGTTCAGATAAAAACGACATTGTGTTTCACAAAACATGACAATTTTATGGCAAGAAAATATTATAATGAAAAATTAAAAATAGAAAGGAACTCATGATGAATAAAATTTTGATATCTAGGTATATTCTGTATGGAAAAGAAGGATGTGGAAAATCATTAACCCTGGCCCACCTTATCTGTTATGGATATCAAGAAAATTTTGTTGTTTTGTCGTTTGCTTGGGTGAGTACCATTATTGATATTAATTTGACCAACGAAAAAAAAACTTATTAATCCAGGGGTAGAAAGTTCCAAACTTTGATTTGGCCCAAACCTGACTGAGTGTCAGATTTTGGCCAAATGTGTAAAGTTATTTTTAAAATTTTTTAAATTAGGTCGAGAAGTAAAAAACCGTCTGTATATTTTAATTTAGAATAGTTAAGGCTACATTTTTTAACAAGTAATAAACACCTAAAAATAAATTAACTTCAACTTTTTATGATTATTTATTTTAACTAGGCTTTTAGGGCGCTTCGCGCCCATCTTCTATTTAAATTGTGAGCATGTTCTATTTGTTTACATTTTAAAACAAAGAAGAAAATTTTGCGGATTTTAAAAAAAATTTCGCGGATTTTCAAGAATTTAAATTTTTTTACAAAATTAAAAACCTTTAAAACACGTTTTTTTAATTTTTATCATTCATAAACCTTCCCTGTGGCCACGTGATGTCCCACAAAAAATTTGGGCCCGATTGGTTCAGCCGTTTTGACGTTTATTGGATACAAACAGACAGACAAGCAAAATTTAAATAGAACATGTCACATTTTAAGCAAATGGGAAGTTCTGGAACATGTTGCGATTCCGAGACAATTATATTTAAATCAATGATATTTTCAACCATTTAAACGATTTGGTAACAAAATAAGTTTTTTTTCCATTCAGTTGAATTTAAATAATGAAACAAAAAAATGTAAATAATACATTATGAGGCCACATTTAAAGAATTTGAGCCGTTTATTTGTTTCAAAAAATTGAAAATTAAAGAAATTTCTAATTTTTGCTGATTTCTAAAAGCGTTAACTTGCCATTTCAAGATTAGGTCGTTTAAGATAGTTTTTAATCTCTTATTATTGGTGTTAAAGATGTTTTTTCATTTCTATATTATGTAATGTATTAAATATCGTAGAAGGAGATTAGATCACGTCCATTCTTATATTTTTTCCTTTAATTTTAAGAATAATATTTTCTGTCGGGGATTGATTGATTGATTTTTGGAAAATATGACACCCCTGGCTCAATTTCTACTCGCGTGTAATTACCCCGTGACTGATGCATTAAGATATTGTGTTCTTCTATTAACTCTAATTGATTCTTACTAAAAAAAATCTCTAATTAGTCGTTTTATTCCTTTCAGGTTAAAGAATAGTGGAGGGAGGGCGGGGGGGGTGGGTATGGGAATAATGAATTGAAAATCAAGAGGCAAGCTTTTCAACATTGTTATATACTTTTCACCAAAATTGTATCAATTTACCCAATTCAGCGAATAAAAACATAAAAAAATGAGCAACATTAGTTTCTTTCTTTTATCTTATGTTTAGATAAAGAAATGGATGACTAAATATTACGAAGTGGCTCCATCTTCTTATAAATCAGGAAACCTATCCAACCTTTTTTTTTTATAAATTTTGAAATTTTTTTTGTAAATTTTCAAATAATCTTTACTATTGCTTATTCCTAAAATTAGGAAAAGGAAATAAGTAACAGCCCTTAAATCATTGAACTAAATGTTTTTTTTTACAAATATTACTTAATTTTCTAAAGTAGACTTATGCTGTTGTTTGTTTAAAATTTGGTTACTTCACCGGTTTTCTTTTCATTTGCCACATTTCATACGTCACCCAGGCGGGCAAGCATTACTGTTTAGAGGCGGCTTCTGAGAGAGCAGACACTTTCTAGTCCCTTAGATTTGGATTTTTCAGAATAGAATCAAAAAATATTTCCCTGCTTCGACACTTCTTCATTTAAAATAAAGATTTTTTTTGTGAAATTCCAAATCTTGCTGAAACACTTAACACCTTCTACCCCCAAGCTGTTCATGGTTTTGACATAACATATACCTATGTCTCTTTAAAAAAATCCTTTTATATTAAAATTATTCACCCCCTCCCCCCAGGAAATTATCTGTTACGGTTTGGTTGGTCATAGGTAACATACCAAAATAGATACATACTTACAAATCCAACATACAGTAAGAGCCAGAAAACTGTGGAATGGAAAGACAACTTTAAGACTCAAGTTATTATTTTGAATAGTCCAATTGTGCAGTGTACACAGACTAATACACTTTGATTTCAAGATACTAGTCAATCTTCTTGCGTTGTAACAACATAAAATACTCATAGAATATTGCTAATGTTGTCTTTCTATTCCAACGTTTTATGATTCTGACTTTTACCCCACAGACCTTGTTTAAAGACTGGATTGGATGTGGATAGGTCGTATCGACCACATTGTCAACGCAAACATTTTCCTCAAGAATTTCAAACTTGCCAATGCTGCCAGGTAGGAACCAATCTTCTCTTATTTTATCTTTATCACTTATCTTATCCTAATGTATCTTATTTTTTCTTTATCTTTTATCTTATCTTATCTTCGATTATTTAATCTTTATCTCTTATCTTATCCTATCTTATCTTACTTTTCTTTTATCTTATTCTTTCTTCTCTTATTTTATCTTTATCACTTATATTATCCTATCTTATCTTATATTATCTTTATCGCTTATCTTATCCTATCTTATCTTATTTTATCTTTATCACTTATCTTATCTTATTTTATCTTTATCACTTATCTTATCTTATTTTATCTTTATCACTTATCTTATCCTATCTTCTCTTATTTTATCTTAATCACTTATTTTATCCTATTTATCTTATTTTATCTTATGCTTATAATCAAAAGTTTCGGAAGGAAAGAAAAATTTTACGTTTAAATACCAGGTTTTCCAATTTAACTCATATGAAAATTAAATTTTTTTGCTAAATTATAGAACTTTAGAAAAAATTTGTATTTCATTTTTATTCTTTAACGCTTCATTCCCCCCTCCCCCCTCTGTCATCATTTTGTAGTTTTATGTTCTAGATCCATTTATTTATGTATTCTGTTATAATTGAATTCAAACTATTATCCCCAGGAAATTTGACTGGAAATAAATACTAAACTGAATTGGTTTATAATTATTTTATTTCAAAAAAAATCTTATTAGATTTTTGACGGGACTGTGAGCGTGATTTCAAGTAACCCATCATGAAAAGATGCAATGTTTGATTCACAACAGTACCCAGTCTGATCAATTATATAAAGATCAATGCTTAAAAATCTAAAAATTATAAATCTCAATTTGAATCAAACACTGACCTAGAAAAATAACCATTTCTGCCGGATTATTGATCAGATTAAGGTTTCAAGGGTGAATCAGGTATTGCCATGTTTGCATGGAGGGTCACTTAAAATTATGCTTACAGTCCTTTACAGTCCTTTACAGTCCTTTACACTACATTTGTATGCATAAAATCCGCCACAAATAGTTTCTAAGTCAATAGAATCTGAAACCAATGCTGTCAATTTGTCGCCATTTAGATTAGAGAATTGTGTAACATAAATATAATGAGTATATTATAATTTAGATTAGAGAATTGTGTAACATATAAGGAGTATATTATAATTTAGATGAGAGAATTGTGTAACATAAATATAATGAGTATATTATAATTTAGAGATTATAGAATTGTTCAACATATAAGGAGTATATTATAATTTAGATTAGAGAATTGTATAACATATTAGGAGTATATTATAATTTAGATGAGAGAATTGTGTCACACATAATGAGTATATTATAATTTAGATTGAGAATTGTGTCACACATAATGAGTATATTATAATTTAGATTATAGAATTGTTCAACATATAAGGAGTATATTATAATTTAGATTAGAGAATTGTTTAACACATTAGGAGTATATTATAATTTAGATTATAGAGAAGTGTGTAACATATAAGGAGTATATTATAATTTAGATTAGAGAAGTGTGTAACATATTAGGAGTATATTATAATTTAGATTAGAGAACTGTGTAACACATAAGGAGATAGTATAATTTAGATTATAAAAATGTGTAACATATAAGGAGTATATTATAGTTTAGATTAGAGAATTGAGAATTATGTAACACATAAGGAGTAAATTATAATTTAGATTAGAGAATTGTGTAACACATAAGGAGTATATTTGGAGTGTTAGAGACAAAATTCAGGTAATTTATAACTTTTTAAAATTTACCAGTCCCGTAATTCTATTATCAAATATTGTTATCATTATTATCATCATTATCATATTTTTATATCTTAATATCTTTATATCTATATCTTTATATCTTTGTATCTTTGTATCTTTATATATTTGTATATTTGTATCTTTATATATTATATCTTTATATCTTTATATCTTTGTATTTTTGTATCTTTATATCTTTATATCTTTCATCTTTGTATCTTTGTATCTTTGTATCTTTGTATATTTATATCTTTGTATCTTTTTATTTTTGTATCTTTGTATCTTTGTATCTTTGTATCTTTATATATTTATATCTTTGTATCTTTGTATCTTTGTATCTTTGTATCTTTGTATCTTTTTATCTTTGTATCTTTGTATCTTTGTATCTTTATATCTTTTTATATCTTTGTATCTTTGTATCTTTGTATCTTTGTATCTTTTTATTTTTGTATCTTTGTATCTTTGTATCTTCATATATTTATATCTTTGTATCTTTGTATCTTTGTATCTTTTTATTTTTGTATCTTTATATCTTTGTATCTTTGTATCTTTGTATCTTCGTATCTTTGTATCTTTGTATCTTTCTATCTGTTATCTTGATATCTTTGTTATATCTTTTTTATATCTTTATTTTTTAAAATTATTATTATTACAGGCTGGAGCTCCTTTAATGGATGTAGTTGAGCTGGGATGTGAACGTTTAACCTTTGCTGCAGATGCCATGAATGTTGTGATTAGAGAACTCAAACTCAATTGTAACGAAGGAAACAAAGATTATACAATTATCATTAATAAATTCAAGATTTGGGGTTCCTAAGGATAAAAAATTGTCATGTGCTTTTTATCCTTTTGGCCAATTTAAACAATTTTCAAGAAAAATCCATCAGTTTTAATAAAAAAAAATAAGTTTTGTCTATTCAAGAATCATAGTTGTCAATGATTTTTTTTTAAATGTAATATTTTTTCTGGGTTCACTTTTGATCAGAGTTCCTTTAAGCTTCTAGTTAACTCTGTAAGTAAAATGGTATTAAAATGACCCGGGGTTCTGCTGATAAAAGGTAATTAATTAAAACCTTGTATTTTTTTCCAGATACTATGTTAAAGGAAAATCACTGGAAAATAATTCAGTATTTTCAAAGAATCCTGTTCAAAGAGTAAGAAAGAAAGGAGTGTTTAAAAAATAAATTTATTTATAAAAAATGACTGATGTAGACTTGAGAACTTTTTAAAGGCCAATTGGAAGATGTTTGAACAGTTGTATCATTAACGCTGCTTGAGAAGCTTTATGTTTGGGCTTTTCTGAAAAGCTGTGAAAGCCATGCTATTTTCTCAGTTTCCATCCAGCGCGGTTATGAATTATTTTTTTAACATACTTGTTTTCTTAACTTTAATTTTAACAAAAATCTGTAAATACTTGGACGGTTGCAGCTTCAAATTTTCTAGACCTCCATTTTCTTCTTGTTGTCCTTGTATCCTCCATCATGTTCGGCTTTTTTTTTAACGGCAACGAATCATAAAAATTGTATGCCATAATCTGAACTGGTGATTAGGCAACTGTAAGCTGATGGTGGTTTTGGACGGAGTAAACTCACTCTTTTCGGAGCACACTATGATTCACAGGTATTTGCCAGATAAAAACTTGGGGAAAAATTTCGAATTTTGCAATTTTTTTTTGTCTATGTGACAATTTGTTAATTTGTGACATATTGTTCATGGGACAACTTCCTTTAATGCCAAATTTGTCAAACTCATGGAAGTTCATGGGACTACTTTGCCATGTGATAACCCTGTCTTGGGACAACTTCCTTTAATGCCAACTTTGTCAAACTCATGGAAGTTCATGGGACAACTTTGCCATGTGATAACCCTGTCTTTGGACAACTTCCTTTAATGCCAACTTTGTCAAAGTCATGGAAGTTCATGGGACAACTTTGCCATGTGATAACCCTGTCTTCGGACAACTTGGTCATATGCACAACTTTACCATTTAATAACTTTCTTATGATAAAACTGGCCCACGTGACAACTTTTATTTTATGAAGAAAATATTTATATGTCAACTTTTTCATATAACAAATTCCCATGGGACAGCTTTGCTTGGTGACAAAATGTCATTTTTTATTAAAGCCACATCAGAAGTTTCAGTTTTGGATAAAAATACAACGTTAAAAGTCCTTTGTTGCCTTTGGAAATAATCTTAAAATTACTTTTACTGCTCATTATCTTTTCATTTCCTTTCTTTTTTTTCTCGCAAAATAATAAAAGATAGGAATCAATGATTGTTTTTTGCTTTCAGGGAGAAAAGATTTTATGAAACCGGAACCTACTGGCCTACGTCGGACTGGATGAAAAATGTTGCAGGGGTTGGTATTTTAATTAATCATGTTTTTCCACATTCCAGAAATTTTGGAGGAAATTATCATTATTTTGTTCCTGCAAACGTGCATATAAGAATCACTTCCGTTTTATCCGTTGGCTTCTTGGTTCTGGATCCGCAAAAATATGCGAAATAGATGATCTAATGGGCAAAATAACGACCCAAATTTTAGGAAGATGATTTGCCCCTTGGATCCGCATTTGTGTAGGTCCTAAAGCTGTAAAACGAAACTTATTGCTCTCAAAATCCAAACCTCCGGTCCTCCACTGTTGACAAGAGAGATTGTTAAAAATGTCCTTATCTCTGAATGGTTCATTAAGTTTTATTTTTTTTTTTAAATCGAAAAAACAAGATATATTTGAAAATTCTTCTTTTGTTAAAAAAAAAATCTGTAAATCTCAAAGAAATATTCATTACCCGGATCCGGATCCATTTTTTCAGGGCGGATCCAGAATCCGGATACGCATTAAAAGGAGTTGGATCCTAAGCACTGAACAGTACATGAACTTAAGGTTTCTTACTTCACGTCAATTATGTTATCATTCTTCAGGGAGTTTTACTTGGTCTTCCTTGATTTTCAAGAAATTGTTTTAAAAAGCTAAAAATAGTTAGATGTTTTGTGATTGGTTAAATAGATATTAAGATGTAAACAATTCTCACCCCCCCCCCCTCACCTCTCGCTCTATTAGATGAAAACTTAGAAAGTACCAGGAAAATGAGATATCTTTCTCTTTTGGTAGATTTATCTTAACTATATTTATCTTAATTATATTTGCGAGAAAATAAAGATGTATATTAATTTTATCTAATATACAATGTCTTATGAATGAGAACTGCTGTGTTGTTAATCTCCTCCATTTATCTCAATCTAATGCAGACCTTAATTCAATTCCTCTTCAATATCCTTGCACTTTGTAGGGATATCTTTAAATTGAGATATCAATCATTTATCCCCAAATTTAAAAGTGTCCACATTGAATATCAAGATTAGCTATACTCCATACAAAGTTCCGATTTCATGACTCCTTGAAATTCTAGCATAGACCAATTTTGTGTAACTTGATTTAAAATAAAGGTATTTTAGTTCCATCTTATTCTTTTCCACAAAAACTCCTTTAATCCCTCAAAAGCTGATTTTATTTGTATTTGCTACGCACGAAATATTTCGATATTTTTTCATTTTATTGATTAAAGTTTAACTTTCTCCATTTCACAATAATCTATTAACAATTCCTGAACATGTTTGTCGACATGTTTTAACTTAATTGACAAAATATAACGGGATATGAATATGATAAATTAGAGCCAAAATATGTATTGTAGCGGTTTTATCATAAAGTCCTTAATATATTGAACAGAAAATTTCTAATTACTGCTGAGAATTGTACATTGTAAATGTGCATTTTACACTGTACAATGCACATTATAANTTTCTTATCTAAGCTAAGCTTTGATCTTATTAAGGAACTATTTATATGTAAGGGATACACAGAATATTTATATGTAGGGGATACACAGAATATTTATATGTAGGGGATACAAAGAATATTTATATGTAGGGGATACACAGAATATTTATATGTAGGGGATACACAGAATAAATTAAACATAGACAAAGGTTTGCTGATTTTTCAAGAATAAATGCACCCCTGAATTTAAGCCCTTGGGGGAAAAGGGCTTGCTATTTTTTCCCTTTTAATGGAGCTGACAAAGGGGATGGTGAAAATGTCCTATTTGATGTAGGGGGGGGGGGGGTCCCTGCATTCATTTGTGGTTTAAATTTCCATTTTTTGTCTGCACGCCTAATTAGTGATCTAATTTCCTAATCCAGTGACCTCTAATGACCTTTAATGACCTCCAAATTAAAAATGTTTTAACCATGGTATGCATAACAAACTAAAGCTTGGAACCAAAGGAATACAGTGGCAGCAACAAATCCAGTGTTTGACCTTCTAATGGCCTATAACGACCTCTAATGACCTCCAAAGTATGAAAGTAGAAGATATTTATTTCAAATTATGAATCGGCGATGATCCTCTTTAGGTGGAGGGTCACTTAGAATTACAACAACATTCTATTTAGCAGTATTATTTTTTAATTTAATTTTTTCACTTTTTGTTCTCTTCTTGTAAGAAGGACATCCTTAATATCCTTAATATCCTTAATATCCTTAATATCCTTAATATCCTTAATATCCTTAATATCCTTAATATCTTTAATATCCTTAGCTTCATTGAATACGAGGTTGACTGCTTTAATAATAATAGAAATAATAACAGGCTGATTTGATTTGATTTGATTTGATTTGATTTGATTTGATTTGATTTGATTTGATTTGATTTGATTTGATTTGATCTGTTTTAATTTGATTTGGTTTGGTGTAGGTTGATGAGTGCTCAGTTCTACGAAGTGTAAAGAAGCTGTTAGTGAATGATTACAAGAATGCTGTAGTAATTACATCAGCTGACCGAGCAGCCAAGGTCAGATTTATTCATGCATTTATTGGGGGATGGAAGGCAAGCTTCCAAGCTCCTCATTTTTTCATCTTGCCACTTCAAATGTTCCCCCTGCTACATTCTCTAAATTACCAAATCATCATGGAATTTAATACTTAAGAATTAAGAATTTTCAAAAATTACTTTATTTTTATCAGTTGTCTCTAAAGGTGGGATTTATGGAATATTCTAAGTCTTTTTGGAGCTTAGTTAGGGTAGCCTTGTGTTGCTTATTAATTATACATTCATTCACAAAACAAGAACTTGATCTTCAGCTTATCTTAGCTCAACATCTCAGCTGAAAGAAGGAACACAAAAGTATAACCCCCTGATAGGTATACAAGCCATGCACAATGATACCGGTCTTTTACTTGGCGGGCTGTGAGGACTGCAATACTGTGGAAGATTCCGCCAGTTGGGGCTTTCTACTATAATTTTATAACATATTTTTTTCTAAATTTGCCAAAATCTAAGGAAAGATGCACGAACAAGAAGAAAATGAAGAACAAGAAATATAGAAATGTCAAAATATTTGCATCTGCATTAATAAAATTGAAAGAATTTTGTTGAAATGAAAATTTAAAAAAAAAATATGTAAAGATACATTCATTCGCCCTTTTTATGATGTTCATTAATTTATCTGGATAATTGGATTTTTAATGTAAAGATTTTTTTCATTCGAATTACTTTTCAATTAAATGCATATTTATTACTTCTTTTGTTCATTCACTGTTTAATTCATTCTTTCTTCTAAATCTGATTTCTTTTTATTATTTTCATCGTTATTTATTAGTTCTTCTGATCATACACTCTTTAATTCATTCTTCTAAATCTGATTTCTATTCATTTTCATCGTTATTTATTAGTTATTAATCAAATTATTCCTGATGTGTTACCAATTTCTTCATAAATTTTCCCTCCTACAACATTATTTGATAGCTTGTTACAAAACACCAAATATTATACATTCATTATCAGATTAAGTCTGATAATTGGCATCCGATTAAAAGTCATTTTTTCAAATTGGATTGTTAATCCTTTCATCCCTTATTTCTACTGTTTTTAAAAATAAATGTTATCAAATCCATACAAAATTAAAGAAACTCAGTTTTTTTGAACAAAAAAATCATTTAGATGGAGGATTTTTTTGATACGGCGCGGTGGTTTGCGATTTCATCAATATAATGAAGACGACTTTCTATTTGAAATTTGATTTATATCAAGCTTTTGAAAAACATGGATACACAAAAACATTGAAACAAGAGAAGCTTAAATTTAAAATCTAAAAAGTTTCTCTTAAATTACTTGTAAACTTGTAATTCGAAAAGAGCTTGTGAACAATTAAAATAAATAGTGAAGTCGTCTTCAATATATAGATTTAATCGCCTACCAATGTAAGTAAACGATCAATGTATGACGTTCTAAAAATAATTAAGAAATTAAAAACTTGAAATTTTTTAGATCCAGAAAACAGAACCTGCCAACAAATGGTGGAGAGCCAAGGTAGGAAATGCGTATTGCATATGTATGTATGTGTGTATGTATGCGGATGGATGGATGGATGGATGGATGGATGGATGGATGGATGGATGGATGGATGGATGGATGGATGGATGCAAGTATGCATGTATGCATGTATGCATGTATTTATCCATGGTAGTCACAGTTGTGTGCGTCCTAATTGGCAACCAACTTAAGTTTCACGGCACTTAATTTTCAAAGAGTTAAAATTAGCTTCTTTTAAATCTTTTTTATTATTTGTAGGTGATGCATATGGAGCCGGACACTTCCTCTCACCTTCCCTTTGCCCTTCTAGGACAATCAGGTGATTAGTTTTAGACTTAAGGAGACTGTCCAGTGATTTCAAGCAATCATCTTCTTTACAAAATAGCTCTTCGCTATTATATATAATATATTTGTAAATATATATATGAATATATCTTAGCTCTAGCTGTCCAAACCGATGGACCAAATTTTTTAGGGAACACTTGAGTGCCCTCGAGTAACATATGGCTAAAAAATTCAAAATATTTTTCCCACGGGCAACTCCGGGCACTTAAGCTATTTTTTTATGAAGAAGGTCATGCCCGATACACAACAGTGTACTTAAACTTATGGTCAAGCAATAAGGTCGGCGGATGTCCTTTGTAAATTGTTGATTTCACCCCTATTCATTCTTGTTTATGACCGTGAAAAAAATAACTTCTTAGCGGATTTTCTTTAACAATCAAGTGAATATAAACAAAGAGTACAAATCGTAAGACCTTACTTCATTATTGATTTGGTATAGTCACTTCAATTTTGGTGTGTCGACTGTGGGTGTAGGGCGTCCTTTAAAGCACGATTTGATTTGATTTGACTTAAAATTATGGTCTAGTGAAAAAATTGAAAAAAGTTATCCTTAAATAATAAGGGCCTTTACCTTCTGCCTAAGGGCTCAGCCTGAATGCCTTATTTGACCTACTAAATCCATATTTATAAATAATAACCCATCAACCATGATATCATCATTTGTATTATAGGCTGGTCTGTGCTAAATCCGTTTATCCCTGTAGAGGTTAAACCTTATACTCAACTTGAACTTGATTCAACCATAGGTAAAAACACTTTTTTGAATGTTGTGGTCAAAACTTTTAAATGTAATGGCGCTAATCCACAACACAGTGGTGGAAGTTCTTCTCAAGCAACTAGGTATAAAATCCATGAGAAAAAAAAGTTGTTTAACTTTAATAGTTTATTTTGATTAAATTTTACAATATTTTTTAATTTCAATATGATATCAGATGGAAACATTTTGAGACTTCTATATTTCTAATTTTCATTCTTTCTTTTTGATCATTCCTTGTCCATCCTTCAATCATATTTCGGCTAATTTTGAAAATAAAAATAAATGAACTTTTTGGATGTTTCTGCAGCTAGCCAAATTGCAGAGGCAGAACTATTTTCTCAAACCCTGTATCTATATTCTGAGAGTGGCAAGGTTATTCTCTCCCCTTGTTTTTTTTTAAATTTTGCTTTAGTCATGTTACTGCGTCAGCTTCTACATCAACACACTTTCAATGAAATTTTCTTGATAGCAGGGAGAGGGGCGAGGGGGGCGTTTTACACATTTTCCAGTTTTTTATCTCTATTTGGACATAGAGGGGGGGGGGGGATGGGACGTCTGCCATCCTGTGTATTTGTCTTTATTAGCTATCAGTATAAAAAATTAGACAGTGTAAAGCTCAAATCCCCTTCTAATTTTTCCTGTTCAAAGTTTTCTTCTTCTTTCTTGTTTATCTTGCTTTAAGCCCCCATCTCTACTGTCAAAAGATTTCCCTCCAACTTTTTTCTGTTCAATTTCTGTTTTCTTCTGGACCAGTGAAAGTACTTTTTTTAATGCATAAGCTCTGACACATTTTTTTCAATTAACATAATACTGGAGATATTGCAATTAAATATTTTAGCTTTTTAAATTGTTATGTAAATATTTTGTTAATGCTTAATTTATATTTATAAATCGATTTTGTGAAGATTTTTAGACGAGGATCTAACTTTTGGGTTGGATAGAACAGAGTGACGTCAACGTTTAAATTAAGATTGAATTCCGGATTATTAAGAAAGAGAGACTGATAGAGCGCAGAATTGACCTCACGTTGGTATTAAGATTATAGATTTAAAAGATTTCACCTCATGATTGTGTTTAGATTACAGATTTAAAAGTTTTGACCTCATGATTGTGTTTAGATTACAGATTTAAAAGATTTATTGTGTTTAGATTACAGATTTAAAAGTTTTGACCTTATGATTGTGTTTAGATTACAGATTTTAAAGTCTTGACCTCATGATTGTGTTTTGATTACAGATTTAAAAGTTTTGACTACATGGTTGTGTTTAGATTACAGATTTAAAAGTTTTTACTACATTGTTGTGTTTAGATTACAGATTTAAAAGTTTTGATCTCATGATTGTTTAGATTACAGATTTAAAAGTTTTGATTTCATGATTGTGTTTAGATTACAGATTTTAAAGTTTTGATTTCATGATTGTGTTTTGATTACAAATTTAAATTTTTTTACCTCATGACTGTGTTTATAGATTACAGATTTAAAAGTTTTGATCTCATGATTGTATTTAGATTCCAGATTTAAAAGTGTTGACCACATGATTGTGTTTAGATTACAGATTTAAAAGTTTTGATCTCATAATTGTGTTTAAATTACAGATTTAAAAGTTTTGATCTCGTGATTGTGTTTACATTACATATTTAAACGTGTTGACCACATGATTGTGTTTAGATTACAGATTTAAAAGTTTTGACCTTATGATGGTGTTTAGATTACAGATTTAAAAGTCTTGATCTCATGATTGTGTTTAGATTACAGATTAAAAGTTTTGACTACATGGTTGTGTTTAGATTACAGATTTAAAAGTTTTGATCTCATGATTGTGTTTAGATTACAGATTTAAAAGTTTTGATCTCATGATTGTGTTTAGATAACAGATTTAAAAGTTTTGATCTCATGATTGTGTTTAGATTACAGATTTAAAAGTTTTGATCTCATGATTGTATTTAGATTACAGATTTAAAAGTTTTGATCTCATAATTGTGTTTAAATTACAGATTTAAAAGTTTTGATCTCGTGATTGTGTTTAGATTACATATTTAAACGTGTTGACCACATGATTGTGTTTAGATTACAGATTTAAAAGTTTTGATCTCGTAATTGTGTTTAGATTACAGATTTAAAAGTGTTGACTACATGATTGTGTTCAGATTACAGATGTTATAGTTTTGATCTCATGTTCATGTTTAGATTACAGATTTAAACGTTTTGACCACATGATTGTGTTTAGATTACAGATTTAAAAGTTTTGATTACATGATTGTGTTTAGATAACAGATTTAAAAGTTTTGATCTCATGATTGTGTTCAGATTACAGATTTAAAAGTTTTGATCTCATGATTGTGTTTAGATTACAGATTTAAAAGTTTTGATTACATGGTTGTGTTTAGATTACAGATTTAAAAGTTTTGATTTCATGGTTGTGTTCAGATTACAGATTTAAAAGTTATGATCTCATGATTGTGTTTAGACTACCTGATAGAGAAGAAATGGATCCGTGCGGAGGCGGGTTCGTCAGTTCATAGAAAAGAATTACATTTCCTTTCTGCCAATAATCCTAGGGACCTCTTCAATATTTCAACTATGTTTTAAATTTCATCATCAATGTAGCAAATCTGTTTATTTCTGTCAAAATATATGTTTCTTAATAGTTATAACAATTTTTAACCCATGAAACAACTGTGAACAAATAATTTTTTTGATTTTGTTGTTTTTGTAGTTTTTAATTTTAAATTGTTTGTGCTTTTACAGTAATGCTTTCTTAAACTATTGAATAAAAGTTTTGATGATATTTTATTTCAAAAAATAGAGTTTGAAATTTACATATTTACTTTACTTTTAGGGCGCTTTCCCTTTTCTGATAATAATTTTAGTTTAACTGTTGCTCTAAAAGTTTACCATCAGAAATTATTTTCTAATTTTATTGTTAAATTCGCGCCTTTTCAAAAGAGAAAATTCCTACTACAGGGTGAGTAAATAAAATGTGATTAGCGGCGCCTGGTGCAAAGTTTGTACTATTTTTTGGCAATTTTTTTTTTGGTACTCCAATGGCCAAAGAAAAATTCCGAAAACCTTTTTTTCTCTTAATAAAAAAAGTTCAGTAAAGCAAAAAAGTGTATATATATTATTTCTATCAAATTCTAAAATTTCACAAAGATTGAATCACAGAAAATTTGCATAGTTTTAATAAGAAAATTCGCAATTTTCAGTTCTGGTCTATTTTTTAAGGAAAAGTACTTTAAATCCTCTAGTTCCTTTCTTCTTGGTATATTCTAAAGTTAAAAAAATACGCAGTTTAGTTGAAACCTGAAGAGCCATTGAAAAACAGTTTTTCCTTAAAGAGAGTGTTCGCGAAAAATTAAAGGGGTACAGGCTTACGGCGAAAAATAAGCGCTTTTGATTGCTACTAATCTTACTTCTATCTGTTGCGTCATTGCAACATTCAACCCGGATCGTATAATAATCAACTTAATTCCAAATCAGATGCTACAAATAATAGTCATTGATTATTTTTCGATGCATTCAGTTAATATTTCATACTATTTTTGTTTTTATTATTTAGAAATAATATTTCACTGGCGCTGGATTCTCGAACATTCCTGGAAAATATGAAAATGTCGTCTTCATTATCAAAAATCCTCGAAACAGGAAGAAATGTTTTTAAAAGTAACTATCAGATCATAAAAAATAAATATTATGAAATATCAACTATATACGAATGCGTCGAAAAATTATCGATGATTATTGGTTGTAATATCTGAATTATTTGTTTGGAATTAAATTGATTTTTTTACGATCCGAGTTGATTCAGCATGAGTCGTGTTTAACAATATTCTCCATATAGACATAAAAAAGTAAGATTAGTAGCGATCAAAAACGCTTATTTTTCGCCGGAAGCCTATACTCCCTTTCATTTTTCGCGAACACTCCCTTTAAAAATTAGACAAGAACAGAAAATTGCGACTTTATTTATCACAATTTTGTGCAATGTATCGAGAGCTAAATTAAAATTTGTAAAACTTCTCGGAAATTTGAGAAACCTTTGAAGATCGAAAATCATTACAGGCATTAAAAACCGAGTGTCCAAAAACCCTGTGCTTTTCTTATCTATATCATATATTTAGAAAACTGCACGTTGCCAAGATATTAGTTTGATTTTTTCATCAGAAACTTAAGAATCTGTCGTCAGACTCTTTTCTTTACAAGTTGTTCCACGAAACAAAGGACAGTTGAGAGATCACTAGAATCTCTAAAAGAGATTGATGTGGGAACCATAGAGAATAGAATATATATTAGAGTGGAATTTAGAGAATCTCTCGGTATGAATTTTTTCAGTCCCTTTCAGCCTGAAAGGGAGTTCAAAGTGTACAAATCATGTAAATGTTCACAAATTATATGCAGTAGAGTACATTAATACAGTATGTTCCCTAGACTTCATTTCAGTTTCGAATTTTTTAAAGCTGTTAAATAAACTTTATAATGAATTAGGTGAATAAAAAACATAATTTGATTTATAGTTATAACGGAAAATCGTCGTTTGTAAAGTGAAAGGCATAGAGTCTATGTGAAATGATCATTGGTCAATTATGAAACCAGCTTATTTCATAATTTGGTTTTCTTTTAACATTAATTTTAGATTTTCTATAAAATGATATTCCAGGGTCCAATAGGTTATATAGCAAAAATATGTGAAGTACACTTGCAGTATGGAAACAGTACAACAAAATGGCCGTTTTACACTTTTTTCTAGTAAATTCCCCTCTAATATATATTCTATTCTCTTTGGAGGGAACCCCCGGCCGTCAAGAGCCTCCCAGATTTGCTTTGCAGAGTAAATTTCTTAACAGAACTTTACAAGGTTGCGCCAAAAAGAAGATAATAAGAATTTAGAAAGCAAATTATAAAGTAAGTTAGATTAAATATGCTAAAATCTTTTAATTAAGGGATACCTTATTTTGGAAAATTATTGATGTTTAGATAAATCTCGTAATGTAGAGTGCCCAACTCTGTATTGTCAAAAATCCGCTGAAAGACAAAATTTTATCCACAGAGAAGAGAAGAGAAGTCTCCGTGTAGGATTTTTTTGGAATTATAACCGGAGAACTAAGAGACGGAGAAGGTTTTCGGATGAAATTACGGAGATACGAGAGGTTGGGAGGTTCCAATCACAAGAAACATTCGTACCGAATTTATCCTCGAAGGAGGTCGTTTCTTAGAGTTGTCCCAAACTCTCATAAGCATTCAGATGTCCCTTGCGGTCTTAAATCATCCTCGTAGATAGAAAAATACAGGTTTTTGATAAGTGAAAATATTTTTAACGACGAGCAAAGGATTTTTCAGGTAAACTTTAATTTTTATTAAGAACAGAGTTACTACCGACCTGGAGCTCTTAGATTGTTACGATATGATAGTTTATTTTGGTCTTTTCCCTTATATTTTAACTTTTAATAGTAAAACATTTGATTTTGTAAAAAAAATCTGACCGTACATGACAGTACATGACAGTACATAACTATAAAGGTAACCCTGTATGTAATACAGTGATAACCAGAAAAATCTGGAATGTAAAGACCAATTTAAGGCTCAATTTGTGACTTGTAATAGTCAAATGAGCTACGGCGCAGGAATTGTGCAGTGTAAACAGACCCATTTTACTAAATTATTGATTTGATAAGTGTCTAGAAAAACTGTTTGCTTTGTAACAACATCAAATTCTCTTAATTATTGCTTTAATGTCTTCTTTCTATTTCAAAGTTTTCTGGTTATTACTGAACATTTAGGGTAGTTGATTTATATATTTGAATATAAAGTGACACTTTTATGGAAGTCGTTGATAGGACAGAACTGAATTCTTGCCACAAACTCTAATTTTCTATTCCCTAATTCTTTGCAACCAAATATTGTTTACCTTTGAATTTTGAAACTTTGAATTTTTTTTAGATCAAATAATTGGTCCCGCAGCAACAAAAATAATTTTAAGTTTATCATAAGCCAAAAAACTGTATTTTTAACAATTGAAGAAATAATTTCTAGCTTGAAAAGTGCAAAATTTCGAAAAACTAACGTTTAGTTAAAAGATTTTTCACAAATTTTCACATCCATAACATTATAGTCCTGATTTCAAACTAAATATTCGTAATTTTTCCAGAAGTGTATTTTAGATTTTAGAGGCTTGTATTCAGGACCAAATGACATAGCCAAGATTTGAAAAGGTTATTTCAAAGTAAATAGATGTAAGGTGGGGGAATATATCAAAGTAAATAGATTTAAGGTGGGGAATATATCAAAGTAAATAGATGTAAGGTGGGGGAATATATCAAAGTAAATAGATGTAAGGTGGGGGAATATAATTCGCGCATATTCTACTAGAACTAGTTTAGGGTAAATCAAGGTATTCATCCTAAAGGTAGGAGGGAGAGGGTTTGAATATATTACTATGACGTAATAAGACCACTCAATAACTGGTTTAGGGTAAATCAAGGTATTTATTCTAAAGGTAGGAGGGAGAGGGTTTGAATATATTACTATGACGTAATAAGACCACTCTATAACTGGTTTAGGGTAAATCAAGGTATTTATACTAAAGCTAGGGGGGAAAGAGTTTGAGAATGTACTATGACGTAATAAGATCACTCAATAACTGGTTTTAGGGCAAATCAAGGTATTTATACTAAAGGTAGGGGGGAGAGGGTTTGTGTATATATTACTATGACGTAGTAAGACCACTCAATAACTGGTTAATTTAGGGTAAACCAAGGCATTTATCCTAAAGGTAGGGGGGAGAGAGTTTGTGCATATTTTACTATGACGTATTAAGACCACTCAATAACTGGTTTAGGGTAAATCAAGGTATTTATCCTAAAGGTAGGGGGTAGAGAGTTTGAGTATATTTTACTCTGACGTAATAAGACCGCTCAACTACTGGTTTAGGGTAAATCAAGGTATATATCCTAAAGGTAGGGGGAGAGGGTTTGAATATATTACTATGAGGTAATACGACCGCTCAATAACTGGTTTAGGTTAAATCAAGGTATATATCCTAAAGGTAGGGGGAGAGGGTTTGAATATATTACTATGAGGTAATACGACCGCTCAATAACTGGTTTAGGGTAAATCAAGGTATTTATCCTGAAGGTAGAGGGAGAGGGTTTGTATATATATTACTATGACGTAATACGACCACTCAACTACTGGTTTAGGGTAAATCAAGGTATTTATACTAAAGGTAGGGGGGAGTGGGTTTGTGCATATATTACTATGACGTAATAAGGTAATATGAGGTAATACGACCGCTCAATAACTGGTTTAGGGTAAATCAAGGTATTTATCCTAAAGGTAGGGGGAGTGGGTTTGTGCATATATTACTATGACGTAATAAGGTAATATGAGGTAATACGACCGCTCAATAACTGGTTTAGGGTAAATCAAGGTATTTATCCTAAAGGTAAGGAGAGAGGGTTTATGTACAGTTTCCTATAATGTGACCCATCCCCTATCGTTTTTTATGTGATAACTTAAAAAGTATTGGTCTCAGGCTGTTCAAATTTTTTTATTTTTCTAACTAGTACATGCTCACTGCCTGGATGCCTTATTTTACCTTTACCATGTTGGAACCAAAATTGGAATTATATGGACCCCTGACTGACCAAGGCGC